CGACAGAGGACGAGATGGTTGGACAGTGTTCTCGAAGCTACCAGCATGAGTTTGACCAAACTGCGGGAGGCAGTGGAAGACAGGAGTGCCTGGCGTGCTCTGGTCCATGGGGTCACGAAGAGTCAGGCACGACTAAACGACTAAACAACAACAATGAAAATGTTACAGGTAAGTAGCCGTGTTGGTCTGCCATAGTCGAAACAAAATAAAAAATATTTGTATCGGTATCTGAAGAAGTATGCATGCACACGAAAGCTCATACCAATAACTAACTTAGTTGGTCTCTAAGGCGCTACTGGAAGGAAGTTTTGTTTTATTTTGCTTCAATATGAAAATGGATATTAATATAACTCTACTACAGAAAAGCCAATGCCTAAATTCCAAGTAGGGGCTGCCCTTGAAGCTGACCCAGAAACTCCAGCAGGTGCAGAATGCTGCGGCAAGGCTCCTTACGGGGTCCTTGCCGCGGGATCACATTCATCCAGTGCTTTTCCAGCTGCACTGGCTCCCGGTGGATTACAGGGTCAGCTTTAAGGTGCTGGTTGTGACCTTTAAAACCCTTCACGGCCTAGGGCCCTCGTACCTACGGGACCGCCTCTCCCGGTATGCCCCACGGAGAGCCTCAAGGTCCATAAATAACAACACTTTGGAGGTCCCGAGCCTCAAGGAGGTTGGATTGGTCTCAACTAGGGCCAGGGCCTTTTCAGCACTGGCCCCGACTTGGTGGAACGCTCTGTCACAAGAGACCAGGGCCCTGCGGGATTTGACATCTTTCCTCAGGGCCTGCAAGATGGAGCTGTTCTGTCTGGCCTTCATCTTAGATTCACTCTGACCCCTTATATGGGATTTGGTATATAAATTTTCCCTTGGCTTTTTGCTGGCCCATGTAGGACCAGCATGGATAGCTGGCTCAGGTGAATATCTGATGCTTCCTCCCTTTATGGTGTTGATTTATGGGCTACTAGTAAGATGAGGCTGCATTTTAAGTTGTATTTTAAGCCATCTTTTAATTAACTGTGTTTTTTTTCAATTACGTTTTAATGTAATTTTGTATTTGGTGTTAGCCGCCCTGAGCCCGGCCCTGGCCGGGGAGGGCGGGGTATAAATAAAATTATTTGATGATGATGATGATGAAGTGCCATGCAATGATCTTTTTTTGTTCCCCTTCACAGCCTTGGCTGCAACTACCTTTCCAAAGGCAGAGAGATAATTTCACAGTGCCTCCTATGGGGGCATGTTGGCAGCTTCCTCATGTTACCTGGGTAACATTTCCCAGATAGCTATAATCTCCTGGAAGGCAGATAACGGAAGCCAATGTGGACTTTGAAGATAAGCAAGCTGTCAGTCAGAAGGTGAGGTTGACTTGACAGTTAAAAATGTTGTTGCAGCTCTTGGCAGTGGATGGGGACAATCTTGATGCAATCGGGCTTCGGATTCTGCTGCTTGCTAATGAGTTCTTGTGAGGCAGTATCTGCCTTCATTATGCGGGCGTCAAACACGCAATGATGCATCTGCTTCTCGTTCCAATGGAACCAATGGCAGACAAATCCATCACCAAAAGTGCCATTTTACATTTACGAAATGGCCACTTCACATCTCTTTCTCCTTCCACGGGAAAAATTGGAGAACAGTTGCACTTGCAACCTGAAGCGTAACGGAACAGTCTAGGGCAGCACGGCTCAACTTTTCATACCGAAAGGACTGCAGGGGTACTTTGGCATGGCACCCGGGGCCGCACATTGCCTTTCCATGCCCAGGGTGCTGGGGAACCTATGAGAGATGTCTGGCTTTGGGAAGTAGGTGGAAGGACTCTAGGACTCTGTCAGAGCCTTCAGACAGACAGCCTTCCTCTATCCCAAAGCCCAGCGCCTCGCTTACCTGGCTTTGGGAAGGCAGTGTGAGGGCGTCAAATGTTGCCAAGGGCCACCCAAAAAGGCACTGAGGGCCGCATGCAACCCTCAGCCACACATTTAACAATAATAATAATTTATTATTTATACCCCGCCCATCTGGCTGGGTTTCCCCAGCCACTCTGGGTGGCTTCCAACAGAACACTAAAATACAATAACCTATTAAACATTAAAAGCTTCCCTAAAGAGGGCTGCCTTCAGATGTCTTCTAAAAGTCTGGTAGTAGTTTTTCTCTTTGACATCTGGTGGGAGGACGTTCCACAGGGCAGGTGCCACTACCGAGAAGGCCCTCTGTCTGGTTCCCTGTAACTTGGCTTCTCACAGTGAGGGAACTGCCAGAAGGCTCTCAGAGCTGGACCTCAGTGTCTGGGTAGAAGGATGGGGATGGAGACGCTCCTTCAGGTATACTGGACCGAGGCTGTTTAGGGCTTTAAAGGTCAGCACCAACATTTGAATTGTGCTCAGAAATGTACTGGGAGCCAGCGTAGGTCTTTCAAGACTGGTGTTATGTGGTCTTGGTGGCCGCTCCCAGTCACCAGTCTAGCTGCCACATTCTGGACCAACCTGATCTAGGGGCAGGATACATGACTGTGGCTTTGGTGAGGGGGGTGACTTTCATTTCTTTTAAATAAGAGCTGGGAAAACTGGGGCTCTCTAGGAAGAGTGGTATACCCCATCTTCCCTGAGTTGGCTGGAGTTGATAGGAGTCCCATATCTGAAGGGCTACAGGCGAGGAACCTGCTTAAAGTTTTGTGGTTCAAATCAATGGTGGTGCAATGGCTAAAGAAGGAAAGCAATAAACAGAGAAAAATAAATCAATGAGCTTTTGCAAAGTAATTGTGCACTATTTTCCAGTCACTGTAAGCCCCACTACATATGGCATGTTATTAAGGCCATCATCTAGTTAGGCAAATCTGTTGTCTTCAATGGCACCTAACTCCCAAGAAAGTGTCCACAGAGCAGCCATCTTAGTTGATCAATTAATGCTGTATCTATGTGCGTATGGGTAAACATAATGCTCCTGAAGCAAGAAGTGCACATAAGCAATAACAGGCATAATATTTTTAAGACAGGAATGGGAAACCTGCAGTTCTCCAGGTATCCGACTCCCATCAGTCCCAAGCAACATGGCCAGTGGTCAAGGCGATATAGTCCAACAGCATCTCCAGGACCACAGGTTTCCCATCCCTTAGAGAAGACAGCTTCCACAATGCCTGCTTACCTGTACAGGGAAAGCACAAGGCAGGAACTAGGAGAGAAGCCAATAAGGGGATATGCTCCAGGCTCGTCCCTTTAGGGACTGCCAGACCTCATCCATGAAGGTTAGAGCATGAGGATAGTCAGAGCCGATGTGGAGCCATCTGGAATTAAGGCTCCATTTGTGTTCCTTTAATAATAATAATAATTTATTATTTATACCCCGCCCATCTGGCTGAGTTTTCCCAACCACTCTGGGCGGCTCCCCCAGACAAACAGTACAGCATTAAATATTAAAAACTTCCCTGAACAGGGCTGCCTTCAGGTGTCTTTTAAAGATAGGATAGCTGCTTATTTCCTTCACATCTGAAGGGAGGGTGTTCCACAGGGCGGGCCCCACTCCTGAGAAGGCCCTTTGTCTGGTTCCCTGTAACCTCACTTCTCGCAATGAGGGAACCACCAGAAGGCCCTTGGCTCTGGATCTGTGTCCGGGCTGAATGATGGGGGTGGAGACGCTCCTTCAGGTATACTGGGCTGATGCCGTTTAGGGCTTTAAAGGTCAGCACCAACACTTTGAATTGTGCTCGGAAACATACTGGGAGCCAATGCAGATCTCTCAGAACCGGTGTTATGTGGTCCCGGTGGCCACTCCCAGTCACCAGTCTAGCTGCCGCATTCTGGATTAATTGCAGTTTCTGGGTCACCTTCAAAGGTAGCCCCACGTAGAGCGCGTTGTAGTAGTCCAAGCGGGAGATAACTAGAGCATCCACCACTCTGGCGAGACAGTCCGCGGGCAGGTAGGGTCTTAGCCTGCGTACCAGGTGGAGCTGGTAGACAGCTGCCCTGGACACAGAATTAACCTGCGCATCCATGGACAGCTGAGTCCAAAATGACCCTTTACAGTGATCTGTCTACAATGAGCACTCTCTGCTTCCGGTTCTCATACTGGGCATGACCTCACTGATCCCAGACAGCTAGCTGGACCTTCCACCTCCCAGGCCTTGGGTGGACTCTGCCACCTCAGAAAAAAAGTGCTTGCCATGTGACTTTTTAAAAATATAAACACACACATTAAAAATTACATTAAAAAAACCATCTGCCTAATTAAAACGTGCACCATTTTAGCCAACCCATCAAACTTGTTTATCAATTAAATACCACACCCCTACTCTGTAGCCTGTGTGTATGCACATAGAGATCTATTTAAAAAAAATTCTTGGGCCTAAGTGATTGATACTGAAATTGTACAGTGCAGGCAGATTCATTGTGTTTTTGTAAGGTTGCCCCCAAGGCTCTTTTGCTATAGGAGGCTTAAACGTTGTGTTGCTTCTTCAGGCTTGGATGTGGAGGGAGCAGCAACCCCAAGCATGCTTCCATGCTGGCAGAATGCAAGCTTCCTTTGCTCACATTATTTGAAAACATAAAACCGCTGGATCCAGAGCCTCAGGGTAGCTGGCAAACTTAACAAAAACAGAATGCCAATAAAAAGCTACCATGAAATATTTAAAATATTAAAACAAACAACACACTGTAAAATATGCTTCTGAGCGAGCCCATTCTCATCCGTGGAAGTAAAGAAACGAGAATCAGCTAGCAAGCCCTTGGTGAGGACCCAGCTAGCAAGTCTTTCTTCCATCATCACTGTCCTGTCCCCTTCTAGGGAGGAGGGAAGGCAGGGCTCTCATTCTGCTTGGCACCTGAGCAAGTGGGAATTGTCTTTTCTGTAGATGACTTCTGCTGCTGCACAGGGTGGGCAAGCAAATGTTTGGATCTCATGGCAGAATCCCATCCTCCTCTCAAGAAGGGGACCTGCTCTACACAGATCTTACATGCCAGATAAAACCTGTGCAGGGACGGAGTGGTGACTTTTCATTAAAAAAAAAATCCTGCTACTTTCTTCCACCGGAACCATTTTTATTTCTTGCTGCAGTCTGCTTTGTCATAGGTTTATGGCACTCTGTACAATGTGCTGTTTTACAGTTTTAGAATATTTTTTTGTTCTTCTACTAAGCCATATTTGTAGGTATCAATGAAATACAAATTCCAAAAGGGAAAATTACAGCTCTGTGTCGGAACTGACTCTCACAGAAGTGTGTGAGTGAGCAAAACCTGCACCTGACTTATTTGCTTTTAGAATTGCAGAACATCGAAGGATTGCTCCAAATGCATTATGCAATGTAAAACTCTTTCAAAGCTAACTTGGGGGGGGATTGAAAAAGAAAATAACATGATGGGTTCTACCCCTCTTTTAACTGTAAACAAGCAAATTTTATTTATGGATCTGTTTGCTTGACAATAAGAAGTGGTAAATATTCTGTTGTTTCAAAGGCACTTTTCCATACTTGTGGGAACTAAGCCAGCAAAGTTTTTAAAAAAGGGGTGCTTTGTCCCATGGTACATGGAAGAAGTAGGCTGATCAAATATCCTAACCCAAAAATAATGGCTGGGTCTTCTGTGGATCCAGGAATATAATGATCAAAACCTGTTTGCATTTAACTTGCTAGAGAGATGCTAGATTTATTTACTTTGAGCAAAACAAATATTTGACTTGGGACATACTTCCTTATGATTCCGGAGGCCCACTGAAGTGGTTTTTGTGTGTGTGCCATCTCCAGTCTGACTGTGCTTCTTATTAGAAGATGTTGTTATGCCAGTATTCCAGGATAAGTGCATCTTTGTATGTGAACACCCTACCCCATTAAACAAGCAGATAAAATACTGCCATCCTCCTGAGTTAATTGAAGCTCTCAGATCCATATAACTCTTTCAAACGATTACATCTCCAAGACATGAAGAGAAAAGTCTCCCAAACAAGGCAGCAATTGGATAGTAAATAATGCATCTGCAACAGCACAGAAGAACACATTATTGCTTGGCTCACAACGGCAAAGATAGAAGTATCACAGTTTTAAGTTCTGCCTTTGGCGGGCGACGGGGTGTTTTCATGCCAACTGAAATATTTATCTCGCAAGTGAAACCACACTGTCTGTGAGGAAGCCTTTCACAAAAGTTCCACAGAAATCCTTTCCTGAAGATTCTGTTTTCAAAAGGCCATCCTTTCACACCTGTTGCACGATGTATTCGTCAAATGCCTGGCGTTGATAGCATGCAATACTGTCCAGCATCCACTCTCGTGAGACTACAGTAGCACTGCATTGCGGTGGGATCCCTGCAATACAAGATCAATTGTGAGAATTTTAATGTCCACACTCTCTTGTTCCCCTTCTCTCTACCCAGAGGGCTCAGGAATGCACTTTCTTTCAGAGCATCTTTGATGGATGACCTTTCAAAATGCCAGACGCACAAAAACTGCAAATGACAAGGGGCAGATTGTGTGAGCGGGTTTGAACTGTTGCTGCAACATCCCTTGACATTACTTGTTAGCTATTTGTTTAGCTATCAAGCAACTTTGAGTGATAGTGTGCATGTGTGGGTAAGGATGGGCCAAGCCCATGACCTAATCTAAGTCACTAATCCACATCCCTTGCCTTTCACGTTGGGGAAAGAGAGGCAGGTATACGTGAGCCAGTGAAGGAGTAAAAGTTTTCTTCTCCTTCGTGTAACCTTGCTGTGTCTCCCTCCAAAGCCATTTTAGGAAGTACAAGCAGAAAACAAATGGGAGACTAGGAGGCTAGGGGCCACAACCAGCTCTCACCACTACATAACATCAATGTGAGACTTTACAGTTGCACCAGGAAGTATCCACAAATAGGCTTGCCAGCCTACTGGCACCAAATGACTCTAGCTCTCTGGGGAACAGGATGCCTGCAGTACACAGACCCTTTCCCTGCCTGGAGCTGTTACTTGAGATCCCAGTCTGGAGAAAGTAAAACACAGGCATCTCTTCTGAGCAGTGGCAAGAGGGAGCACTGCTTCAGTTTCTTACCTTCCCCATGGTAAAGGTAAAGGGACCCCTGACCATAGGTCCAGTCGTGGCCGACTCTGGGGTTGCGGCGCTCATCTCGCTTTATTGGCCGAGGGAGCCGGCGTACAGCTTCCGGGTCATGTGGCCAGCATGACTAAGCCACTTCTGGCCAACCAGAGCAGCACATGGAACGCCGTTTACCTTCCCACCAGAGTGGTACCTATTTATCTACTTGCACTTTGACATGCTTTCGAACTGCTAGGTTAGTAGGAGCAGGGACCGAGGAACGGGAGCTCACCCCGTCGCGGGGATTCGAACCGCCGACCTTCTGACCGACAAGCCCTAGGCTCTGTGGTTTAACCCACAGTGCCACCTGCGTCCCTACCTTCCCCATATACTAGTGCAAATGAGAGAAGCCAGCACCTCTTCCCCAAACCCCTCTGTGTGTGCTACAGGGCTATGGGGGTTGGCATTACTTATTACCGGCTAGTAATGTCAAGCTAACAAATGTGAACTCCTGATCCAGAGCCTTGCACAGCTAATTCTGCTTCCTCTAGACAGTTATTCTGTCATGGCTGGTATTTATTATTCCAAACTAGTACACAATCGGACACTTTGTAACCTATGTTTATCTTGGGAGGCATGGACACCATGATAATCTCACCTTGGCAGGCAGTGTCTTCGCTCCAAGCTTCGGGCTGAATGACCACCACAGCAGTAGAGTTCTAGGAGTTGCAAGATAAAAGAGAAGAATGAGGAGGAGGAGGCGGCATATACTGGATCAAATTTGCCTGCCTGTCTGCAGCCAGAGATACTGTTGGGACAGGTTGTTCTTCACTTTGCTGCAGCATTGCAACTTGACAGGGAATTGAGGAGAAACCTTCCTCCTACCTTCCCAACTACACAAAAATTAAGCAAATATGTTAGGAGCCTAAGACAGTGCCAGAAAAACCAGGCTTGAAGCTAAGGGTTGCACAGGGGTGATCTAAGGGCACACTGAAAACTGCACTCTCCCAACACATGTCCGTGAATGCATGTCCTCTCAGCATCAAATTGTCCATAGCTCTTTGCTCGGACAGCAAGTGAGATGTCCCGGTCCTATATAGTGTCAGGTGTGTGTGACTCATGAAAAGCAAACATCAGCAGGTCATGTTCTGCCACTGAACTACACATGCCTGATATACACAACGTTTCAGATTAAAACATTTCTGGCGGCGGCAGCGCTAGGAAACAAACTGCCATCTGACTGATGTTTGGAGCAAAGGTGGGGAGCTTTTCTCAGGTCAGGGGTTATATTTCCTTATGACCAGGCTTTTAGGGGCTGCACAGGTGTGGCCAAAGTATGGCATGACCACAGCTGGCGGTGGGTGTGGCTGCCCAACTCTCTCTCTCACATACTCTGCACAGTACTGAGCTAGATGCTGGTCTGACTCTGTATGCAATTAGAACCCCATACATACACCCTTGCTCAACACAGGCCATGGGTCGATAAAGTTGAATAAAAAACAAGGCAAGCCAAATTCATCAGTGCTTCCAAGGAATTAAAGGGGGCAAATGGAAATGCTCTTCCTCTGTCTGTCTTGTTTCTCACACACACTCAGATTGGCCCATTTCTCTGTATTAAATCCACACTTACTGTTGAATGTGAGAATAAGCGAGGTTCTTTCACAATAGAGGCACCGGACAGCTCTACCATCCACTCCAATTGTTCTAAGCAATTTCCACCCAGAGGGAAAGAGAGACACAACATCAATATACAATGGTAGAACAGGTTACCCCAACCAACATCAGACATACACACACTCCAAGCCCCAAATAGCTCCTCACATCTGTTAGGAGATATACGGACATTTTATTTTTATCAAACTTTGGGAGATTCAGGAGTTGTTTTCCAAAGACATCACTGCCTAAATGAATCTGGAAAGGTGTGGGCTGTGACACCTTATCTTGCCATTCCTTATGACAGTGGTGGGGAACCTCCGCAGGCCAAATCAGGCCCAGCAGCTGTCTTAATCTGGCTTGTGAGGCAGTTTTGCCCCAATTCGCCGCAAAGGAAGAATCAGGAACCTTAAAGTGCCCTCTCTAGCAAGGTTTGTTGCAAGCACTCATTAGCTGACCGGTGGTGACGGCAAGCTCCTTTCAGATCAGCTGCATTACAGAGTTCCCAGTCAGGTAATGCAGCTAATTCCTGCTTAAAGCAGGGCTTACAGTGATGCTGCTTGCAGCAAGTCTCATAAGGAAATGCTACCTTTGCGCCACCCCCACCCCCCGTTTGATTTCAAACCACACAAGCAGCTTTGCTTGAATTCATGTTGGTCTCCAAATGAAGATACTTTCATGATGTCATGATGATGGCAGGTGGCCACCTGTCAAAATCACCTGCTGGGGCTGGGGGGGGACATCAAGATCTGGCAACTGGTCAGATCCAGTCTGCCCCCCACCCCCCTCCTGATAAAACCAGAAGCAGAATAAGTTATACAAAATAAGAAAAGAGATGCAGATTAATTTGCAAAACTTATTCGGGACACAAAATCATGTTTTCCTAGGGCAGAATATGAGCAGAGCATACATTTGCCCAGCGGTCCAAAACAATGACTGATCAGGCAAGGAAATCTCAGAGTGCTGTGGTCCGGTCCCTCTTTCAACAATATTGGACAATTTCATCGGTGACTGAGCATGATCAAAGATAATAGTAATCCTGCTTCACTTCACAAGATTCCTTGTCTTTGAACAACGAAAAGGAACTCAAGAAGAGGGATTAACAGATCAATCTATTTCTGAGCCATATCAATTTTACAGGTGTTTACTCATGTTTGTTCCATTCCATTTCTAGATTAATCTTCAGATTTATTTTTTTTAAATCCATACCAGAATTTGTATGCACTAAAATATGTATTTTATCACAAAATAAATATCTAAATGTGGAATTCATCTCACTGCATATATTTCTAAAATTATTTTATCCTGAGATACTTTTAAAAAGGCCTTTTGGTACTTTCGTTGAGACAAGAACTATCACAACAGTCAGAAATGTGTGACACCTGAAAGATAATTAATTTTCCAATCTGTATTTTAGTCTGAGAGGTGCAGATTAGGCCCATTTGCTTAAATGTAAACCAAACACAATTATTCTCCATCCCCAGTAAGGATTCTCAGTGGCTTCTATTGCCTGGGTTGTTTTCAAGCTCTTATCAACCCCTCTCCCTTATCGCAATCTCCTCACCTGGGAGCATGTCAGTGAATGGCCCATAGCAGCATATTTCTAAGCCTTGGAAAAGCTGGAAAGGAAAGCAGAGGTGTCAGAAGGGGTGTGCAATGAAATCCCAAACTAAGGAGCTCAATATGGGTATGAACTATGCTATAGGGGTCTGCTCAGACCTGAGTATGTACAGCTAATATGATCCGAGTAGAGTTAAAAACAACACCAGGCATTTAGATAAAAGATGAGCACTTAACTAAACTCTGTCTCCATCTAAAAGTGCAGCATTTTTCTTTCCATCCCAATCAGTCTTTACGGTGACAAGGCAATGCAGAACAACAACAAAAAATACAGGCCGAACTGGCAGGCCACTACATCTTCAGGCCGGGGGTGGGAGGCAAAATAAACAATTCAGCCAAGCAGAATCAAAGCTTTGCAGCAGGATCGTAAACACAATTTGCATCAGCTCCTAATTATAACCCTTCTTCGCTCCTTGAAGAACTAGAAATTAACTTTCTCTCTATAGCAACAGGGCAACATGACTTTTTATATTCTGCCAGCCTCTTCCTTATTAGTTTTTAATAGTCAGAAGTAGTCAGAGGGTTCTGAATATAACTATTTTTTTAAAAAGATAAGAGCCATCATACATGCTTATCAATGGTATTTCATTTTCAGGAATTACAAAGTGTCAATCACACACTCATAGGCAAGCACCGTTAAGCATTTCTGTAAGGGTTACTCAGGAGGGTATAATCTACCTGTTTGCACTTACCTTACGGCCATAGAGTCTTCATATTTCTCCCCCTTATTTACATAATTATAAACCACCCACCATTCAAAAATATTGTTGCAGTGTACAAAAATTAATAAAAACAAAACATCAAGTTAAAACAATATGTTAAATCCACGTGTAAATCTAGCATGAACAAGATCCAACAACGCTGTCCTGAAAAGCCTTGTTGAATTTTGAAAAGTATTGAAAGAGGTACAAATTGAAAGAACAAATTGTTGGCACTATCCTAATCTGCAGAGGGAGGATATTCCGAAGAGTGGGTGCCACCTTAGGAGGTGCTGGAGAGGGGCACAGTCTCAAGACATTCCTGTGAATTGTACAGGCCTGATATATATTCCCTTGTATAAGTGATAATGGTTAATGGATGCACACCTTTCCAACGGGAGATTCCCTTGCTCTTTTGGGTCCCTGATGGTTTCTCCCATTGATCATGTCTCCTCTAACTTCAAAGTCCTCCTGGAAAACGACACACATGAAATGACAATGAAACTCTGGTTGGTTTGGCCAGTTCTGAAGCAGGAAAGGAATGCTTGCACTATAGAAGGTGGAACCCTCTCTGTGAAAATCGAGGCAGAAGGAGAGGGTTTTTTGGGGGTGGGGGTGGGGGCTATAGAGACAACAGCTCTCATTGCACACTTAAAATCAGATAAATGTTAATTTAAAAAGGAGACACAACTGGAATGAATAAGTGGATCTTCACAGAAAGCGAAACTCTGAACTGTTTACAATGTTCACTGGAATCTTGAAAAGTAGAAGTTCAAGAGCTTAGAAAGGAATGGAACAAATTCAGAACATGCTATACTGTCTAAACTATACAGTTCCCAACCTTTTTTTGGCCATGCCTCACCTAAGCATCTCTAAAATCCTGATGCCCACCCCGTGACATATAAATCTTATTATTCAAAAGTGAACTCCTATTCACATGGAGGAAGCCTAAAAGGTCATTAACTGTTAATAACTCATTCTCGAATTGGCCCCCTTAAAAATCAAATTGCCTTCCTGTGGAGCGTGCGCCCCATGTTGGGAACCACAGGTCTAAACAGTTGTAAATTGCTTTAGAATCTAGACAGAATGCTTCCTTAGATTCAAATTAGAGAATGATTCACCAAAAACTGGTGTTTCAAGTACAGTAAGCCCATGTAACTTGTACGCATTCAGCTTTACGCGCACGGCAAAAATATAAAAACAGGTGGAAAGGAGGCAGGGGTCTGGGGAAAAATGAATTTGGAACCCTACTTGCCATTCAACCCAATGGGTTTTGACTATACACGATTTTGGCTTCAGGCACAATCCCTGGAACAAAACCCCTGTATAAGTTGTGGGAAGGCATTGTGTAATTCACACAGATGCTGGAGGTATAATGTTGGAAATGCCTTTTCCAACACAGAACCATAGAATCGTAGTTGGAAGGGACCCAAGGGACGTCTAGTCCAACCCCCTGCAATGCAGGAATCTCAGCTAAAGCATCCAATAAATTATTTATAAGTATTAGCATTTAAATACCGTATTTTTCACTCTATAAGATGCACTTTTCCCCTCCTAAAAAGTATGGGGAAATGTATGTGCGTCTTATGGAGTGAATGCAGGCTGCGCAGCTATTGCTGGCTTCTTGAGCGCAGCGGGAGCGCTCCTGCCGTTTCGCTCAGGAGGCTTTGCATTGAGGCTTCCTTCTTGCTGTCCTGGCTTCTGGCTTAGCCGCACGAAGCCTCTTGAGGGCAGGGGGAGCCTTCATCCCGCTGCCCTGAAGAGGCTTTGCGCAGCTATCCCAGAAGCCAGATCCCTCTTGCTGTTCTGGCTTCTGGGATTCAGAATATTTTTTTCTTGTTTTCCTCCTCCAAAACATAGGTGTGTCTTATAAAGCGAAAAATATGGTGAACAGAAAGCAAAAGGCCACCTTCGGTAGCGGCCCTTCCTCCTGCTCCCCCATTCTAAGTACTCTGCAAAATGCTCACATATAAAAACAGCAAAACAGCAGACACCAGACATACCTCATTAAGAACTCTTCTTTCCTTCAGTGACTGTACAACCCCTAGGACAGATCAGGCAGAAGCTTACTATTAATTATAATGATACAGTAAATAGCTCTTTTTAGCACCTGCCACACAATCTTTAGTTCTTACCTCAAGATACAAAAAAATAAAAAAAAAAAAATAAAAAATACTGCATCAATGTGGTGCAAAAGAGCAAGCCCATGTTTAAATAATACTGCCTGCTGGCAGTATTACTGTACACTGCTGGAAACTTTATCCTCCCCACTCCTTTGAGATTTCAAATCCATTTCCTTCACGAATACAAATGCTGAACTAACTGAAACAGTTTATGGCTTATTTCCAGGGAACAAGGGCTGGCCCTGCCAAGAGCAACTCTAGGTGGGTTGATGCTTTAAAGAAATTCAAAGTGCCAGGGGGGGTGAGAATTCAATGACCTGTATGAATTAGGCAAAACTAAATCAAATTTACATCTCTTTGCTTGTTTCCCATAGTTCATTCTTTTGGAGAAGTGCACTGAATCTCTAACTTCACAAATACAGCATCTTTTGCTTATTTCTCCTTGATTTCACCACTGTCCATATTTACTGACCACATATGCTAAAAGCGGAAAAATCACAGGATGGTGAATTCTTTGCCTAGTGCCAAACTCCACACTTGGATGATTCAAGTGGGGTGGGAAATACAGAGCCTACACTTTACTTTGCATAAAGAGACAGACTAAAAACACTGAAAAGGTGGCTTATGTTTTGGGGCCAAGCTAGATAAAAGGTGGGCAAATTCAAAACATGCAGTCCCCTCCAGAGGTTGTTGGACTCCATAGATGCGGCCAATGGTCAGGGATGACAGGAGTTGGCAACCCAACAATTTCCGGAGGGCCACAGGGGCAAAGATACCAGAAGCTTTATGGCACTTGTATGTTTCCACCCTCCCTCAGCCACATCATGCAAACAGCAGGCTGGGGTGGGGGGCAGAAATTTAGATTAGGAAAACAGTTCCTGTGGTGTGGAGAAAGATTGCCGCTGCTCCCCCATTTGGCCTCCCAATGTTGGCTTTGAACTTTAAAAATCCCTCAAAAATGTGGGACATCGCCAAATGTTTCATCTAGTTTTGATTTTGCATCCTAAACATTAAATTCCCTGTGGTGGTACCCAGGCTGAGGAACACCCTGTCCTGAGTGTACTGATAGCCGTTGAACTTTGCAAGAGAGCGAGGGGAGAGAATAGAGATATTTCAATGAATGTTCACACTTACAATGGTAGCTCACCACCCACTTCCGTCCAGCAATACCTAGGAAGTATTTCAGGGTCCGCTCGCAAACCAGATCCTCATCTGAAGATTAAGCAGAGAAAGGAAAAATATATGAAAATAACAACAAGAGATGTGGAAAAATAATAAGAAAGGACTGGATAGTACTGTGAACATCATAAGGTTAGATTTGTGGACATTAAAACAGCAGTAAGAAGCAAGAAGTTGATTGGATCCCTTCGGAACTTGAAATATGGGTACCCCCAACAAAAATTTAAAATTCGGCTGTGTAATTTGGAATTTATGTAATTTGGTTTGATTTGATGTGATTGGTCGGTTAATAAAAAATTATTCTTAAAAAAAAGAAGATTAAGCAGAGAGAGCTTAGGCCCGGCCCTGCCTTTGGAAACCTTGTAAGAAGCTTCTGCAAGAGAGGGACTGTGAGCAACACCGTGGGAGCAGTGTTTCTAGGACTAAGGTGAAACCGTGAAGCTCCCTTGTTAATTTTGCTATTGGATGCTGCTTGTTGTTTAAGTAATCTTGTTCTATTTATAGTACTGAAATGTGGTGGGTTGTTTGGCATGTTATCATATTTGCTATTGTTTTGCTACGTTATCATGAAACTATTTTTGTAGTGTTTGTTTGAAATGCATACCTGTTTTCTTCCTTGTAAGCTGTTTTGAGCAGGATCTCTTTTGAGGAAAAGCGGCATACAAATAAAATTATTTAGGCATCCCCAAGGGCATGGGGGCAGGTCCAATGGGATTTTTGAAAATGATTTTTCCTTTAACAGCAGATCCTCGTGCTCAGTAGTACCTTCAAAAGATTGCTAGGTGACAGGGGAAGGGGTGCCAGAGGGAGGGAAGATGGCAGGTGTAATCAGGGGCCCAATTCTTTGGATCATGCCCAAGTAGTCTGACAGGCAAGAAACCCTTAGAAAGTTCTGCCAGGTACCTGCCAGGATGTTGTGCAGATTCACAGGATGCATCAAGCAGGCTATAGCACCTTTCAAGATCTAAACTGCTTTTTGGAAAGCAGAGGAGGGACATTAGTCTCTCTCTCTTTTTGTTTTCCAGGAATTACCTGGTTGATCCATTACTATCACCTTCTCAGTGGTGATACAAAACCAAATCATGTGCCAAGGAAAGCTAGCCTTGGCAATCTGAAAAAATGAAGAAATAAAACAGCATGCGCGTTTGTTTTTGAGACATAATGTATTTTGTTAGCCACAGGATAAGACAAGAAACTATACTACTAGAAAGCTGCTCAGCTTATTTTCCTGTCCATGAGTTTCCTATAACTTGTCAGCTTTTGCAGTTTATCTCTGCAAGCCACGTGGGATAGAAACTTGCATTTAATAATAATAACCACCACCTTAAAAGCTGAATTACCAAAGCAAAGAGTATGCAGTCCTCTCTATCTACAAGGAACAAGAAACAAAACTATAGCAGAAAAGGTCAAGCTTGGATTTTGACTCAGAACTCTCAAAGCCCCATTCAACACTTCCTCAAAATTGCTGTGCTAGCTCAGACTAGGGGGCATCTAATACAGCATTCTGTGTTCAACAGTGGCTAGCCACATGTATCTGGGAAGCTCAGTATTTGGTAATCAGAAAAAAACATCTCTGAGCTTGTGAGTTTCAATAAGCAATCATAATTAACAGTTGTTGGTTCTCTTCATGCAATTATTAAATTGAACTCTGGCAGTCTTGACAGCATACCTACCTATTCACCTACTTTATGTGGCAATGCAGATGGGAAAGTTCTCCTCTGGGTTCTCAACTCACCTGTTTTCATTACTACATGAGTTGTTTCATAAGAAATCTTATTAGACCAAGTGCTCTCATTTTTCCTGGCAAACATCTGTACTAGTCGCTAGAAATAAAGCAAATATTGGAGTTAGAAATTATTGATTTTATCAACACATTAGATATTGCTGTCTTCTCAATAGAGCCTCTAAGAACTTTTAAGAACATACACCCTCCTTTTCCCGTAACAATGTCCAAGGTAGCTTACAACATTAAAACAACCACAGTAAAACAATAATTAAAACTAAGATTACCTAGACTCTGCGCCATGACTGCTATTTGGGTAACCAGGTTCATGGCCAGATCCAGAAGTACCCTCACACTACAGTATAAATCTGACTTTTCAAAGAGAGTGCTACCCAGTTCAAGAGAGATTGAGCTGCTCTTCCCAGATCAGAAGTCCTATGGATCAGGGTCGCCTCTCTGTTGTTTGGATTAAGCTTCTATTAGTATCTCTCTCAACCATATTCACATATAAATAAATGATAAATAATTTTTTATTTATACCCGCCCTTCCCGGTTCAGAAAACTGGGCTCAGGGCGGCTAACAACAAATTTAAAACACTTTTTTGTAGAAGCAGCATAAAATACAGTATAAAAACATGAATAACAATAAAATTCAAAGTTCAAAAAATCAATTTGGAGGAAATCCATCTAATAAGCATTAGATAGTCACCAGGGCTAGCTGGCTGAATTAGTCCTACTTGGGCCAGCGAGGAGGCCAGGGGAGAATTAGCTGTGGGGTCTCAGAGCGGGTAATCTTCATAAAAGGGGAGGGGGAGGGAAGAGAAGGGAAATAAAAGATCAGGCTGAATTCAAATTAAAGGCCAGTTGGAATAGCTCTCTCTTACAGGCCCGACGGAAGGAGGTTAAATCCTGAAGGGCCCTAGTCTCATGGGACAGAGCATTCCACCAGGTTGGAGCCATCACTGAAAAGGCCCTGGCGGAGGATAGTCTGACTTCCTTAGGGCCTGGGACCTCTAAACTATGGTTATTAATGGACCTTAAGGTCCTCTGCGGGGCATACCAGGAGAGGCGTTCCTATTACTGACTACAGGCCATAGTTTAGAACAGCATTGGGGAACCTGTGACCCCTCAGGTATGGTTAGACAACAGCTTCCATCAACCCTGACGCTTGACCATGTTGGATGGGGCTGTTGGGTGGAGTTCAACAATACCTGGGGAGAGACAGTTTACCCATTCCTGGTATGTAACTACAACAGCCCCCCTGGAATGTGGTAGAATGGGGGAGGGGCAAAGTGGAAAGGGAGAGACTATTCAGTGCCGTCCATATATTGGTGACATCACTTCCAAAACATCTCCAGCAGTTTCATGTCAATGTTAAATAGCATAGGGGACAAGATGGAACCCTAATGTCAGAATGATTTGCATCTAGGTCAGGCTTCCTCAACCTCTGCCCTCCAGGTGTTTTGGGACTACAACTCCCATGATCCCTAGCTAGGAGGACCAGTGGTCAGTGATTATGGGAACTGTAGTCTCAAAACATCTGGAGGGCCGAGGCTGAGGAAGATTGATCTAGATAATCCATACTGTCTGGGAAAGCTGAAGTTGAGATGCTGTGTACTCAAGAATGCTGCCGAAGAATGGAACATTAGACACTGGCCAGAAATTATCGAATAAAGTGAGATTAAGCACTTTAAAAAATAAAGGTCTCACTAATGTCTCTTTCAGTAGTTGGTTCTTGGAAATGACACTCTCCCATAAGTTTACCACTCTCATTACCCAGGTAGGCCACTTCTGTTGGACCTAATAAAAAGTATTATGCTACTCTTTCATAGTAGAAGTAGTAGCAATTCCCTTCCCTAAAACAAGGAAAGAAAACCCAAAAGCCCTGTTTACTACAGCAATTTTAGATTGGAGTCTAAAAGTTTTACATAACTTTTCTGTACTGCCAAAGCTGGCTAAGAAATATTTTGATTATGGCTTCTTTAACTACCAATTTTTTTACAGACCTGCTAAAAAATAAGAATGGACTGAGAGTTTGTCAATAGTATTTCTCAAAGCAGGCTGCATGGTCTCTCAGCACCAGATCCTAGATATAAATTCCATGGTTTTGAGTAGTTTCTTAGATGGAAACTGAGAAAGATCAGGATTTGAATTGCAGCTTCTGATCCTTGCTCCATAATATGAATCATACTGATTTTACCATTGAAGGAGTGCTTACCAGCTCGCCCTGGTTCAGACCCGAGGCCACCAGAGACATATTCTTCTTGCTTGTCAGAAATGGCCTCTCTGAATTCCCTTTGCTTGTGCTACAATGTGTGATTCGTGACAAGGGGAAGACTGGACTTCCTTGTGCACTATGCCTCAATGCACTTTGTCTTCCTGCATCATGTGTGGCAGCAGGAGGCCCCATTGCTGTCTCTGTGGCCAAAAGGCTGGAAATCTGCTCTTTAGACTTTGAGGACCCTGGAGTCCCTTGCGTGTTTCTCACAGGGGTAGAAAAGGCACCTTGGAGGCTTTGTTTACTTTCAGAACTCAAATCTGCTTTGCTTCCTGAAAAAGAAGAAAATATATCCATTAGAAAAGCATTTCCTTCCATTTTTGGAATGGATTAAAGATCCATCACTTAGACCAGTCATTATCAGCCTAACATACTTCCAAGGTTCCATGGATGCCAGAAGTACACTTCCTTTCTTATCATACCTAAATTTACTGCAAAGCTTTCAGAATATGAAATATTATCATGCAGTATTAGCTGACAGTTTGTATTGTCTAGGTATTTATGAAATTTTTAGAGCATAAGTGCCTGCATTTTATTTTAAGAAACACAAATATACCAAGCATTATAGAGGAGCTGCAAGCAAAGCTTTATTATATGGTCATCAGAAATAGTATGCAGACCTCAACATTATCTTACAGAAACATAAGAAGCTTTAGAGAAAAAGCTCAGAAAACAAATGTTCTTAAATGCAATTTAAGGAACAGCAATATATTCTCTACATTCTATTCCTGATGGTTTCACCCTTGAGGAGTTAAAATGTTTGTGAACATTCTTGGCAGCTCTGCAGAAGGCTGAGTGGGTGGAAGGGAGCCTGCACATGTCTGTCACTGATGGACATGTTTTTAACCCTATTATATACTTATCATTATCACTGATTTCTTAATTGCCTTATAGACAACCACTCCCAGGGTGATGAACATTGAGAATAAAGAAGAAAGTTAAACACAGAGAAACGAACAAATACATTAACAACAAAAGTGAAACCATACAAAGTAGACACCCCTGGTAAAAACCCATTTATCCAGCCAGCAAAGCCTGTCGGAAAATGCAGATCGTGGGCATCTGCTGGATCCCAACAGGAAATATATTATAAAATATATTACACAGAAACAGGGGCAGCCATACTAAAAGAAAGCCTTGCTCTGGGTTACTGAGGAATAGGCTTCTGAGATCTTTGGAACTTTTACACAGAAACTCTCCCACAGCTATTTATGAAGTGTATAAGGGTGAATAAGAGATAGACTTAGTATAGGATACTCTATTTTTAGGTGAGTTGGTCTAAATTCTAGACCAATGCCTCAACCCTCCAGGTTTGGGAAAAAAATAAATGTTAGTGACACAGTTCTCAGCCAGTAACTTGAAGTGATGTCAGTCTCTAAAGCAGCTTTAGTATTTTGCTGATTTATTCTGAAATATTCATCATAAAATGTAGAACCGTATTAGTTCCTGACTCTGGAGAGTAGCTGCATCTTTAACGGTCTATAAAACACTCACAGTCCTGCATCAGTATATAATACACTACCGACTCAATACTCAAATTATACTTTGAATATTCAATCACATTGGAAAAAACACAAGGTGTCAAGTGATGCGTTTGGTGGAACTAATGATAAAACAGCAGAAGAAACATGGAAAGAGCAGAACAGGCCTGAGGCAACATTCTCTTCACTACTTTTTTTTTAAAGCTTCTTATTTATGGTGTCTCAAAAGAGCTTTAATATATCTCTTCTCCCCAGAAAGTGATTAGAAAGAGGCAAAAGGTTTTTTTTTAATAGCCAGGAGAGACGCTGTAATTTGTAATCAAGCCATCAATAAATGTAATCAGGTTGAAGCTTTTATGAGGCGCCCCAAAATACTTTATACTGGCCTGAAAGCCCAAACAAGGGCTCTGTTAATTAAGTTGTCTTCAGTCTGTTTCCGAGCCCAGAGGAAGCTAATTAATCGATTTCACCGACTTAAAACTCAAACGTGCTATTTATAGCTATCTAAGGATTTGGCTTTGATTGGATTTGAAATTGCTGCAAAAACATTCGCCTGCAAACCAGTTCCATCAGGAACAGCATATTATTCTCACACTAGATAAGGTTCTGTTTATGTCTAAACGCAGTGGGCTTCTAAACCCAGAAAGACTGTCCCTAGAATCACTGGGGGATTGGGATGAAAATAAACTAGAAAAGCACAGCAGACTCATGACTGCCATTCTGGAAGTTGCTAATCACTTTTGCGATTTATGTTAAAGATACTGGGTGGCATTCAGTTCAGTTTTACTCACAGTTGTTGTTGTTGTTGGGGTTTTTTGGCATCCATTTGTCTCGAGAGAAAATGGAGTATGCCTCCAGGGGTGAAGCCAAACCTCTTCATTAGTTTGGCTAAGCCTGGGTGGTGTGTATAAAGGTCCTGGGCAGTGGCGTAGCGTGGGGGGTGCAGAGGGGGCCGGCCGCACCGGGCGCAACATCTGGGGGGGCGCGCTCGCACTCGCAGCTCTCTGCCCCTACCTGGCTCACTCACTCTCTCTCACTGCAGTGCTGGCTGTGCGAATCCGATCCGAGCCGCTGGGTCGCCGCCCACTGTGGAGGTGGGTGCCAGGCGTGCGGTGCGGAGAGAGAGAGAGGGACTATCTGGGGGAGGGACAGTGCAGCAGCCGCCCAGCGCAGCGCTGAGCGCGGGAGAGAACCACACCAGACCAGACCAGGCAGCAGCAAGAAGAAGCTGGCAGCGGCGGCAGGTTAGGGGGCGCAAATTACTTGCCTTGCCCTGGGTTAGGGGGCGCAAATTACTTGCCTTGCCCCGGGTTAGGGGGCACAAATTACTTGCCTTGCCCCGGGTTAGGGGGCGCAAATTACCTGCCTTGCCCCGGGTGCTGACAACCCATGCTACGCCGCTGGTCCTGGGCTGCCCAGACAACGTCCCTCCTCTCAGTCTCACTGATGTGGTCCCAAAGGAAAGTAGAGAAATACATTTGGCACAGCTTGGCTGCAGGGGTTGCTGAAGGAGGTGTACAAGGAACCAGCCATCAGTCTTATGGGTTTACTCCTTAGCGTTTTCTTCTCCCAAGGATACCCCACAGGACATCAGAGGTTTCGGATCAGAGTTTTCCTTCTCCTAGATGGGCTATCTTCCCAGGCCGAGCCCCTCACTCCCCTCTATAGCATGTACAAAAATTGCCTTCCTGACCACTGGACCCACTATTGGTTTCGACCGCTCAATCCACCAGAGACCGTCTTTGCATGCAGGGGAAGTCCCTAACTCACCCAGAGTTTGAGACCCTCACCTGGTTTAGTCAGCCAGTCGGAAAAGTTTCCTGGATGGTGGCCACTGTTGTTTGTTGACATCTTCTAGGAGCCACGGGGGAGAGCTGAGTGCAGGGTGGGGACCAAAGGTGAACAAACTGCCCCAGGAGGAGCATGATGTGTTCCTCACCAGAGGTACTACCCTCGCCTAACAACCCATACATCCACTGAAATTAATGAATAGGATTAAGTGAGGTCCATTAACTACTCTGAATAAAAGTTGAACACCACCAATTGTGTCAAAGATTGAAAAGTAAATCCCACAAATTGCTCCTACAAACTCATAGCTGTCCTTCACACTCAAAAGCTGTCCTTTTTTTTTAAGGGAAATTCCCTTATTCCGAATAGGATTCCTCGCAAGAAAAGGGAAAAGTTGACAGCTGTGCAAACAGCCGTGGGGAGCACAGACCTTGAACTGTGTTCAAGACAGCTCTAGATGGCCTTGCAGATGAATCTACAAAATCTGCTAGCCCACAAAAACTTTCACCAGCATGACTGGTCACACGTAACAAAATCACCTGTTGCATATCAAGAGCATGAATTAGATAAAGGAACATCTCCTCCAGTTTACAGAAACAGCCATGCCCGGTCAGCTGGAAAATATTCTTATTTGCTATTAAGTGAGAAGGCAAATTAACATTTACAAGCCTGAGCTAGTTGAATGTCTGGGGGTAGGTGGGGAGTTAATTAATCAACTTTCTCCCTTATTGTAGTATTAGGAAAAGCCCACCCAACTCCCAATTTCCTTCATGAATTTGTCCAATCTGCTTTTAAAGCCATCCACGCTGGTGGCCTTTACTGCCTTCTGTGTGAGTTTCATAGTTTAACTATATGTTGTGTGAAAAAGTACTTTATTTTAACTATCCTGAATCTTCCCATGTTCCGCTTCACTGAATGTCCACAAATTCTAGTGTTATGACAGAGGCAGAAAAACTTCCACTTTCTCCATGCTGTACTTAATTTTGTAAACCCCAATCATGTCACCTCTTTCAGGCCTTTTCTCTGAATTAAAAAGTCCCAAATACTGCCACTTTTCTTTAGGGGGGGGGGGCACTCCATCCGCCTGATCACTTTGCTTGCCCTTTTCTGAACCCTTTCCAACTCTGTAATATCCTTTTTGATGTGAGGCAACCAGAATTGTGCACAATACTCCAAATGCGGTCACACCACAAATTTGTATAACAGCATTACAATGTTGGCATTTTATTTCCAATTCCTTTCGTAATGCTTCCTAGCATGGAGTTTGCTTTTTCCACAGCTGCTGTACACTGGATCGACATCTTCATCAAGCTATCCACTACAACCCCAACGTTAGCTTCTTGTTGTGTGATGCTCTTTCAAAGCAAAGCAATGACAAGTTTTGAATCTTTGTCCTGATTTGAGTCCTCATTGGCTATTACGCGTGTGGGTGGAACTGAAAGAGGCAAAATCTTAAGGACTTTTGAGAAGTCAACTTACAGTGAACTCAGCAATCACCGCTGTCCGCCCCCAATTGTTACAGCCATATAACCAAGTCTGAAGGAGCCATATTTGCAAATAAAAAGGTAAAGGGACCCCTGACCATTAGGTCCAGTCGTGACCGACTCTGGGGTTGCAGCGCTCATCTTGCTTTATTGGCCGAGGGAGCCAGCATACAGCTTCCGGGTCATATAATAATAATAATAATTTATTATTTGTACCCCGCCCATCTGGCTGGGTTTCCCCAGCCACTCTGGGCGGCTTCCATAGAAACAAAAAATACAGTAAAATATCACAGATTAAAAGCTTCCCTGAACAGGGCTGCCTTAAGATGCCCTCTAAATGTCAGGTAGTTATTTATTGCTTTGACATCTGATGGGAGGGCGTTCCACAGGGCGGGCGCCACTACCGAGAAGGCCCTCTGCCTGGTTCCCTGTAGCTTTGCTTCTCGCAATGAGGGAACCGCCAGAAGGCCCTCGGCGCTGGACCTCAGCGTCCGGGCAGAACGATGGGGGTGGAGACGCTCCTTCAGGTATACTGGGCCGAGGCCGTTTAGGGCTTTAAAGGTCAACACCAACACTTTGAATTGTGCTCGGAAACGTACTGGGAGCCAATGTAGGTCTTTCAAGACCGGTGTTATGTGGTCTCGGCGGCCGCCCCCAGTCACCAGTCTAGCTGCCGCATTCTGGATTAATTGTAGTTTCCGGGTCACCTTCAAAGGTAGCCCCACGTAGAGCGCATTGCAGTAGTCCAAGCGGGAGATAACCAGAGCATGCACCACTCTGGCGAGACAGTCTGGGTCATGTGGCCAGCATGACTAAGCCACTTCTGGCGAACCAGAGCAGCGCACGGAAACGCCGTTTACCTTCCCGCCAGAGCGGTACCCATTTATCTACTTGCACTTTGATGTGCTTTCGAACTGCTAAGTTGGCAGGAGCAGGGACTGAGCAACGGGAGCTCACCCCGTCGCGAGGATCTGAACTGCCGACCTTCTGATCGGCAAGCCCTAGACTCTGTGGTTTAACCCACAGCGCCACCCACGTCCCATATTTGCAAATAGGGGATTGAAAAATGCAAATAGATCAGACGTGCAAAGATGAGCATACTCTACAGAATCACTGGCACTGAATGCAGATCGCAATACCCTTTGGCAGTCAGCTCATTAAGGTGACAGTTACTCTGAACTTTTAAAAACGTTTCAGCTGCCTTAAAATTCTGGGTCATCTTGCTCATTTGGCATGGGCCTCATTCTTCCTCTTGGAAGTAGCTGTTTTACTTTCTACTGCTGGTGTTTTATAGCCGGCTCCCCCACAGACTTCCCAAGAGAACCTTTGACCTGAAGCCTGGTGGAGATTAGCATTGCTCTGTTTCGCTTGCCCACCCTTCTGTAGAAGGCAATGATGCCTACTAGCCACAGCCCTTGTTTGCCTCCATAGGGTGTCAAAAGATTAAGCACCTGGGACCCTGCAACAGCAAAAGGTTATGAAGCTAGTCTAAGAGAGGGACCCGGCTGTGTTGTTGATGCAGCAATTAAACTGGCCTTCCTTGCCCAGAGGAACAATTTGAGTGAGTAGCAAATAAAAGCCCTGAATGAATGTGTACACTTTCTTGGAGTAGCATTTCTATTACAAATTTTATCAGTACACCAGGTCACAATTCCAAAAGAAGGGCATCCCCTGCAAAGCCAAGGTAGCTTCTGGGTTTTATCTAGCTAAAGAAAACAAGCTAATGTGATACACTGTCACAACAATATGGGGATGGGAATGCATTTTAAAACCAATGCCATGGCAACAGAGCTCAAACTGATGCATAAACTCCTCTGTAAAAATGCAAAATTAACTCTGTATTGCATCATCAGCAGAAACTATAGCGTGGTGCTTTAACAGACAGAAGAAACATTTGTTTCTGGAATTAAAGAGCAAGGATAAACAGATCAGAAGAGGGCAAACAACCCTGGACTTGCTGAGAAGGTTCCTTCTCATCTTAACTGTGAATGGAGATTACTCCTCTTACTCATTCCAAAGGAAGAACTAAGAAAATCTTGGTGCTGTCCTTTCTGCTGAGACAAGAACCCCCAACCCAGTTTCAGGACAGCCAATACATTAACCACCACCATAACTGTAAAAACACTACAGTATTAGAAAAAAGGGGGTAAGAAAGAGGAGGAAAGGAGAGATAAGGATCCCCAGACTCAAACCAAGCTGAACTGTATGCCTTGGAAGCCAAATGCATCATCCCTCATCTACCCTATGACCAGCAAGGGAACTTGAAGGCGAGCCTGAGTACGACTGGATATCCTTCCATGTACTGATGAGAAGAAATATCCATGGTAAGTTCAGCGCTCCGTTCTCTATTAGTGGAGGAAGATACCTCAACTGGAATGTTCAACTGTTGTACCAACATCCTGGTCTTTCCCCTCACTACTCAGGGTCTAAGGGCAAAGGGTCTGTAGGGACACCATTCTTACAAAAGCCACATCAGCAGAAGCAAGTATGTTGAACTGGTAATGCTTAACAAAATAAGAGGCCGAGGTCCTGGTGGCCCTGCTAAAACTCTTCCAATGGAGCATTTGTGCTGAATGCTGAAGTCGCATCACTATTGTGGAATGAACTGTGACCATTGAGGGGCCATGTGCTGTACATTGTAGGCTAGAGATACAGGGTTTACTCCACGTACCTATGTTAGCTTTGGAAACTTTCCTGCTTGTTGTGGAAAGCTAATAGGTTGGAAAGCTAATAGGCTGTTAAACTGTTTGATTACCATAGATTCATGTTTGCTGCGTGTCAGGCTTGTACCACTCCTCTTTGGGGGTTGGGAAGAGGGGATGTTTGAGCCTAGGAAAGGTGGCAGGAAGCAGAACCATGTGACAAATGGAACTGATCTCATTAGAGTCAACCATAGGCCTTGCTGCAAACTTGAAACTGCAAAGGTATGCACCAATGACCAGGCATATCTCCTCCAGCAATGCTCTCTCTCAGAAAGCAACCGTGTAGCAAGGCAGCACTCCCGACAAAAGTCAGCCAGGATACTCTCTGGGATCTGAATGTTGCTGGAAGACTGAACTAGGACTAACATTCCCAGGGCAATTTGACTGAGGAAGCCAGGGACAGCCTCCTTTCAAGGCCCAATTTATGGAAGGGATACAAAGAGGAATCTGTGTTGATGCAGGGACTTGGTTCTGACAATATAAAACTTGAAGGTCTGGCAGTGACCAGTGCAAACTGGCCCAGTTCAAGGGGCATGGTTGGATGAGAATAGGAAGAAAGAAGGCAGGATGGGTTCCTGAATCTTGTGAAAACAGAGTTGATTTTTTAACTAAAAGCTGGATCTATATGGAGGACGGCTTTACCTTGGTGGAAGATGCACAATTCACCTTCCGCTAGAAGAACTCCCAGTTCCAGTACTTCATGCAGCGGTATCCGTCATGAGAGTGGCACTAAACCAAATAGTTGCACATTGCTAGAACAATGTGATTAGTTCCCTCTCCTCCCCTATGCTGCCCCAAATCTGCTCTGCATTCCCAGAACAAATTCAGGGGAGGGAGTGCAGGGGAGGGGAGGAGAAGCAGAGATTGTTTTGTTGTGCACTCGGACAACACACTGGTGGTTCAATGTTATCTCCTATTCAAAGTAGCTTGTTAGCAAAGTCAGCTGCTGACAAGAGTAATTAACTTAGGTTCAGCATCTCTTTGTGTCAATAGCTTATGACTTTTACAATGAAAATAATAATGCAATATGTGAAAATAGAAAATAAGACACAGGTCTATTTCAAGGTGTTTGAAAAGAAGTAGGAAAGCGTTCTTAATACCCAGGCAATCTTCCTGAGAAAAAATAGAAGGGACTGCATTGCTCACCCATTGCTGATTTTGTCTGTCCTCCAGTGAAATCACCTTCCTCACCAGGAAGCAGTGATCCTTCACGGACAGCACTCTGGCTTCCCTGTTTGAGAACTGCTTCAAGAATAGCCATCTTCTGCTGGAGTTTCTTTAAGCTGTTTTGCATGGCATTTTTTTGCTGCAAATGAGACAGAACAGAACAGAACAGATTTGCCCATGATAAGTTATCTCTTTTCAGTGAACAGAGAGTATCCTTGCATGCCATCTAAGGCAACGTTGTGGTACAATACAGAGGTATAAGCAAGGGCACTGAGAAGTTCGATGGGGCACAGAAGAGAAAAGGACACCCTCAGTACTCAAATTATTCTGACTGAAAGCCCTGGGAGTCTCTCCCAGCCTGACCACAAGCAGTGAAACAACCATACCTGGGTAAGTAGGATACCGATACCCGCTAAAGCAGGCACAGGCAAACTCGGCCCTCCAGATGTTTTGGGGCTACAACTCCCATCATCCCTAGCTAACAGGACAAGTGGTCAGGGATGATGGGAACTGTAGCCCCAAAACCTCTGGAGGGCCGAGTTTGCCTATGCCTGCGCTAAAGAGAATGAACATATCATGGTAAGAGCAACATTATTTTCTCCTTCCATGAAGGAGTCCTATAGCAGCCCATGTGGTGCCTTCTAGATCAGGGCACTCCAATGTGTTGCCTGAGGATCACATGCAGCCCTTGATGCCTTTTTGCCCTCAGCAACACTGGATGCCTCCCGGTTAAGCAAGGTGCTGGGCTTTGGGAAGGAGGCATGGGGCTCTGACAGGGTCCTAGAGTCCTCCCGCCTCCTTCCCAAAGCCCAGTTAGCATTTTCCAAGCTTTGGGAAGGAGGTGGGAGGGCTCTAGGACCCTGTCAGAGCCTCATACTTCCTTCCCAAAGCCCAGCACCTCACTTACCCGGTTTCTGGAAGGCAGCGCAAAGGTACTGGGGGAGTGTGTGTATCAAATTTTGGCCTCTTCTCCCCACCCCCAATAGGTTTCGTGTCAAAGTACTCTTGTGGCCCACTTGATATGAAAAGTTTGGCTGTCATGTTCTAGATATTGCTGGACTCCCAACTTCCAGATCATTGTCCATCCTAGCAAACTGATAGGATTTGGGAGTCCAACATTTGGAGGGCATCATATTGGCTACCTTGTTCTCAATGTTCTTGTGCTCCTCCCTTTCATGTCCTTCACCAAAGCTGGTTTGATGCCAGCCAAAATAATTCCCTTGTATGTCTGTTTCATTATACTAAAGACCTCCCCTCCACAGTGGACTTTTCCCATTGAACCTGTGGTGGCTGGAGGAGGCACCCTTCTTGTGACTCAAACCACATTCTAGCTGCTTCCCAAAGATCCACAAATGGCAGCATGGAGCACAGCCAGTTTTATGATGTTCTGACTTCCTTTTGCACCATTATAATTCAGAAAGCATGGTGGGGGGAGAAGAGAACCTTCAGAAGCTTAAGGTAAAAAACAGAATAGGAATGGAGCTTTAATGAAGACTTGTTGTATCAGAGCAGGAAGTTTTAGGACTAGGAGGAGTTCCTTCTACTTGAGAAGAGCAGGCAAACTTAATGAGAACGAAAACCTTGACTAGAGTTAGCAGGAGGAGTAAGCCACACAAGGATACCCTCCTCAGCTGAAGGAGAAAGGTTTGCAGCACTAGGAAATTTCTCTTTTGTACATAAGTCAGCTTGCTGAATGCATGCAGAAGTATACATTACAACTGCAGCAGCTGCAAGGGAGCTGGTAGCAGAAATCTTATCAAAATTTTTCTGTAGAACTTTATTGCAGGCTTTTTGCTAGCAGCACCCCATCCCCCAGCAGTGGCAACTATCACCGGCTTGGCTTCATTCCTTCCCTTCTGCAGGAGTAGGAGTGGGACAATGCTTCATGCCCAGTGAAAGAGAGGAAGGAGATTCATCCCCCTCTTCTGCCCACCACAAGAGAGAGAGGGAAGCCAGCGGGGTTCCCAAGCACCTGCTGCTGAGCAAAACGCCACAAAGAAGTTCTTTTTGGTGCCTCCCACAGCAGCACTAGGGATTTTGAAAGGTGGGCTGCCCTTGAAGATGATCCAGAGGCTGCTGCCAATGCAGAATGTGGTTGCTAAGCACAGCACTGGCTACAAGTGAGCTATAAGGCCCAATTCAATGTGTTAGTAGTAGCTTATGAAGCCCGAAATGGCTTGGGGCCCAAGTACCCCAAAGAGCACCTCCCCCCATAGAAACCAACTCAGGCCCTACAATCAGCAGATAAGGCCTTGTTGGTGGTGCCGCCACTGGAAACCGACCTATGACAGGGCCTTTTCAGTAGTGGTTCCCCATTTGTGGAATGCCTACTCTGGTGAGGAAGGGATGCGGGTGGTGCTGTGGGTTAAACCACAGAGCCTAGGACTCACCGATCAGAAGGTTGACGGTTTGAATCCCCATGACAGGGTGAGCTCCTGTTGCTCGATCCCTGCTCCTGCCAACCTAGCAGTTCGAAAGCACATCAAAGTGCAAGTAGATAAATAGGTACCGCTCCGGCGGGAAGGTAAACGGCATTTCCATGCATTGCGCTGGTTCGCCAGAAGCGGCTTAGTCATGCTGGCCACATGAACCGGAAGCTGTACTCCCTCGGCCAGTAAAGCGAGATGAGCGCCACAACCCCAGAGTCTGTCACGACTGAACCTAACGGTCAGGGGTCCCTTTACCTTTACTTTACCTGGTGAGGAGCACCCACCTCCAACATTAACTTTGAAAACATTCCTATCCACCGTGTATTTGGTGGCTGAAAAATACTATTCCTGGCAACCCAAAGATCATTGGATGAAATAATGTTACTAATGATAACTTAAAATGCTTTAAACTGTTTTAGAATGCTTTTCTTAAAAAAAGTGGATGTGCTTGCCACCTATGGCTCCATTGGGAGGAAGAATGAGTTATGAAACAAACAATAAATAACATGGATTGATTCTAGCTCATTAATCCATGCTGGTCCAAGCAGCTCTTAAAGGCCTCCAGTGACAAAGGTTCAACCATGTTCCCAGTATGACATGTGGTTCCTGTATACCACTAGCTTTCCAAAAGCTGCTCTCCTCCCAAGATCTTATCCTCCCTTGCTGCAGCATGTCCCCATTAGTCCTTCACAGCCATGCCTGAAACTGTGCCATTTCATACCTGTGTGGTGAGAATCTCACTCTGGGAAGATAAGCCTGATGAATCCCCCAAGCAGCTAGCTTCACTGTCATAGTCCAAGGTCTCTTCACCTTCAAAAGACAAGAACCCTGTTTCTCATAAAGAATATTGGAGAGCATACAGAGATAATTCCCAGGCAAGGCTCCTTATTTATTGATACAAAGATGTGCCCAACATACCACCCCCAGAAAGGAAGAGGGGAGCTTTGGCTGAAAGAACAAGAAGGAACAGAGAAGGTTAGGAAAGCTTCCTACAGAATCAAACCTGGGCTCAAAGTACACAGTTAAGATACACTGACAGGGCTGGAGAAATATTTCAAATTCCTAGGGACAAATGTTTATGCACTCGGGATTATTCAATGTTAGACACTGAGAACACGGAATATATATGAACAGTACATGGAGGTTAACCCTTACCTCAACAGTTTCAACCATCACTGAAAATTGCTCGTCACTGCTGCCATGCAACAATTACACTTTTAAAAAATATTCTATTGGCACCAATGGAATTTTTTTTAAAAAACAATGTATTACAGGAGAGCAGGGTGATAAGTACAGGCTGAATAGATGAGTATCACCTGCAGGCCAGAGGTTCCCCATCTTACCCATCCCTGTTGTAAAAGGTCTAAGGGCCAATTTATACTTTATTCAGCACTATAGGCACACTGTTGACTGCTGTCGTGAATATTAAAAATGTCTGGTATGTGCATCTCCTCTCTGTACTCAGAAAACCCAGGAGAGGGGCAATAGTGTAATGTAAAAACACTTGCAGGGGGAGAAAACAAGAACCTCCATTTCAGTTAGCATTTAAAATGCAGTATGAAGACTTCCAAGTGAAACAGGACTCTTCCTTAAACTGGATATATCAAAAGAGGTACCATCGCCTCCTTAGCTGTTTCTATATATGGGCCTATGGCTTGCAGACACAAGCTAACTCGTAAAACAGTACACTGTAGTGTAAAAACACCTCATTTTCATCTGAGGCGGTAAGAAGAGACAAAAAGGGAGAGGATTCAATATGAAGGTAGGGGATTCAAAATAGCATACATTTAAAAAATCATATTCGTACCTAAATTGAATTCCGAATCCACTTGTTCTTGCTGTTCATCTTTCTGTTGTCCAGCATCTTTTGAGACTTCATCCCTGGGCTGAGTGGCTTTTTTATTCTCTCTAAGACTTTCCAGATTTTCTCTAGAAGTGGGAGCTGGAGTTAAGTGTCTTGAGTCATGAGGCCTGCTGTGGAAATCCTCAGCTGTGTGTGACTGGGAAGAAAACAGCTTCATAGAGCACTCCGAATCCTGACTTGGACAGACATGCTCATCCTTGGTTTCTACATTACATTTGTTGCTGCTCTTCAGTGCTGGCATCCCTCCCGATGTCTTCTTCTTTTTCAGTGGGTCTAGCGGTGTGCTTGCCGATTTACCAAATATCAGTGCCTGAAAAGATGGCAACTCTTCATCTTCGCTAGAATCTTCCTCCGAGGATGGCAGCTTCCGTGCCCATCTCTGCTGCGTGCGAACGAGGCCTTTATTGCTCAGCCTGGAACTTCTTCTGTTGCCACTACCCAGGTCTCCCTTAAGTGGGGTTTGCTCATCTCTGCCAGGAGACATGGCCAAGCTATCACTCCTCTCTGTTTCCCCAAGGTTAGGTGAGCCCTCTATGCTTCTGATGACAGGGCCCAGCAAGCCCTCTGGTGTCTCCGAGGACACCTCAAAGCCATGGTACTCCTCCTCGGCGCACTGTTCCAAATTATTACTGTGAACCAAGCACTTAGGAGTGCCTGTACTGCAATTATTGGTTGCTTCTTCTGTGTCACTATGCAGTTGCTTTTGTTCCATGGGGCTATTCTTTTCACCATGGACGCCACTGAATTCAGAATGTGGTAGCTGACAAATTACAGGACATGGCTGCATGAATTCTGGCTGAGAGTTTAATGCCAGCCCTTTGTTTTTAGTGCTTTCAGATTCTGCATCTTCAGAGTTGTTTATACTAGAACGTGTCTCATTAATGACGCTTAAACTGGTGCTGTGGATGATGACATTTCTCCAGACATTTGGGCTTCCACTGCTGCCGCTGTTATTTGAGTTTGCACTTTCTCCCCTAATTTGAGGGGACATACTCTTTTTAGTTACTGGCTTTTGACTTTGCGGGGGACTGTCAGGATTCTTGGTGGCTAATTGATCTGGTGTGGATGGATGATCTGGGAACGCAGTTTGTGAGGCAAGCTGGGGGTGCTCAGTTCTCCTCTCGTGATCAGGGAAACCAGTAGCACAAGATGCCAGTCTTTGGACAGAGCTGTTCACCTCACAGGCAACAGCATCTCTTCTCTCCTCACAAAATTTATCGATGCAAGTTGATTTCTTCAAACAGTCAACCTTGCCATCTTCCCCCAAGCCAATGCGTGTCTCTTTTTGAATTTCTGCAGCAGATTCCTTTACTGGATGCAACAAGAATGACTGGCGTTTGCAGCCATTGAATATCTTCTGCATGAAGTTTGTATCCAGTTCACTGTCCTCAGTTTCTGAGTTCAGCTCCAAAGTTCCTGCAGCTTCATCATTTGTTTCAGGGGGTTTACAGCTTCTCTTCATATCCCCTGTGCAAAACTCATCGCCCTCTAGTTTCTGGGTACATAACACATTCTTCTCAGTCTGGTGCGCTACTGTGAGCTGTTTCTCCTCAGAAGTGGTTTGCTCCACCTCTGGAGAAGCAAAATGCAGAAGTGAGCAGCTGTCTTGGGAACTTGCACTGGGAACAATGCAACAAGGACTGCTGCCCTCTGTGGTTTGTTCAACACCTACCTGAGGAGAAGCTGGAGGGTTAGCACAAGCTTTACTTGCATCCCCTTCCACGTCCATCAGGCTGGTATCTGACAAAGACACACCCTTTTGGAGCCTGCCCTGCAACACACTGGGGTAATTTTCTGCTATGGAAGGTGTTGGCCCGTTTTCTTCATAAGACCACCTACGCTTCTTTGTTTCTCTCTTATCCAACTGTTTCCTTCCTCGCTTTACTGGCTCACTTCTCCTCCAGGCGTCTTCTGTCGAGAACTGAAGCCTTCTGCTCCGTCTGACTTGTACCTGGCTTGTACCAACTTCCCTTAACTGATCATTAGTCTGTATCTTTGCCTTCTCAGGGGACCTGGAGCTTCTGTCCATCATTAACTGCAATTCGCCAACAGGCTTGATTAATTGTCTACGTATCTTGCTCATAGTGTTACTTTTCTTCTTTAGAGGGTTACAGTTTGATTCTGGCGATTTCAGGCATATACTCTGAGATGGTTCATTTAAATCAGTTTCCAAAGCAGACAGCCCTTCCTTGAGAGGAAATTCAGTCGGCAGCTCAACTTCCTTTTGATCTGCCACAGGGCTATCATCTACAAGAGCAGGAGCTTGGCCACCTTCTTCCAAAGCAGTATCTTCATCTCCACCAGGCCTCCTACTATTTACTTCCACATCTTGCCTCCTAATGAAGTCATCTGGTTGCAATTCTGATGTAGCCTTCCTCTTTCGCGATAATCTTTTTACAGGTGCATCACAGGATTCTGTAGTCTTAGCAACGCCCTCCTTTGCTTGGATATGAACTGTTTCCCTCTTATTCCAAAGAGGGGTTGATTTGCGTTTCCTCTTGTACGTTCTCCCAAATAGTTTATCCTCAGCTTTAGAGGCAACTGGCTTGGGCAAAGACCTGTCACCTACACATTCCACTGTGAAGACTTTCTGGTATCCAATCTGTTCAGTCTTCTGGGAGACCAGAGAGTCTCCATCTGACAAGTCTGGATCTTGATCCACCTCCTGTGTGTGAGTATCTTGCAAGGATCTTGGAGAAAGACCCTCCTTGCTTTTAGACAGCCATGCTTTGACTTTCTGGATGCTCCGCATCAGTTTCTTCCCAGAGACTTGACTCAGAGGACGTTCAGGGGAAGTTTGTGACTGCAGTAGCTGTTCCTCATTTTCACACAGGATGTGTTTATTTCCAGAAGGCGGTCCCGTAATAACATTTCCTGCATCATGACCAGCCTGTTTATCTACAGTGGGCTTTGTGGCTTCATCAGCCAATTGTGCCATATGGAGTAAAGAGCAAGAACCACCCTCTGGCATGGAATTGGAGTTCCTGTCATGTTTACGCAAGCAGGGATCTGGAGAAGACAAACCCTGACTCTTTTCCACAGCAGCATTCTTCTCAGGAATTTCTAACTTTCCAATGCTGGCTCCTTCTGTGTTTCCAAGTTCTTCCAAATAATCACATACACCTGAAAATAGAAAAGTTTAGAAATGGGATTGGCTTGCCTCTTTCACCAGCTACCTTTCTTAACTGCTGCCCTTCCTTACCACCAATTAAGATAGTCCAAGCCCTGCCACCACTCTCTTAGGAACCGAGTTCCTGGTTGAGCTACCCTAACCCTTCCCAGAAGGGAGGCTATTTCTTTGAGAAGTGAGTTGTGGTCAGGCGCTGGGACTCCCTGTGAGAATGCAGCAAGTCGTAAAAATCAGGCCCAAGAAAAGCGTGCTAGCTGAATTTCACAAGACTCAAGTAAAACCCCCCAGAGTGGTGAACTGAGCCCGCTTGATGCTCAGGCATTTGGATTCTTATTTCAGGTGCCATCGAGAGAAAATCCTCATACCTAGGATATTTAATGGTGTCTCATCTTCAGCACTCGGCTCAGAAAACTCCATGTGAAAAGGGCTTGGGCTTTCATTCTTGGCACACCCTTCATCAACTCGAGCTGGATAATTACGTCTTAAACTCACACTGTGAAGAAGAAGAATGAAACAAGAATGCCCAGGTGACCAAATGATGAACTGCAAACAACCTCTTAAAACCAGGTTCCTGCCATTAGGGTTTACAACCAAAGTACAGGGGTTCGGGGAAATATGGACAGGAAAGAACGAACCCTTCAAGGCGCTCACATTATTATCCAAAGTCCTAAATTTAGGCCTCAGATATCTGAAAGACCACTAAGATCATCAGAGGAAGCCCTTTTGGTAGTTCTTAACGCCCTCAGGGGTTTGGGGGGGGCAGAAGAGGACTTTCTCTGTGAGAGTCCCCAAGTTATTCAATGCCTGCCCCACAAATATGAATCTGGCACCTTCATTATGTAGCTTCCATTGCATGCTGAAGACGCATCTCTTTATTCTAGCCTTTGACACTCAAGATATATATAGTTTACGACTTGTCCTTTTCTTTTGATTGTATTTGTTTTAAACTATAAAGCTGTGTCTTAAATTGATGTACAGCATCCTAGGACCTTGTGAAGGGCAAGTAAAAAATTCAATAAATAATTTTTAATCACAATGCCTCTATACTGTGTCCATACTCCCCCCCCCACGCCCCATTCTTCCAATTTGTTTCAGTAAATCCAGAAGTGAGGAAAGATTGACAACAGGAGGTGGGAATGACAACAGGAGGTGGGAGTGGAGCATCTCCCAAGCAACTACAGCTGTTCCACTGGGTACCAGGACTTCTGTAACCAATTAAGAGCTGGCAAGAGTTGCTCTCCTTGGCTCATCCCTTTTAAATTTCCAATAATAGAGCTGTTGGATGAACCAGGCACCATGCAGTTGACCCATCTTCCATGACATGATGGTCATCTAAAGAAGTCTTGAGGCAGATGCCAACTAAGCACAGGAACAAAGAAGTGGGAAAAGGAACTCTACTAGTTCCAAGCTCTGGCATATCTCTCCTGTTGCATCTGAGAAGACCAGCTGGCTCACAAGACAACTTGCCTGAAGCCCAGTGAGTGGCCCAGGCTGTAGTTCCTTCACCCTCTCAATTCAGATGTGTGTCATAAATGCTGCAGGCTAAGCTATAAATTAACAGCTACCACCAGAATCCATTGCTACTTTTAACATGCTACTGGGAGAAGTAGTGAGAAATGTATCTCCTTTTTTCTTACTCTCTTTCTAAACTGTGGTCAGTGGGCTATTTATTTATTTATTTATTTGTTTGTTTTTTGAGGAGAGGTATGAGAGCTCTATTGTGCTGTAGTAAACTGTATGTGCCTGGTAAAAGGCTGGTGCTTCTCTTTCAGCTTTGTTGGTTTTAGGGTGAATTTGGTTGCTTTTATGATACGCCACAATTTTTTGATATATTGGCTGCTTGCGTGGGGAGAGTTTATTTGTGACCAAAGCAGAGGTGGATAAGCTATGGGTCTCCTAGGTTATTGGGCTACTCCTCCCATCAGCCTCAATCAGCATGACCAATAGTCAGCCACAGGTTAGCCACACCTGGGCTAAAGTGTGCATTATCCTTTGACATCCCTGACTGTTAAAGAATTTTTTGTAGCGTAGGAATATATTGATCTGATGCTTATGAATTTTGTATAGCTATGCAACTACCCCCCACTGAGTGTCAAAGAAAAGATGTTAAAGATTTATGCACAGCACCAACAACAGTGGCAAAAAAGAAAAGTTAAAAATCCACTAAAACACTTCAGCAGGGAGAGACAGTAGCAAGGGTCTCACTGACTAGAGCTGCAACTGCAAAGTCTGACCTTGCTACAATTGAGACAAGCTACTGTAGAATAACTTGTGCTTTGCAGAACTGGATTTGTGTGGCTCTGATCTTTATTCACAAGCCATGGGAGCAACAGAGTCAAATTCTAATCCTCAACGGGAACAAGACAGCCATAAGAAGCACATGCAGTCCTGTTATCCTTCACAAATTGACCCTGTTAGAGCAAATCAGCATGACACGTTCAGTCCTCACAATGCCACTCTAAATTTCCCACCCAGTCACCTGCCTATTTTCGGCAATCAACCGTTGGCCATGTGCACAAGGCTCTCTGATCGCCACTTGCTCCATTGCCTCCTTTTTCAGTTCCCTGCCTGTTCCGCCTACATTTTGTCCTTGCCTCCGTCTTCTCCACCCAATCTTCCTTCAGGTCAGGTGCGCCAACTCTATGGGGCTGAGGCTTCTACAGACCCCCCCCCATGTCTGCTGCGATGTGGCTCAGCCCCCATAATTTTGAGGGGGCAGAGGAGGCCTGGCGGGAAGTCACTGCGCGGCATCTCCCAAAGCTGTGCCGCCTGGCAGGCGGCTGTCGCAACGGGAGGTGGTCTGGTTGGCCTCTCCCAATGTGATAATCATCACACATGTGACGGCTACAACTAAGCACCTGTGCTTCAGGTACTAGTTTCTGAACTCAGTGCCCCTTTTTTCATCATTTTGCCACTGGACCCTTTCTCCAATGCAGAAGTAATTCCCACACAAGCAAACAACAGGTGGCAGTGAGATAGTACAGTGGTGCCCCGCAAGACGAATGCCTCGCAAGACGGAAAACCCGCTAGACGAAAGGGTTTTCCGTTTTTGAGTTGCTTCGCAGGACGAATTTCCCTATGGGCTTGCTTCGCAAGACGAAAATGTCTTGCGAGTCTTGAGATTTTTTTTCCGCTCCCCCCCCCTTTTTCTAAGCCGCTAATAGCCTTTTAGCAGCTAAGCCGCTAAGCCGCTAAGCCTTTAATAGCCGCTAAACGCTAATAGCGCTAATCCGCTAATAGGGTTGCTTCGCAAGACGAAAAAACCGCTAGACGAAGACACTCGCGGAACGGATTAATTTCGTCTTGCGAGGCACCACTGTATTTTGATTTTTTTTAGCCTATAAAGCTGTGTTTCTCAAACTTGGATCCCCAGCTGTTGTTGGACTACAACTCCCACCATCCCTCACCACTGGTCCTGCTAGCTAGAGATGATGGGAGTTGTAGTCCAACAACAGCTGGGGACCCAAGTTTGAGAAACACTGCATAACAGATAAACTCTTGGAAGGTGAGCAAGTAGCTCTCTCTCAACCTACCACCCCGAAACCAAGGGTTGGATCCAGAGTAAGTTAACTGTACTTAGGTTCCATAGATTCAATGGGAACCAAGCACAGCAAGGCCTCTTCCGCCCCCTCAAGATTATGGGGGCTGAGCCCCTTCCCAACAGACATTTGGGGGGTGGTCTGTAGAAGCCTCAACCCCATAGAGTTGGCGCACCTGACCTGAAGGAAGATTGGGTGGAGGAGACGAAGGCAAGGAAAAGTTGTCCCTGTGAAAAGGCCACAATCACTACATTTCTTGTTAAGTACAAGGAACGATGGCAGAGATAGCGTATGCAGTGCATTCCAATGTTCTGAACTATAACTCCCACGATCCAGGACCACCGACCATGTTTATTGGGCGGATGGGAGTTGCAGTCTAAAATTTATGGAGGGCACCATGTTGAGTACCTCTGTATTACGGGATAGCCATTCATTTCTATTCAGTATCTGAGGGGGAAAGGAAAGAGATAAACTTCCTCTATAGCAATAGCTCCATGAAAAGCACCAACGAAAAAATTCTTTAAAGGTCTATCTGTTTAGACAATCAGCCCAGGCAGAGGGAGATTTAATTAAAGTTAGTTGCAACTCGATTGACCTGAGGTGTATCGAGTTCCAGTGCCTCCTCAGAGCCCCTTCCAGCCCAAATTCAGTGTTCAACTGCTTGCAGGAGCCTTGTGCTTCATTGAGTTGCATGCAAACATGTTGCAATTTTAAATATTTATAATTCAATTTAAAAACACATTTTTACATAAAAGCAGGGCATTTACATATTTAGCAAAAAGGCATCCAATGCAAATTAGGCTTCCCCGATTTGTAGATCTGGACAAGGCAACCCTATTATGCCTCAGATGAAAGCAAGGAAGACCTACAAAAGTTTAAATTGCACTAAACCGTAGAAGTAGTAAGAAAATCATTTTACATTCAGGGAAGAACAGTCGCAAGTGTGGAGCTCTTTTAAGGTAGCCTTTAAATGGTTTCTACCTCCTGCACTATTGTGAGTAGAACTTATGGTTCAAAGAAGGTGGCCTGAAATATAATGTATTTGGTGCTTTTCCTTTGAATTTTGCATTCTCCTTCCCACAACTCCTGGAACGAGCTGAGCAAGGAACAAACAACTGATGGGCAGCAGGGTCTGCACTGGCCCTATTTTTCCTTTGTTAGCAACCCCAGATGTGTGTCCAGTAGTGGTCTTTGTTTTGCACCATGAAACTTAAAATTATAAAGTGAATTTATTATGGCATGAGTTTTCATATGTAAGACTGATTCACCAGATGCATGGTTAAACAGCACAGTTTCATCCTCAAAAGGCTCTAAACTGGATGGAAAACTAAATATATAAAATGATACATAATTCATATTGAGAACAGATGTCTGCTTTCCTTGGCCCAGAATACTGTGTGGGGGGGGGGTGTCATTCATATAGTACACAAAATCCTATTTATGTTCTATCATGAGTTTGACCAAAGGAGTTTGACCAAAAGAGCCCTGTTGAGAATTTAAAAAATCTCAACGACAAATAGACCAAATTCACTTGCAACAAACCATAGTTTGTTACAAGCACAGGAAGCAGGATGACACACTTGTGTGTAAGAGAAGACTTAATGCTTCTGTTCCCGGTTAAGTACAAACCATTGCTTGTTGCTTGCTCTGAATGAAAAACGGTGGTTTGTTCAAACCAAAATTTGTTAGCAAGGCAAGTTATCACACAAATAACACCCTGCCTTGTTGACAAACTGTCTTGAACAAATCAGCATTTGTTTAAGTTGAGCCAAAGCAGTAACTATGCTTTGTTCCTAACAAGAAATGGAAGCTTTAAATCTCCTCCCCTCATATGAGGCCAAGGTTCACTGATATAAAAACAAACTATTTTTTAACATGTCTAAACTGGGTCAAACAGAAACACCCCCAGGAGCTGCTCCACTGCACTGGGGATTCAGAAGACAGTTTAAAATCTTGCACTGAACAAGTAGTTGTGATTAAGCAAGTACATGCTATCTATCTTTTTTTTTTTTACCATTTATAATTAACTTAGTGCCATCTTCTGAGCCCTAGATATAAGTGCAGATTAGAACAATAAATTTATTAATGATCTACTTCACAGGTTCTGGGTCTTCAAAATAAACTAGAAGTCAATAGCCAGTTGTCCCTGGGCTGAACCAAGCTTTCTGAAAAATACCACCCTGTACCCTGTCACCTTTCCTTCCATTCACATATCGATAAAGAGCCCAGAGAATAGGAGGTGGAGGAACAGTAAACATTCCACACAGAAAATGTAAGCACTCAGCAGAGAGAAGACCAAGAAACAGCCATTGCAGAACACTTATCTTCATAGGATGCTACAGAGTAACAAGGCATGAGAGTTGTTTTTTCCTCTTACCTGTACTGCACAGCTGCAATTCACAGATCCAGAGGGCCATTAGCACTAGTAAGTACTAAAGGAACATCTGCAAAGCATGGTAGTGTACCACCCCCAAGATGCAGCAGGGGGGGAAATGAATACTGTAAACAAGAAGGTACTGACAATTTAAATTGATGGCTCTACTCACCATCTGATTGTATCGGTCTTCTTAAATGCATCTTCCGAAGAGTCTGATCCTTAAATGAACAAGGTTTACTATTATAATTTTGACAAAACGGGCATTCAAAAACCACAATTAGCATTGCTGGCTAAGGTTTAGCAGGATCGTAGCCACTCTGTGCAGAACCTAATGCTTTCCCTCAAATATTCCGTAAAATCCAGGTTGACTGAATCAGCAATACAGCTCATAGAAACATTTAAATAAAAAATATATGCTGGCAGGCAGTCCACTGGAATGTGAACAGTGTACCTGGATTAGGGCCCAGAAAGTTAAGTTTGGGCAGGATTTGGTCTTGGGAAACCAAGGCAGAGAGTGGCTTGCATGCCACAATAAGCAATAAACCATGGCTTGCTCTGAGCAAGCATCACCCTTCTTTGCACTAGACCTGCCTAGAACAGGAACGAACATCAGAGGTTATGGTTTAGTTTCTCCCCAAACAAACCACAAGTGGAAGCCAAGGTTTGTTCTTGGCTTACCACTCAAGAGATGTTGGAGAGAAACAAATCATGAGTCTCGGTTCACACATCCTGTTATGCCAAGCCTCACTGTTTTCCCCAGCTCCAGGCAAAGCAACCAATGTGGGAGCAATTAAGCAGCATGCAGGAGGATACTTATTTACAGTATGTTTGCAGTAAGTTCAAACCCTGTTCAGCTATGTCCACTAGGCGATCTGGGACAAGTTAGAGCAGTAAGCAATTCTTCTATTAGGATGCACCAAGATTCACCATTCCTTATCGTAATTACCAAAAAAGGGGACACTATTGAAGAAAAAGTAGTAAAACAAAAAAAGCCCAGGCACGTTTAGGGATACAAAGATGCTACTTTCAGCAGATGACAACAGGTAAGTATTATTGTTCTAACTCCTGCTATTCTGACTGACCCCATTTGTTGAAACACTTACCAATTTCAAACACGGCGGCTTTACTGGAATTGCTTTTCTTTCTCAGGGAGCGCCTTGTTCCACCATCTAATGGCAAGTTGGAGGTCTCACCTTCCTAAGGGAAGCACAGAAGATGTGTTAGGGGCCTACAGACATTAACATGCAATCCAGATGCAGTCTAGTCTTTAGGTCCCTGTATTCGTCACAAAACTGAGTCTCCCCTGTACTTTTCAACATCTATATGAAGCCGCTGTGAGAGATCACCAGGGGGTTTGGGCTGGATGGTCACCAGTATGGTGGTTGATACCCAGCTCTACCTCTCTTTTAAATCAGAACCAGTGAAGGCAGTGAATGTCCTGTGGTAGTGTCTGGAGGCGGTTGGAGGCTAACGGATTGAGGTTGAATCTTGACTGACAGAAGTACTGTTTCGGGAGAACAGGCAGGTGTGAGGGACTCCCTGGTCCTGAATGGGGTAACCATGCCCCTGAAGGACCAGGTGCGCAGCCTAGGAGTCTTTTTGGACTCACAGCTGTCCATGGAGGTGCAGGCCAATTCTGTGTCCAGGGCAGCTGTCTACCAGCTCCATCTGTTATGCCAGCTGAGACCCTACCTGCCTGTGCACTGTCTCACCAGAGTGGTGCATGCTCTAGTTATCTCCCGCTTAGACTACTGCAATGTGCTCTACGTGGGGCTACCTTTGAAGATGAGCCGGAAACTGCAACTAATCCAGAATGCGGCAGTTAGACTGGTGACTGGGAGCGGCCACAGAGACCATATAACACCGGTCCTGAAAGACCTACATTGGCTCCCAGTACGTTTCTGAGCACAATTCAAAGTGTTGGTATTGACCTTGAAAGCCCTAAACAGCCTCGGCCCAGTGTACCTGAAGGAGCATCTCCACCCCCATCATTCAGCCTGGATACTGAGGTCCAGCTCCGAGGGCCTTCTGGCAGTTCCCTCCCTGAGAGAAGTGAGGTTACAGGGAACCTGGCAGAGGGCCTACTCAGTAGTGGTGCCTGCCCTATGGAACACCCTCCCATCAGATGTCAAGGAAATAACTGACTGCTAGAAGACATCTGAAGGCAGCCCTGTTTCAGTAAATTTTTAATGACTGATGTTTTACAATTTTTTATATACGGTGTACGCCGCCCAGAGTGGCTGGGGAAACCCAGCCAGATGGGTGAGGTATAAATAATAAAATTATAATTATTTTAACCATAGAACTCTTAAAATCTGATGTTGAAGAAACTCTAGCTCTCTTGAGGCATTTACTACTCTACGCATAAAAAGGTCCCCTTCTGACTTGAGCAGGAGCACTGTCAGCACATGGGGCATCACTGAGGAGTTGAGTGAGCCCCACCTGTTCCCACAGGCCCCTTTGCAAGTTTGGCAGTGAATGCTTGAGGAGGGTTTCCCTCTCACACACAAGTTATACTGATACAAGTTTGTATAAGATCTTGAATGAAAACTTTAATGTAGAACACCAGTGTTGGCCTCCTTAGGGTTGGGAGAAACATTTTCCACTCATCAAAAAGAAAATCACTGCAATCTATACTAAAGTCAATAGCTATATTAAATTACCAAACCTGGTTGGATGAGACCTCCGAAATATTCCTTGACTAGAGGATTGCAGATGGCTAGACAAATACAGAATTGGTCTAGGCCTGGCAGCACAAGAGAAATAAGCTGCATCAATCCAATAAGGCTATTTAATCTATAGGAGGTATCTTATTATGTATGGGCAACACTTTAACCTGAATAATGGTGATGGGAGGATATCTGAATATAGCAGATCATGCCAGGTTTCCTTCCTCCTTGTCAAGTGTTGCTGGTGCCCAAAGGTCCAAAAGAGAATTAGTATGCCTCAGCCATCCTTTGGCTCCACCTTGCACAGCTCCTCTACTTATTTCTCAGGGCTTAATAGGATTCTAGGCCAGCTTTCTGAAGTTCACATATAAGCTTACCTCTACTGGATATTTAGTTGACCAGCTGTTCACCTGAGTACTCTTCCCTTGGCTTGCCAGACTTGTCCTATTTTACTTCCCTTACCCATCTACACCAGTGTTCCCTTTCATTTTGTTATGGGCTAATCAGCCTACTCAAACCATTGCAATTTTCTTATATTTCCTTGGTCAGATGCCTCGATGTGGATTGGGTTCCTCCCCTTTAACTGATGTGCCTACCTTTAAGACAATGGCACTCATGATTAGCCACCAACAAGATCTGACTTTAAGGCAGGTCAGGAGCCAGAGAAAGGCAGAGTGGGAAAACAAAAAGGGAAATTTAATTGTGGTGACCAGTTAACTTTTATCTCCCAGTTTCTTGAAGGTTACTGCAATGCCAAAACCATTTGGTTATAACAAACCTCTGCTTTAGTCTGCAGTGTCCCTTTTTAACAGTTACTCTTTGAAGCTTCCCTGAAACACATTAGCATGGAAAAATATCCCTCACAGCGGTAATTTCAATGACAATTAAAATGCATTATAGCTTCAATACTCCAAAGCAATAAAAACAGCTTTCATTCAGATGCTTTTCAAAAATAAATAGTTATTCTAAAGGGAGTGATTATATACTAGCACTTTTCACAGCCTCGGAGTCCAACTCAAGTGCTGTTTATAATTTTATAGTCTAAGCAAATCAATTTGAAGCCATCTTGCTAAAGCTAAGCGGGTCTGTATTTGGTCAACACCCAGATGGGAGTCCATCTGATAACCCCAAGTACGCTGCACTCAGCCACATGGTGGAAAAAAGGAAGGAAAATCCTCTTTGCTACATGAGCAATCAGGCTGGCACAATGAAGAGAACTGGATCAGGTCTGCTGCTATCACATAATGGCAACAGAGCCAGCTCAGGATCCAGCAAATATTGTGCCAGTCCAGGTCTGCCCCCAGAATGCCTGTTCTGGGGGTTTCCACTGGCTACTGCCAGTCATAGTTTCCACATACCCACCATTTGGGTGGGCACATCAGGGCATTCCTCACCAGCAGTGCCACGGAGAGGCACCTCTATCTCACCAAACCTTCTCCAACATAGTGGTTCAAAGGGTTGGATAGCTCTTTAAACATCATTAGGATAGCAGGCAAAAGGAGAGAAAACACTGTTACCAAGCTAGCATTTCTCTTTTTCACTTCCTTCACTCTCTTCAGTCTGTCCCTGTAGCCTTTGCAATCAATGACTTGTTTTTCTTTCCATGAAACAGAAGCAGAAGCATCTTCTAAAGCTTTCTTAGGGAAACACAGATCATCTGAAACTGAGAAGATTAAGATAATCAAGAAGCAAACCCTTCACCTCAAAAACCTGGGACATGAAGTCAACCTCTTAATAAGAGGTGAGCTTTGCAGCACAAAGCCAGCCAAGCTGCACATAAAACATTATGGTTCAGGAATTCTGCTGCCTTTGGACTTGGATTTGGGGAAGGGGGGCATTTCCACTGGGGGCAAGCAATATGTAACATTTGCAGAATGCAAGCTTCATTTACCATAATTTTATATAGATTTTTAAAAGACTCCTGTTTCTAAAACACTGCAAAACCAAAATGCTTACTCACTCCTAGTTATCATACAGTTGTCCAAATACAAAGGTACTACAGTGGTCAGTGGTACCTCGGGTTACATACGCTTCAGGTTACAGACTCCGCTAACCCAGAAATATTACCTTGGGTTAAGAACTTTGCTTCAGGATGAGAACAGAAATCGTGCTCCGGCGGCGCAGCAGCAGCAGCAGGAGGCCCCATTAGCTAAAGTGGTGCTTCAGGTTAAGAACAGTTTCAGGTTAAGAACAGACCTCCGGAACGAATTAAGTTCTTAACCCGAGGTACCACTGTATATCATCTCTGGAAGGCACCCAGACTCAAACTTTCCTCTACTTCAAGAGGAAGGGCTCCAAGGTTGTAGACTAATGTCGTCTTCTCCCACAACAAGCAGCAACCATTTCACATGGGGGTTCCATTCCCGGCCCCTGTACATGTCAGCGGAGAGCATATAAGTACACCCTGCCCCCGTTCTGCCTTCTTCCAGGTCCACAAGGACTCATGTGTCAGCAATTGTGTGTCAATTGGACACACCTAAAATGGTCGCGTCCTGTATTCAATCTGGTTCTATGAAGCCAAGGTAAGAAATATGCATTTCAAAGGGTACTGTTTGACACCTTAGAGCAGGGAGTGGCCCTCTAAATCTTGTTGGGACTACAACTCCCATCATCCCTGACCATTTGCCTTGCTGGCAGGGCTGATGGGAATTCAAGTTGAGACAGTTTCCCCACCTGTCTTAGAGGTTGAGATAGGATGCCAGAAGATGAACTAGTATAGACCAAATCATTTAGAACTTTATAAGGCAAAACTATCATCTTGGGATTTATTTAAGGATGCAGAAAATCAGTTGTGCAGTTCTGCACCACAAGAAGACGGGGGGCGGGGCGGAATTCTAACTGACCCAGCTTGCCCTCCCCCAGCCTAGCAAGTCTCAGAAGTTCATGGAGATACATAATACCTACACTTGAGCCCTGTATCATGTTCAAAAGCACGGATGGCTTCCAGCACCACTTTGATTACTTGCTTAAATCGGACATCTTCCCATAGACTTCTGAAAAAAATAAAGACAACAAAGATATGTAGTCAAGAAGATGAAATAGACGTTTTTATCTACAGTCACCTGAGACAGCGCTCAGGGGACTGGATGGGGAAGTGGAATAAGTAATAAGAAAGGTTTCCAAGCAGTAGATGCTTGAATTTCTAAGATGCTGCAGGCTTTTGTCTAATTAAAGAATTACTCACTTTATAATAACCCAAGAGACAGTAGGTATTGCACTTGCTGTTTCATACCCGTTTACTCCAAGAGTCCTTTGGCGTGAAAACAGCAAGCCATGATAAAAACAACAGGGTTCTGATCAAAATTTAGGTAGAGATGCAGAACTGTTTTCAGCCCAAGAGACACATGTAGCTGGTGGGTGGAGCCAATGCAAAAATGGGGAGGGCCACCCTGTTTATCCACACTCCCCCCCCCACATTAACAAAACTCATTTGCCAAGGCATTTATACACTCACAACGGCAGTAATTAGATTTGAAAAATGTACAGGAGCAGTTTTCGAGCTTAATTGCCATGGGTTGGGGAGATAACCATAGCCGTGCCTCTTTTCAGGCATTAAAAGTTCTTCCACTGGTGTGTTCTCATTGCAGAAGGCTCTAGTTATCTGCCTATTGCTGAAACTTATCCTGGGTCTGCACTGCAGTGTGCTTAGTTGCATAGTTGTTTCATTCTGTTCTAATTAAATTTGGTCATGAGGAATTTACCTTTTGGTGACTTTGGCATTGCAAAGTGGACACCGTACCGCACCCTTCTTCTGTTTAAGGAGCTTAAACATGCAGAAACTAGAAAAGAAAAGGGAAGTCTAGGTGTGAATACTGGTCTTTATCTGAAGTGTGGGGCACCCTACTAAGCCCTTGTTGGCTTGACCACCATGTACACACACCTCTGTCAAGCTCAGTTACCACCACTGCTTTCTTTTGCCAATCTGAGCCAAAACAAACTGCTTACTCACAACAGTTTCAGAGGCATGTGATCCTCTATACTCTGCCTCAACTGGACCCCAAGGAAGGAAAAGAATCAATATACCAGCTTCCCATGCTTACCAGTGTAGTAAAATGTTGCCTCCTTTACACAATTTCTTAGCTTTTGCTTATCTCAAGTCCTTCCCTCAGGAAGTACTGTAGAAATGATTCTATGACTTTTTGCTTCATCCTTTTAAAAAAATTATTACTATTCAAAGTTTGTGCAGTAATTTACAGGCACAACATAAACATAACAAGGACTCACAGTGAATTATAGGTAGTATGAATCAGAAATAACAATAAGAATTTTTGCAGTATGGTAGCTGAGATTAAGATATAACAAGCTTACAAATCAATAAGATTGTTCCAAAATGATTTTTGGAGAGGAAGTGGTTTGTATAGGGTGCAGAGAGGAGTAAGGATTATTATTATATTGTTGGAAGAGATTAAAGTACCACACAGAGTGAAAGGAATCTGGCTTGACCCAACTTTTAGATAAGCATGTTTAATGACGTAACCTTTCTAGGAGGAGAGTATGTTGCCAAATACATTGGTACCATGTAAGCAACATGGTTCTAGTAATTTCCATACAACTATTTCTTGAAACTTCTACATACAAAATCTGAAAAAAGGGCTTACCTGCAGAAGATGTGGGCACAGTTTGTTGAGACTGGCTCCTTCATTACCTCCAGGCTAGTAAAAATATATATATAAAGAATCAAAACTAGAAAACAAATGCAATTCTCTTTATGTCCTCAAATAATAAAAGGGCCAATAGGCAAATTTTATAGAATAATACCAGGTTTCAAAGATAAATCTGGCACATTTATAAGGAAATGAGGGAGAGATATAGGCCAGGAACCAGAAAGCTATTAATAGAGATGGCTATGAACTAAAATGCCACCTAAACTAATATCAGTGGATTCTAAAGAAATTGCTTTTAATATCCAATATCAATGTTACCCAGCACTACATAAATACATATATGTACACACAATTCAAAACTCACAATAATTGCTGGAAATGCAAAGGCTCAAAATCAGATTTTATGTAGATCTTTTGGGAATGACCAAAAATAGTCATTTTGGAATATAATTCACATTGCAATCAATAAAATTACAGGATACTCATTATTATACGACCCTAAATCTCGTCAAGAAGAAACTGAGCTGAATTTGTTGACAGCCATTTTGTTGCAAAAAATGGAATAAAAGCAACTCTTCATCAATAGCAGACTGATTTGACATAATCTAGTCAAGTATAACTATGATTAAAATGAAGTGTTTTAGATAAGTTTATAATGAACAACCAAACAAGGTTTTAGAACAATGGTTATTTCTAATTTTTTAGAATGACAGGCATCAAAATAATATACAAACCAAAAAACACTTTTTCTTTATTGTAATTGTATACTTCTACACAAGCCAAACATGTAAAATTACTATATTAATATTTTGTTTTAAAAAGTAAAATGTAAAGCCATAGTATATTTTTGCATTTGATTAAGCAGAGTAAAAAAATAAAGCACCCAAACTACCCATTTCAAATATGGCATCCTCAATGCAATGTCTGTATAGGAACAGACTGCTCTATCATATTAACATGGAATCGGTTCTCTGCAAACACAAAAGAAGAATCTTGCAGCACCTTAAAACATAACAGATGCCTGAATTGTATCCTCAGTTGACAGAGCTGTCCTTGCATAGAGATAGCCACCTAACCTCATATAGCTGCTCATTAACAGAGACATAAACCATGGGATTGTATCCAACTAAGACCAACTAACTTCAACGGCTGTACTCCGAGTAGAACTATCATGTGATACAGCCCTGGGATTAGGCCCTAAAACAAATCTAGATGCCAATTCTGTCCCCATATTTCTTCAGGCAACAGTCTACTGGCAGAAGATCATAAATTCAAAAACTAATCAACACAAAACTATCATGAAACATGCCATTACCTGCCAACAATACTGTACATTCCTGGATGCCACGTTGGTGACTGGAGAAAGCAAAATGTCACTTAGAGAAGCATCTGGTATATTTTCCTTGAAGCTTGAATTTGATTAGTCTAGATTGTTTTATTTGATATTTTAATGTGTTGTAAATCACTCTGAGATTTGTTCTTTAAGTTTCTAGCACTACCTATGTGGTAGGGTCTGCAGACCATCAATTCTAGCACTACCTATGTGGTAGGGTCTGCAGACCACCAATTAGGAACCCCTCTCCTAGACCACTCTGATACTGTCTTGAAAGTCAGTTCTTTAACACAAAAAAACAGCATGAAATTTCTGAACATCTGTCAGCAAGTTTGATTCTATCCATTTAGAACACAACTGAAGTTAAGGTTCTCTCTCCCGCTACATGAGGAAATCAGGATAGCAAATTTAGATTGAGTTTTATGCCACATATTGCTATTGAAGTCACTCTGTTTAACTTGTATATATGTTTGAGCTTTGCATAGATGTCAAAGAGATAAACAACTACCTGACATTTAGAAGACATCTGAAGGCAGCCCTGTTTAGGGAAGTTTTTAATGTAACACAAGGTACCACTACAGTGGTACCTCGCAAGACGAATGCCTCGCAAGACGAAAAACGCGCAAGACGAAAGAGTTTTCCGTTTTTTGAGTCGTTCCGCAAGACGAATTTCCCTATGGGCTTGCTTCGCAAGACGAAACGTCTTGCGAGTTCTTGCGAGTTTGTTTCCTTTTTCTTAAAGCCACTAAGCTGTTAATAGCCGCTAAGCCGCTAATAGCCGTGCTTCGCAAGACGAAAAAACCGCAAGACGAAGAGACTCGTGGAACGGATTAATTTCGTCTTGCGAGGCACCACTGTATATATATTTCTGCTAACTAAAGACCTGATGAAGTGGCCTGAAGTCCACAAAAGCTCATATCTGTTAATATTTAACGTGCCATAAGGTTATTCTTTTAAGAGAGCTAGTAAGTGTAATACATCTGTGGACAACCCCCACCACAATTGGTTTGGAATTAACTATTACTTCAGGTTCTTAAGAAAAATATTGGAAACACTGCCCATGATGATTTTTCCCTCTTTTGAAATAACCCAGCTTTAGTAATAAATATCCATTTCAGGAACCATCTGCTCTTTCAGCAAAATGCTTAACACACACATCCCACACACTTCCAGGTCATACTTACAAATTCCCAATTTGGTACTACTGCTGTATTTTTGGTAATGTATTGAATTATCTCTTTTTGCAGTTGTCTGATAAAGGATAACAGAATGTCTTCTTGCTTTGATATAAAAATCAAGGGTATGGCTCAATTGTGACATAACAGCCCAATCATAATTTGGCCATCAAGAATATGCTATAAAGTCATGTGCCCCATCCTCCCCTTGCATACACTAATTCCCACTTCCATTTCATGTTTTGTGTTATCTAGCATTTACTGTGATGTAACTGCAATAACCAGAATTTGACACATTCACTTCAAACCAGTTTTTGAAATCTGACTTGGAGATAACTCTGGTTATCAGTGACCACAGTCTGCTTGATTTGAAGATCATGGAAAACTGTGGTTATTGCAAATCAGGAAGTGACCGGGTTTACCACACCTCAGTCTGATGCTCAGTCTATGGTTTCTCCACAACATCTGAACTGAGCTTAATTGAACATCTTTGACAAGCTGCGGTGATTCTCAAAATCATCAAAATAATATACAGTAATAATAATAATTTATTATTTATACCCCACCCATCTGGCTGGGTTTCCCCAGCCACTCTGGGTGGCTCCCAACAGAATTAAAAGCACAATAAAACATCAAACATTAAAAACCTCCCTAAACAGGGCTGCCTTCAGATGTCTTCTAAAAGTCAGGTAGTTGTTTATTTCCTTGACATCTGATGGGAGGGCATTCCACAGGGTGGTCGCCACTACCAAGAAGGCCCTCTGCCTGGTTCCCTGTAACCTCACTTCTCTCAGGGAGGAAACTGCCAGAAGGCCCTCGGAGCTGGACCTCAGTGTCTAGGCTGAATGATGGGGGTGGAGATGCTCCTTCAGGTACACTGGGCCGAGGCTGTTTAGGGCTTTAAAGGTCAGCACCAACACTTTGAATTGTGCTCAGAAATGTACTGGGAGCCAATGTAGTCTTTCAGGACCAGTGTTATATGGTCTCTGTGGCCGCTCCCAGTCACCAGTCTAGCTGCCGCATTCTGGATTAGCTGCAGTTTCCGGCTCACCTTCAAATGTAGCCCCACGTAGAGTGCATTGCAGTAGTCCAAGCGGGAGATAACTAGAGCATGCAGCACTCTGGCAAGACAGTCCACGGGCAGGTAAGGTCTCAGCTTGCATAACAGATAGAGCTGGTAGACAGCTGCCCTGGACACAGAATTGGCCTGTGCCTCCATGGACAGCTGTGAGTCCAAAAAGACTCCCAGGCTGCGCCCCTGGTCCTTCAGGGACACAGTTGCCCTATTCAGGACCAGGGAATCCTCCACACCCGCTCTCCCCCGTCCCCCCAAAACAGTACTTCTGTATTGTCAGGATGACACGTATCTGCTTGGTTTTATAAAACATTCTGGAACAAAATGATCTTCATTCAAAGATCCCATGAGAATACAATACACATAATAAAACAAGCATGAAGCATATTAGAGTGGTCTGATGCTAGGACTGCATTTTCTAGTGTAACACTTATGTCCTTGATTTTGGTGCCCCCAAGTGTTTGCTGCCATGACAACAAGTATTTAGCACCAGCATAGTGTTGCATGTCACCCCGTTCTCCCAGCAGTGTGAGATGCCAGGGTTTCCAGCTGCTCACCCAGGATTTAGTTTTCTTGGAATGAGGGGTGGTGGAGACTGTAGTGTCTTTGTGATATATGGTTTATTTACACACACGTGTGACCTGAGCCCAAGGTTGAGGGGCTCACAGCATTAACACTCCAAGAGCTATTGCTTCTCCCTGTCACAACCTTGGACTCAAGTAGAAATCATGCATGACACTCTCTAGCTGCTGTATGCTTCTAGCCCAGTTCTATAATACACCACTCTGGCAATTGTCCCTCTCATCACCAGCCAGGTAAAGGAGAGGGCTCACTCATTTGTCCTCTGATACAAAGCCACTTCCTTTGTTACACAAACAACCATGCTTAGGCCCATTCACTCACCAAGAAGCTGGTCTGGCTACTTCAACAATCAAATCCCCCATTAGATTTTAACCCTTGCTGGGTCCAGGCCCCTAGCAATTGCAAGGGACTCAAGCATCATGCAAGCTGACCCCCTCAAACTCAAAGCAATGGGGGGGGGGAGGAAATCACCAAAGACCCAGACACCATTCTACAATGCAAAAATAGCAAACCCAACTCTTAGCTATGTACATCACTATGAATGCATATAGTATTTAACCATAGCTTTATATTCTACCTGACCAAAGCCTGCTATGGCACATCTATACTAGAATCCTAAATGATTTTCAAGCTTATTTAACTGCTGCAAATTCCCATGCAAGGAATCCTAGTAATTCTTTAAAGCAATTAGAGATCTCCAATAAAAAAATTCCTAGCATCTTCAGTGATATTTACAGTAATCCTCAGAGGACTCCTATGACAATTCAGCTGGTTCAAACCAATATTGCAAATGTGCCATAAGGAGACACAGGAGGTCAGAGACTGAAATAAGCCAAAGGAGGAACACATTCATATAAGGTCAATTTTGAACAATGTGGCACAAATACAGCAAGCTGGCAGGAGCATTCTATGAAAAAGCACTTCACACATACTAAAAACTTTCAGATAAAAAGCTTGATTGGGCAACGGAGATGTTCCTTCCCTGCTTCTTACTCATTTGCAACTGGCAGAAGGCTTACTGTGTTTTTTGTGTTGTTTGGATGTCATATATAAAACTAATAAAGAGTAATTGAGAAAAAAGAATCTGAAAGATACAGGCTCAGTTGAAACCTAACAGGAAATCATGAAGTTCACATTCTCTCATTTTCCCAGTCCTCTTTCACATGATCGAAAGCTTCTGCTTTAGATGTTAAACTAACCATAGTTCCCTGTGACACCCACGTTCAAAGAACAGTAGCTCTAATGATAGTCTTTAGATATTGTATTTTGAATCAGAAACCAAGGGGACACTAATTTTTTTTCCATACCATATTGGGCATTCCAAGTTCTTCTGCATAGCCAGCAATATGCCACGAACCTCCGCAATGCTTGGAATGGAGGAATCCATAATGTCTTCTACACCTTCAAAAATTAAAAGGCTTCATGTTAAAATAGTCTAGTATTCTAGGCCTAAACTACAGTTTCAGACCTAAGATTCTATTAAATGGGTAGCCCAGACTGGGAAATAAGGCCTATTGAGTTCAGAGGACTTTTACATCCACTGTAAGTGTGCAGATGAACCAGTAAGAATGACTTTTATTCTGCAAATCCAATAACATTTCAGTTCAACCCAGTGACTACTTTTTCAAAAGTTACTCTCAGCTAAGTAGACAGACAACTGAAACCTTACAACCTGATCATATGCATGTTTTACTCACAGCATAATTACTTGCTATGTAGATAGGATCACTGGACACTTTTTCTCACAGAAGGATTATTGTTGCTATCAACAAACCCTGAATGTTACTAACAGCTTTTAACATCCTGATTAAATGAATGATAATAAACGTATAAATGTGTTCCTATATAGTAGAAACCATGTAGCACTGAAATATTCATCTTCAATAGAAGTGTGTTGCACTACAGGCTACTCTTTCCTTATAACTCCCACCCCTTTCTCTTATAAATGGATGAAGGGGTGGGGCAATGGCATCATTTTAAGCAGGGGTCAGCAAACCTTTTCAGCAGGGGGCCGGTCCACGTCCCTCAGACCTTGTGGGGGGCCAGACTATATTTTGAAGGGGGAAAATGAACGAATTCCTGTGCTCCACAAATAACCCAGAGATGCATTTTAAATAAAAGGACACATTCTACTCATGTAAAAACACCAGGCAGGCCCCACAAATAACTGAGATGCGTTTTAAATAAAAGGACACATTCTACTCATGTAAAAACACGCTGATTCCCGGACTGTCCGCGGGCTGGATTTAGAAGGCGATTGGGCCGGATCCGGCCCCCAGGCCTTAGTTTGCCTACCCATGATGGTCAGGGGTCCCTTTACCTTTAAGGACGCAGCAGGAAAGCCTGAGGAAGGCCACAAATACACATAACCAGTTGCAGGGTGGTGGCAAAGGCATGAATGCTGGCCGGAAGAAACTATGCGCCCCAGACCCCACCCTGTCTCACCTAGTGGAGAAAACTGGAGAGAGAAAAACTTGGCCACCCACCATAAACAGAAGAGATCACCCACTGATTCGGGAATCTATTGCTTACCTGTCGCCTTCATTTAGCTTTAGGCACCAGGCAAAGACTTTCCCTTTTAACCTTTAACTCTCCGTGGCCTTTTAGGAGTGGGTGGGATGTTTTTAATGCACTGCAAGGGGTTGCACTAGATTACCCTCGGGGGTCCCTTCCCAAACTCTACAATTCTATGGTTAATACACTTCTTTCCCCCCCCCCAACCCCTGGGCTTTAATGTTGGTTTGTTTTGTTGCCCCGGGCGAGATAAAGCGACTAACCAAAGTTATAAATATAAATCTATTATTTATTAATTTATTTATTCAGTTTATATACCGCCCTATACCCGAAGGTCTCAGGGCGATTCACAGAACAAAATCAGAATATACAAACACAAAATAATCAAAATAAAAAACAACAACCCACCCAAAAAAGAAACACGTTTTAAAATAAATAAAATAGCCGCCGTTTGACCGACGCTGCCTCATGAAGCGAGTCCCTGGTTTTAATTTAGGAAAACACCGCTGTGCCCCGGACCTTCTCTTAAAAACTGGGCGAAATTCCGAGTCTTCAAGACACACGTAACACCCGCAACTCGCCCTTCCCATTTCACAAGCTTTCCCCGTCTCTCGTCCGGTCAGATAACTCTCTTTTTCAAGCCACGTTGACTAACTGCGGCCCGAAAGGAACTTCCCCCGCCGGCTACCCGAACGCTGTTAGCCTTCTCTCGCCGCCGCTGCCCACCCCCCGCAAAAAAAAAACAACCATTTGATACCTCAAGACAAACGCCAAACCCCGTTTCGCTCTCTTCCCTCACGCAAATGTCCCCTCAGTCAGTCGTCACGCGCGCGCGCTCTCTATCTTCCTCTAACCGTCTCTCGGGCCCTTTTTCGCGCCTTCTTTCAGAACCGTCCCCTAGGCAACCTGTTCGCCAACCAATCATCTCCTCGCTTCCGCATCCGTTGCGATCACGTGAACCAGAACGCCACTCTTTCCCCCACCCTCTCTCTCTCTCTCCAACTGGCCGCGCGGGGAATAACAGCGGAGGGAATCGCGCTGTGTTTAACCTCAATTTCTGAGCAACGTTTAAGGCTGAGGCTGAGCTGCTTTATAGGCTCAGTATTGTCTATACCAGGGGTCAGCAAACTTTTTCAGCAGGGGGCCGGTCCACTGTCCCTCAGACCTTGTGGGGCGCTGGACTATATTTTTTTTGGGGGGGGGGAATTGAACAAATTCTTATGCCCCACAAATAAGTCAAAGATGCATTTTAAATAAAAACACACATTCAGCTCATGTAAAAACACCAGGCAGGCCCCACAAATAACCCAGAGAAGCATTTTAAATAAAAGGGCACATTCTACTTATGTAAAAACACACTGATTCCCGGACAGTCTGCGGGCTGGATTTAGAAGGCGATTGGGCCAGATCCAGCACCCCAGACCTTAGTTTGCCTACCCATGGTCTACACTGACTGGCAGCCGTTCTCTCAGCCGTATCCCTGCCAAGAAAACTCCTTGGACAAAGACAACAGGCATATTTATTATTACTTATTATTATTAATGTTTACGATTTGAATGGAGGCTGCGAGGGGGCACCGGTATAAGCTCCCCCCCCCCAAAAGCGGAGAAATGATTTCTGGTTTTTTTCTGACTCAGGTCTTATTTCATGTGGCAGGAGTGGGGGAAAGGTAGGCGGTTCACCCCTATTAATTCTTCGTCCACCTTCGGGGTGTTAATTTTTAAGAGGATGAGAGGAACAAACTGTCACTTTTGGCTCTTTGGGCGAGACTACAACTCCCATGCGGGACGCGGGTGGCGCTGTGGGTAAAACCTCAGCGCCTAGGACTTGCCGATTGTCAGGTCGGCGGTTCAAATCCCCGCGGCGGGGTGCGCTCCCGTTGCTCGGTCCCAGCGCCTGCCAACCTAGCAGTTCGAAAGCACCCCCGGGTGCAAGTAGATAAATAGGGACCGCTTACTAGCGGGAAGGTAAATGGCGTTTCCGTGTGCTGCGCTGGCTCGCCAGATGCAGCTTGTCACGCTGGCCACATGACCTGGAAGTGTCTCCGGACAGCGCTGGCCCCCGGCCTCTTAAGCGAGATGGGCGCGCAACCCCAGAGTCGGACACGGCTGGCCCGTACGGGCAGGGGTACCTTTACCTTTACCTTACAACTCCCATGATGCCCTTCCCTCATTGTTGGGATGGGAAATAGTCACCTCCCTTACAGAAGCGCCGCGTTGGAAGGGATCCTATGGGTCATCTAGTCCAACCCGCTGTAATGCAGGAATATAACCCACTTGTTGGTATTGTCTGCCCGTTCTTTATTGTTTCTGTCTGTATAGCTTGCCTTAGTTGAACTACGAAAAGGAAAGGAAACTCCAGTGAAAACACTGTGGAAGTGGAGGTGGGAAGTCAATTTCTTTCTGAAGGAGCATCTCCACCTCCATCGTTCTGCCATTGCAAGAAGTGAGGTTGCAGAGAACCAGACAGAGGGCCTTCTAGGTGGTGGCGCCTGCCCTTTGGAACGCCCTCCCATCAGATGTCAAGGAAATAAACAATACCTGACATTTAGAAGACATCTGAAGGCAGTCCTGTTTAAGGAAGATTTTAATGTTTAATAGGTTATTGTGGTGTGGTGTGGTGTAGTGTAGTGTAGTGGTTAAGAGCGGTAGACTCGTAATCTGGGGAACCAGGTTTGCCTCTCCGCTCCTCCACATGCAGCTGCTGGGTGACCTTGGGCCAGTCTCACTTCTCTGAAGTCTCTCAGCCCCACTCACCTCACAGAGTGTTTGTTGTGGGGGAGGAAGGGAAAGGAGATTGCTAGTCGCTTTGAGACTCCTGAAGGGGAGTGAAAGGCGGGATATCAAATCCAAACTCCTCTTCTTCTTCTTCTTCTATGGGCGGGGTATAAATAATAAATTATTATTATAAAATTATTAACAACAATAATAAATATTATATTGTTATAATAACTAATACCAATAATAATTAAATAATTAATAATATTTATTGTTGTTATTGTTATTAGCCCCGCCTTCTTCCCCCAAGGGTTCCAGGCCGTTTTTACGTCATCCCCGGAAACGCACTTGAAGGCGCGCGGGCGGGGGAGAAAAATGGCATCTTCCCTCGCAAACCCGGAAATGCCTTCTCCTGGGCGATCGAATGCGTCACGCCCACTTCTGCCGCCGCCGCCGCCGCCGCCGCCGTTATGGTTCCCAGGCCCTTCCCCTGCCCACCGACCCCGCCTACCCAGGCCGCCCAATGGAATGAAGAGAGCGGCGTGAGCGGCGCTCGGCGGCGTCCAATCACCTCCCGGCAGCCGCTGTTGCGAGGGCCCCAGCCTCGGGTGGAGCCGCCATGTTTTTTCCCCACGTCACAGCGCGGGGCGGGCGCGAGGAGGTGCGAAGAGAAGGGGCCGCCGGAGCGTTGGCTGCCGAGACAGCTGCGGGCGGGCGCAGCTCCCAGGGGACCCGGCGGCGCGACGGTAAGGGCCGCTCTGTCCTGAGGCGGCGGCGCGACTCGGAGGAGGCAGGGTCGCTTCGGCGGGCTGGGGACTGCGGAGGGGAGAGAAGTCTATCCTTCTTCCCCCCTTTCTGTAAACAACAACAACAACCACACTATTGTCTTTGTGGTTATTGTGGAGTTAGTTTCTCTCTCGTGCCCTGTGGCGAGTAAAAAAAATTATCTCTCTGAGGCGACGGTGGGGTGGTGGTGGGGAGCCCAGTTGCTTCCCTGCCTTCATTTCTGCACCCTTTTAAATAGGTGGGGGGGGGGAGAGTTATTTTGTGTTTCGGTATCGTGTTTTTATTCTGTGAACCACCCCGAGAACTACGGATGAAGGGCAGTATACGAATTTAGATATTATTCTTAATAATAAAATTTCACAGCTGGGTGAGTAGCCTAGCATCGCCTCGCCTGCTGCCTGCCAACCTATTTCAAATGCAGCCCAGAAACACCATGGAAGCCCAAAGGGATGTTTAGTGGTGGTAGGAGATATATATATATCTAATATGTGTATGTGTGTAATGTATGTATATATATGTGTGTGTGTGTGTGTGTGTGTGTGTATATAATATATTCATATATGTATATATGCGTGTGTGTCTATGTATAGATATGTTTTTTGGGCGTGTGTGTATATATATATATATATATTTCCCATCCGCTAATACGTGGCTAATGATGATTGATCCCAATGCCCCCAAGCGCTGCTTGTCTCAGTTATGGTCTTGGAGTTTTCTCCCATCAGGCAAGTATGGTGTGTGGCAGTTGCGGCCTTTAAACTCAGGGTTGTTGGTGTTGTTTTGGCTTCAGGGCAATCTCTCGCCAAGACAGGCAACTAGGTCAGATGGGTAGCCGAGTTTCCGGTATGCACCCTGTAAGAATGCAATTTCCTGTGCTCAGGGATTTACTCCCAAGATGGTTCCCCCTCAGGAATCTTTGTAGTGTTCCAGTTAAAACATTATCTGTACCTGCATTGTTGTATCTGTAGTTCAGCTATTGCAGGACTTCTCCCCACCCCTTTTATCTCAGCTGTGTCATTTGTTTAACAGGTTGGGCTTCAGTCTGTGGGTCATATAACCTGTAATTGGGTTGTGTATGAACTAAGTAGTACAGTCTGTGCTCAACCGGGTTGAGGGGAGGGCAAAGGAGAGATCAATACCATTGTCGAAACAGAAGATATGAAGAGAAAAACAATAGCAAGAACGTCAACAGAGGTAGATGTACATAAACCCCAATGAAATCTGGTGTTAGAAAGTGTTTAAATAGTGGGCTGGTGGCTGGAGTAAAAGGCATTTCTGATCTTGGAAACTGTTGGCATAACACAGTATTTTACAAAATGTTCATTATTTGCATTAGCAAGACACAGCTCTTGTTGAAATCCCTGTTTTTCAGTTGTCAATAATCTGAATTTCTTAAAAGTGTAGTTGGATTTGTTTATTTTTAAATAAGATGAGGTACTGGGTGGACATGATTACAGGAGTAAGAAATGTTAGTGGGTGGTGTTTAGTAAACTACTGTATATGGTCTAGTTTGTTTATGACGTTAGGAAAATTAGAGTCAGGTGACTGGAAGCACTAAATCATGCAAACAGCTGTTGAGAGATTATCTAGAATGAATCTGGGCGGTGTCTGTAAAAAAAGAAAATAAATTGAGTGAGTGGCAATACCTACATATTGGGCTGTTTAAAACCAAACAGCTTGGTGTAAAACCAGCTTTTTCTCTTGATAGCCTCACTTGAGACAGAATAAGTGTGTTACTTTATTATTTTACACTACATCCAGCTTTTCAAAAGTTATATACAAGTAAATCGGCCCAGTCAGAGTTCACTGTTGTAATATTAAAAGAGAAGCTGTGAGCAGGTACAAAGTATTATTGCCTAAGCCCTGGGGAATCATGGTGCTTGGCTGGCTGGTGGGGGGGACGGGACAGGGAGGGCTTCAGGAGCAGTAAGAAAAACATTCAAGTAAACCAGAGCCCCAGCACCTCTTTTTCTGGAGGTGGTTGCATTCACTTCAAAGCATCCAAGCAGTTTAGATTTTAATTGCTTTCATTTTCTTTCCATAGTCCTGCGGCATGGATCCACAGGTAAATCTCAGTGTGACCTTCCAAGGTGACACACAGAGCTTCCTTGTGTCAGATTCATCTAATACCACATGGGCTGATGTGGAAGCCATGGTGAGTTGGATCTTTGATGGTTGAATACACTGAACAACACAGGGGGAAAAGTAGATGAATTTTCAAAATTAATATGTATAATGAAAGTTAACTCTGATTATCAGACTTCCACATTTTTGCTTGCCATGATTAGGGCTGGATGATTATATTGATATAGCATCCAAAACCGGTTTGATGTCCATATCATTATATTGGGTTCATATTTTTGACCTGGCAATATATTGCAAATCATGATGTGTATGTGTGTCTGCTGTGCAAAATTAAGTGGGGAAAACTGTGAAACTAGCCAATGCTTCTACATGGCTCCATCCTTATTTTAGACATTGTGATATATTGGTATATCACGATGTTTAGCTGGTGATATATAGTCATATTGAAAACCAGATATCACCCACCCCTAGCCATGATAAGCTTGCCACTGCCTTCTGGCAAGCATGATAAACCCCAGCCCTTCTTCCCAATTAGGATCTGCAGAGGTGAGTGAGAATTGTCTGGCTCTTGATTCCCACCCCTTACCAACTCTTGAGATAGGAAAGAATACTAAAGGCTGTTTGGCTGCTGCCCTGCTAACATGGCTGAAGTGCCTCAGCCACACAGTGGCCAACCCAGCAACCCCTCATCAAAACTTTCCCATTTCAAACCTAATGTAGCAGATTGTCCCTGACCTTGTGTGGAGACACAGTGCCAGATCAGTGACAAGGAAGGGGCAACCACCACTTTCAGCTTGCTTACCAAGGTTTGCCAAAGATGGTGAGTCCCTGGTGATGATAGCCATAAATATAAATTGAGTTCCCATTTAACTTTCTGAATGTCATTTGTGTTCTGTCGGCTCCATGGGAGCAAACAAATGAGGCCTGGCACACAGGAACTTGGTAGGAACTTCATCAGGAGCTAGATGGGGATTGAGCTACAATCCAACAAGATGGACTTTTATTTGAAGGGAGAACCTACTAGGAAGCAGAGCTGATTACTCAGATCTGCTTGAAATACAGTGGTATCTTGGTTTAAGAACACCTTAGTTTATGAACAACTTGGGTTAAGAACGCTGCAAACCCGGAAGTAGGTGTTTTGGTTTGTGAACTTTGCCTTGGAAGCAGAACATGTTCCACTTCCTGTTGACTGTGTTCCATTTGTAAATTGAGTCCCCCGCTGCTATGGGAAACCACGCCTTGGTTTAAGAAAGCTTTGGTTTAAGAACGGACTTCCAGAACGGATTAAGTTCATAAACCAAAGTACCACTGCAGATCAGGACCTAGTATTGAAAGTGGCAGGAAGTGAACAGATCTCTGCAGTTCTACTGCTGAAAGAGAAGCCTGGCAGAATGCAAATCCAGTGTTGCTGTCTGTCACAAAGTAAAAGAAATGCCCACTTAGTCTGCCTCTTGGCCGAGGGATAGTTTGGCTGGATTTTATCGTGAGCTTGCTTTGCCCTTTGTACACAGGTGTTTACCTTGCTTGTACACTACTGGCTTGCAGTGAGTGGAGCATTACATGACTGGTGCAAGGTACAGTTTCTCTGGAGAGTCTGGCAAATATTTTTGGAATATTACTTAGTCCTCAGATTCTCTGGAATTTCATACTGGCACTCTTGAGAATCTGTTATTATTTCTATTGCCTTGCTTGTACCCCTAATGGCTGCAAGGAAAGGCTTAAAAACATGTGAGCAGCATCTGATGAAATCCTGGGCACTGGGGGCAGGGAGGATGGGCTGCTAAGCAAACTGTCCAGTGGTCAACTCGACCTCTTTCTCCCATCGCCTGCAGAAGCTCTGTCCGGGCAGCCAAGCTGGCTGGCGCTGCCTCTGCCATGCAGCCCTGCACCACAGTGGGCGGCTGCAGCGACACGCCTCCTTCACACACCTTTGCTTGCTTACTTACCCCGAGATCGTTAATATTATTATTAGTATTATTTTTAGTGTTTGTATTGTTTTGTGCCCCCAGAAGCTGAGTGCGCACGTGGAGGTAGAAGGTGGAAGGACAAAAATCCTCTTCCCTCTCTTTCTCTCTGCTTTCCCGCCAACATTTCTCCTCTTGTTCTCCCTCCAAGTCAGGCCATTGGGGAAATAGTTGTAATAATAATAATAATAATAATAATCTTCCTCCTGCCGCCGCCGCCCTGGTGCCCCTGTGGGCCAGAGAGCAGAGCAGACAAGTTCGCTCTGCCCACCCACTTCACGAAAAGCGGTGGTGGCTCTTTGTCTAGGCAGGGAGGAAGCCTGTTTCGCGCCACTGCTGCCAGCCCTTCGGCAAATGAGGCAGGCAGCAAACCGAGAAGGGGTGGGGGTGGGGAGGAGGACTACCTGCCCCCCTCGCCTCTTCTTCCAGTCCCCCCCTCCCGGTGCTGCTTCTCTGGAGCCGCCATTGGCCGTTCTCTGCGTATTGAACTTGCTGCCCTTTCTCCGTGGGGCAATTGTGGGTCTGTGTGTGTGTTTTGGGGGGCAGCGGAAGGATGAGCAGCTTGGTGGTGTGTGAGCTTGTTTGTTGAGGAGCCTTCCCCACCCCGCTTTAATGCACACTATTTTTTATTTATTTTTTATTTCGCCTGCCCTTCCCCCGCCCCATTCTTCCCAGTGTGCATAGGAATTCGTTCACCCCCCCCCCAAAAATATAGTCTGCCCCCCCCAAGGTCTGAGGGACAGTGGGCCGGCCCTCTGCTGAAAACGTTTGCTGACCCCAGGCATAGCAGCCTAGTTCACTGCACTTCCATTCTCTTGCAGGTGAAAGTCTCATTTGAACTGAATGATATCCAGATCAAGTACCTAGATGAGGATCAAGATGAGGTACATTATTTCCACAGTTCCTGTGTAGGGTCTGTTTTAAATGTGAAAGTTTGGGGAGGAAGGTTTACGGAGTCTGACACCGTCAATTCTCTATAAAGAAACTTGCATCTCTTACAAAATAGTTTCCTTTCTCAATCAGTGAACGCTTGTTCTGTATTGGGTAATATTTAGTCTTTGGGTTCTCTCGATCTTGAAGCCTGTTTTAACAGAATGGGAATTCATAGGAGTCTGAGAATATCCTGAAATAAAATCTGCCTACAACAGGAATGGGGAACATGTAGCTCTCCAGATGCAGTTGAACCACAACGCTCCTTCAGCCCTAGAACATAATGTCCAGTGGTTGGGGATGATGAGAGTTGTAGTCTTAAAACATCTGCTGTGATATTCCTGTTGCATAAGGTGTACTGGCTCTTTTCCACTGTATGACGTTTTCTGTCTACATTGAATCAGTTGCACGTCACAAACGGAACACCACCCTCTAATGCCAATAGGCCTGGTCTTGCTTATCCCAGGAGAAGGGAGATGAGTTTTTCATTTTTACCGGAAGTCAGTCTTTCTGTGTTCAGTACATTCTGGTACCTGCCTCTCCGCATTTCTCCGTTGCTGAGAACTGACATGCTAAGATTCCAAAATGAGGAAATCTTGCTGGGCTGAGGAGAGGCTCAGTTGTAAGTTATTAGGCTAATTGGTATCATTGTCATTGTGTAGAGAACTTCAGAAGTGAAGTCTGTAACAGTCCTGCCCTAGAAGAGTGTCGTGGATTATGAAAAGCTTTTATGTGTTGTGTTAGTGGGAGATTTGCAGCGTATAAAACTTGAATAAAGTCTGTCCGGTGTGTATCTGTTGCCCTGGGTCCAATCTCCTGAATCATAGCCTGGGTGGAGTTGCTGGGCTGGACAGTGCCTTAAAGTACGAACCTACTTTGTGGGGGGGTGGTAAGGAGAAGGGAAGCAAGCTAATGATATGAAGGAGAGTGGCTAGAAACAATGGGAGTGGTGGCAGAAGCCAGGCAACTGCTCTGAAATCCTGGATGAGAAATCCCCTTTTAATTTTAGGGGGGTGAATGTGACCAGCAACAGGGAATAAGCCTTCATTTGTGCTTGTTTTCTTTTCACAGGTGTCTGTCAATACCGCAGGTGAGTTTCTGTTGCTTACTTGTAACATCTGATGAGGATTATCAGCTGCATTTCTCTGAATAAAGCCTGCATTTTTATATCCTGTAGGGGGAAATTTGGGTACAAATAGTATTGCACTTTTTATGCCCAGGAGAACATGCCTCACTTTCACCACATGAAGAAGTCTGCATTTAGTGAAGTTATAGGGTTTTCCTCGCAGTTCTCCTGTACAGATAGGAAGTAGACTTTCTCACTGCAGTGTTCCTGGTTCCCTTTATGTAATTATACTTGAGACTAGCAGCCAAAGATTTAACTGGCTCGCTCAAATTAAAATGTCATACAGTTCCTGCTCTACCACTTTGGGCTCTCCACACAGCCTTTTTTTTTCACTGCCTGTCTTTCCTACACCCTTCCTTGCTGACTTTGCATCTCTGACTCCACTCCACTCATACAAAACAGTTGATTCATTTCTGTTCAGTGACATCACAGCAGCACAGCCAATAGCAAATGAGAGCAGGACTTGCAGGCAATAGGCAAGTGTCAGGGTTTTTTTTTGTTTAGTCTCTTAGCATCCTATAAAAAATTTTATGCCCTTGTGAGTCAGTTAGGCTCAAGTATTTACACTGTTTAAGGTCTGAGAGTGCCAAATGCTTGGCTTTTAATAAACATTAGAATTGAATTAGAGCTGGAGACCGGAAACGGCCAGACCCAAGTATGTATTAGGAATCGTGGGAGGTGTGACATACTCGCTTATAAGCACCAGTAGTTAGCATAGGTAAATGCTAATTAAATTAGGCAGATTTATGAAGTTGTGTATTAGGACAGTAATCCTAGCCAATCAACGTGTTAATTGAAACGTCTAATTCTACTGGCTGCAGTTCAAAGCATCGAATGGTATGTTGTTGTTGCTGCTGCTATGGAATAACCTGGCATGTTTTGCTGCTGCTGCTGCTGCGAACTTCCTCCATTGTAGACTCCAGCTTGTATGTATGCGTAAACAAACCATGTATCATAAAGACACCACAGACTGCACTGTGTCTTATTCCCAAAAGGAAACATGGACCCTGGTTAAGCTCCTGGAACCCCTGAAGTCTCATGCGATGTTTGGCATGTGTCGGTGGCATGTAATAATATATATTTGGGCCTCACTGACTCAGAGGCTATAAAACCCGAATACTTCCCAAACTGGAGGAAAGCTGAAATGTGTTGTACTCACACAATCCAGGACACTGCAATGGTTATTTTCTTTTCAAGTTGGAAACTTATTTACATATAAGATTTGAAACTCAGGACATGGGTTGTGGTTTCATTGATGGCAGTCAGCATTAAATAAGTCCCTAAGTTCATGCATTGCAGAATGAATGTAGGAATTTCCCTTTCACATCCTTGAATGGGCCTTGAATTGGGGGGAAACGGGGTTTAACCCAGCGGCCGGAAGGAAACCTAGTGAGTAGCATACAATACATTCACGTAGCATAGGATTAATGTAGATGTTGATTTATAAAATGTGCAAAGGTGACTTTTATTGCAAGTCTGAATACAACAGAACTCACTGTGGCTTTCTCTCTCTTTACAGAGGAATACGAAGAAGCTCTTAAGGTAACGGATATGATCAGCATTTATGGCTATTTTTGAAACAGTACAGCTACAAAATCCCGGGCATTCTTTGGTGTGGGAAGAATCTGTGGAAATCTCTTCCTTCCACATTTCTCAGGGTTGTCAGGTTTTACTGGTGGTTCTATTAACACCCTGTGCCTTAAGCTCATTGGGAGTGATGTTGTTATCTCTCGGTTGTAGGAGCGTTGCTCCCACATAAATTTCATATCTGAAGCAGAATGGAGGCAGGGGCAAAGTTTGAAGGCCTCCTTCACTGGTACTTCTGCTTGTGAGACACTCTTGCTGCTGTCAAAAAGAATTTACATATTTTTCTAGCCAAAGCTTAGTGTAATGCTAATAGGCCTACCTTGCATGAAATCTGCGGGGGGGGGGAGAGAGACCCAGCGTGGCATCCAGTGCACTCATTTTTTTGGCACAAGGATTTCTGTTTGCACCAACAAATTTAGCAAAGGAGGAGGTGGAGGGGGCATTCTGTTGTACAGCCAAAAGTCATTGCACTGAAGGTTGCATATAACCTCCCCCCTCCCCCAAGTTTGTAGCTCAAGTATTTGCTCTGTGTCTGTCATGTTAAGCCTCGCAGGACTGTTCCTGTAATATTAAGCATGCTTGAGAAGATGGTGCTTGAGTCACAATGTTACTTGTACTTCAGTGTAGGTAAAAGCGGCTACACTTAACACACACTGGTGCATTCCAGGGTGCTGTAAAGTTCTTGCGAATCCACACTACAGTTTCGTGGTCACTTGTCTGTGCACTGATCTCCTCTTAGCTGGACTGCTGTAACTCCACTCCCAGTTGGCTCTCCAGTTGGCTCAGGACACATCTGCTAAGCTCCTCTTTTTCTGATATAACTCTGATCACATCACCTTTCCCGACATTCTTATGTGGGTTGCCTGTCATGCTTCAAGGTTCAAGGCCTCTCTCTTACCTATAGCACTTGGATTTGCAGAGTACATTGAAGCAATCTTTTTGTGGGTGGGTGTTTTACCCTCCAGGCCAGCCTGTGTGAGAGATCCTTTTTACTGTTTCCATTTTACAGGCTGGCAGAATTAAAGCTGAGAAAAGTGAATTGGCCAAGGCAATGTGCATCAAAGCAGAATTGTTGGTTTGTCAATTTGCCCCATAAAGAGACTTGCGGTCTTGTGGGCGCGCTGTCTGAATTTTGCCTTTCTCTTCTAGAAGTTAACCTTAGTTTGATCCTGGCCCCTGCTTTTGATGGATATTTTTCATTTCCTGACACTGTTCCTAGGGTTCATTTCTACATGTTTACCTTGCCAGCTACCTTTGGAAACAAACCAAGGCAGCATTCCTCAGCCTCAGATTCAGAACTTCTTGTTTGCTCTGTTTGTGTGCGTGTTCATTTTATTCTAACTCCAAACAGCTGTGTTTCCCCTGAACAATAAGATTGACTGATTCAAGGTTCGCATGTGATTTTCATTTTTGGCTTTGCCTCTTTAAGAAAGCCCTGCACAGGATTCATGGGGGAGTGTGAGTGCATGTAAAAGTATATTTATTGCAAGCTCTTTCCTTAGATTGCAGTGAAACAAGGCAATCGGCTACAGATGAATGTTTATCAAATAAGCGCTCCTCTGGGCATGCCTACACAGCAAGCCCCCGAGAAGGCTGAGAAAACCCAGAGTCCCAAGGATGGGAGGAAGCCCCTTGCCCACTATTCCATGCTCGCTCGGACCTTGGCTCAGGACAGAGATACTGGAAGAGAGAATGAGAAGAGACAGGTAGGAACAAAAGATGTGTGTCCCTTGGGCCCCTGGAGCCATCCTGTTTACCTGATGCACTAGAAGCATATCAACATGTTATGCGCTTCCAACAGATAGTTATAACACAGCTCCACATTACACCCTCGCCAGCAGTGGCAAGCAGATATTCTGCTTCCTGTAAACTCAAAGCTCTGCTGTTGAGAAGGAGTGGGAGATGCTTGCTTGCCTCTGGCTTTTCCACGGCTAAGGCAACTGAACACACGAGACAGATGCTCAGGAACTGCTCTCCACAAGTAGAAAGGTGCTGCTTACATTCTGCTTTGCCAGAAGAACGAAACTCCTGTTCCTAGCGGGAAGTTGGTGTTCATCTTTCTTTTGGAGGAAAAACACTGTGTCCTGCTTCAAAGAATGCGTGTCGCTGTTTGCTCAGTCTCAAGTTAATTATGAACTGTGTACAAGGAAGTTGTGTGTTAAGTTGTGTGGCTGCATTTCTCCCCCTTTTTGTCTCCCCAGAGTGAGCAGCATCCCAGTGAGGCCCCTCCTGAGTGGTTCACCAGCTATTTGGAAAGGGTGAGTTCCTCTCTGCTCTTAGATTTCTATTTGTCTTTTCAGACCTTGGGGAAGGGGTCATTGGAGGGTTTCTCAAGCCAGACCATGAGAACCACAGATTTCCACACGCAAACACACACTTGTGCTTCCTTAACATAATGGAGCTTGGCCCGCAAGTTGAAATTTGACACCACGCTACAGCAAATTGCAGTCTGGATAAATATCCAATGCTTGGCTCATATTGTTAAGAGGGCACTTAGTTGATCTTAAGTGTTGTAATGGGTGGAGGAGTGCACTTGGTAATCAAAAGCATATAAATACAGTCATACCTTGGGTTGAAGTAGCTTCAGGATGAGTATTTTCGGGTTGCGCTCCGCGGCAACCTGGAAGTAATGGAGCGTGTTACTTCCAGGTTTCGCCGCTCGCGCATACACAGATGCTCAAAATGATGTCATGCGCAGAAGCAGCGAATTGCGGGCATGGGTTGCATTCGCTTCAGGATGCGAACGGGGCTCCGGAATGGATCCCGTTCGCATCCAGAGGTACCACTGTATGGTGATTGTCCTGGGTTCCATAACTGTGTGTGTTTGTGGCCAACACTATTTTGTTGTCATCAACCTACGTATGGCTTCCCAATCCTAGCGTATCTCTGCATGCACCAGTTCTGGGACAGGGGAGCGGAGCGGAAGTACCTTTTAGAGAAAATCTAGGAGACTTTGCTTATGGCGCACCTTTTCCCCTTTCCAGTTCCGGGAGCAAGTAGTTCAAGAGACCGTTGAAATGCTTGAACAGAAGCTAAGCGAGAAGCTCCTCCTTTCTGGCCAGCTCCCCAGCTCCTTGAGCAGCGCCACGCCCCACGCCCCTGCGAGCCCCTCTGTGCAAGGAAACCCCTTTGACTGGCTTCTCTCCTGCAGTAACTGTCAGGCCTCTATCGTGGGCATTCGGTACCAGTGCAGGTAGGACATGGGCAGAAGGGTGAAAATGCAAATCGTACAGCTGTGTTGGTTCTTTGTGTTCAGAATGTCCCAATTTGGCATCCAGAGATTCCAAGGGGAAAGCAAGGGGGGGGGTGTAGTTATGTAAAAAGTCAGAGTTCTAGTCCTTATGACCAAAAGTATCCAAGATAAATATTGGAAGCATGTTCTATGGATTGGGAGAGGAATACAATGACCTTTAAATCCCCCTTTTCATTGGCACTTCTGCCCTTTTTAAAAATTTGTTGTCTTCACCTGTTTGGCTTTCTTGGTTTTTTTATACTTTTAAAAAAATCTGCATTAAGAAAGGCAAATCAAGCTATATCAGCAAGTTGAGGAATTTTCTTACTGATGTCTGTCTCTTCCTGATGCTTCTTCATTTTGGCAACCATGAAAGGTAGACGACAACAGAGCTTAGCTGCAGGGCTACTAAAAGTCAAGAGCTTTGCTTTTTACCTCCACCACCATCGTCTGGTAGTAAAACTGGTTATCCTTCAGGGGTCAGTTTCTCTTCAACTTTCTGGGTCCTTTACCCACTCAGTTTCCCAGCCGCCAGCCTCCCATCCAAACTTATATTTCAGTTCCCTTTCAAAAGCTGCAGTGTTTTCAGAATCCTGTTGCTGGCACCTTCACACTAAGCTGTTAGAATGTTTGTGAACATGTCATGGCAATGCAAAAGCTCAGCCAATTGAGGGCGGGAAGGATGGTGGAATAGCTCACAAGCAAGGTAACGTTTTATGAGAAGTGAAATCTTTTAGCCTGCATGCTAACAGAAATAAAATTGCTTTTGTTTTATTTCAGGCTTTTCTCACATTTGTAATCACATCTTAACACAAATTGATCTAACCAGTTTAGTTAGTAAAAGATGAAAAAGCTGTTGGGTATCTCATAGCCTTTCCTCTCTTGACAGTGTGTGCCCATCCTATAGCATCTGTGAATCATGTGAAACGGGGACATATGCCCACGACCCTAACCATGTACTTTTGAAGCTGAGGAAGCCAGTATTGTGTATCTCAGAGACGTATAATCTTGGGCAGTTCACTCCTCGCTTTGCCACTCTGGAACAAGCCAGGTAAGTAGCCCATGCTCTGCAAACTGTGAGTCACCTTGGATTTGCCTACATATTTGGGGTGTGTGCTGGTAGTGGATAAGCACACAATTAAGAAAACCAGTAGAGGGATACCCAGAGGCCTGCAGAAAAAGATTTGGTTCTAAGTTCAATCAGCATGTAAATTTCAGTTTCCACCTGGCATCCTGTATTCTATGGCTTTCTGTCTTCCAGCTTCTTTTGCCTACCTGTGTACAATATGCAAGGAATGCAATGTGTTGGTCAGTACAATATGCAAGGAATGCAATGTCAGTGACAAAGACAATCCCTGTCTTCAGACTTGCAGTCCAAACTGCCCAGCACAAAAGGAATAGGGAGGCAGGAGGATGCAGAACAATCAGCTGGAATTGAAATATTTTTAACTGAGAGGGGGAACTAAACATTGCTTTGTCTTCCCGTATTTCCTGATGAAATGGCTTCTAATGGAAGACAGTTGAGGGTAGGAGCCTGATGGAGCTGATATTACAACAGAGAGTTTGGAGAGGCCTGGCATTTCTTTCTCTTCCTCTGTCCAGTAGGCACCCAGGAGCCTACTGTGTAGAGCAGGCATGGTAAACCTGTAGCCCTCCAGAGATTATTGGACTCCCAACTCTCATTGTCCCTAACCACTGGCTTTGCTGGCTGGGGCTGATGGGAGTTGAAGTCCTACAAACATCTCAAGGGCCACAGGTTCTTTACCTTTTGCGTAGAATCTTCATGTCCCCATTTGCAATGAGATGCCCCACTGGCACCCGAGGGACCTTTGGATGGTGACGCTCGGCCCAGCTGACGGAAATGGCCTCGACAGCCACCGCCTGCCCCCCCCCCAACAGCCTGGGTCTGGCTTTAGGTGTGCAGATCCTCCTGTAAGCAAACCAGTCTCTGCTTTCGACCTGCGCAGGCTTCAGAAACAGATGGACAAGCGCTTTCTGAAGGCGGAGAAGCAGCGCTTGCGAGCAGAGAAGAAGCAACGCAAAGCTGAGGTGCGGGAACTCAAGAAGCAGCTGAAGCTGCACCGGAAGATCCATCTGTGGAACTCTGTCCATGCTCTGGAAAATGCTGGCTTGACAGCTGCCAAATCAGAGAGCCTGCAGCCCAATACACTTCTGTAAGCAATCTGAGGACTGGGCCACATGGGGGAGGCAATTTTATCTGCAGGTTTGGAGCACTTCTAGGGGATGCTGCGCCCTAGCCAAGCTATGGGCTATTGTGAATCTCTGCAATGTTTCCAGCACTCGTAACTTATTTGACTCCCTGAACCCTGGGGTTATATGCAAAGCAGCGCCAGCAGAGTTCTGCTAGCACAGTGGTGTTTCTGTTTCCTCTCCTTCCCCCAACCCCCCACCCCCGTCTTGTGGAGCTGATCTTCAAGGCACTCATGGGGCTACAGCAGAGAGGAGGGGAAAGTTACTGTATTTTTCGCTCCATAGGTTTTTAGAGGGGGAAAGCAAGAAAAAAAAATATTCTGCGCAGAGCATGTAAGCGGCTCTCGCTTTTCTTGCTTTAAAGCAAGCAAAGTGAGAGCAGCTTACATGGCTTCTGTCCTGCTTTGCGCAGCTCTCATTTTGCTTGCCCATCCCTCCTCCCGTTTCACTGTAAAGCGCGGCGAGCAAGAGGAGGAGGAGACACTGGGACAGGTGCTTTGCTTGCTTTACAGCGAGGTGGGAGGAGGGATGGGCAAGCAAAGTGAGAGCTGTGCAAAGCGGGACAGAAGCCATGTAAGCGGCTCTCGCTTTGCTTGCTCCCATCTGTCCCTCCTCCCACTTTGCTGTGAAGCCAGCAGAGCAAGAGGCGCTGCGCAACTCTTGCTGAAGCCAGCAGAGCAAGAACAATAACTGTGCAGCAGCTCTTGCTCTGCTGGCTTCACAGCGACGGATGGGAGCCATGGCTCCAGCTGCGTAGGCATCCCTCAGCTCGCAACTGCAGCAGTAGCCGAGGTATCCCTCTGCCAACCAGTGCATTCGCTCCATAAGACGCACAGACATTTCCCCTTACTTTTTAGGAGGAAAAGGGTGTGTCTTATGGAGCGAAAAATACGGTACATTCCACTAGCACAAGTTGCTTGCACTTGCGGAGCAGATGCATTGGATAGCGCCCCCGGGATTTATAAGTTGGGCTGCTGAGGATCCTTTGTTCAAGATCCCCAGTCCCTTCTTAGACCTACCTCTCAAGAACAGTCTGCTTGGGAGAGTCGGTGGTAGATTGCAGCTTAGAACTTCTGTTAAATGCAGATCTTTTAAACTTTACTGTAGATCTGCCTCCCATAAGCGGAGGGAGTGAACTTTCCTTTTCTCAGCTTGAGATAAGCAACTGTACTGACTTTCCCCTCTCTTTGCAGTCCCCTCCAGGGCTGCCCAGTCATTGTCCCAACGCTGAGCGCTGCCTTTGTGGATGAGAACCTTCCTGACGGAACTCGCCTGCACCCAAGGACGACCTTCATCAAACATTGGCGCATGAGGAACACTGGCAACATGGAGTGGAGCTCTGACACTAAGGTGCGTTCCAGTGCTTAAGGTATGTGCTGGAGCTGAGATCTCCCTGCAAGCGTTGCTCTATTCCCCACAGTTTCTTCAGCCCAAATTTGTAGGTGCTGTTTTTGGTTACTCAGCAGCAACAGAAAGACACCCTGCAGAAGCACAACATACAGTGGACCCTCCGGATATGAACTTAATTCATTCCGGGGGTCTGTACGTACCCCAAAAAGTCGGCAACATGAGGCGCCGCTTCTGCGCATGCACGCGGCGCACAGAGTGCTTCTGCACAAGGTGTGCAGAGTGCTTTTGCGCATGCGCGCGCAGCGAAACCGGAAAGTATACGCTTCTGGGTTTGCTGCCTTCGCAACCCGAAAGTTACGTAACCCAAAGGTAGCGTAACCCAAGGGTCCACTGTACTGCTTTCTTATTATTTCACAGGCTTCAGTACAGAGCCCTGTTGCCATCCTTTGCCTATCACTGCCTGTAAATTATTTGGGTGAGGACTTGGTTTAGATACTCAGCCAGCCAACAACCGACATGGGGCATTGGCCAGACTCCTAAAGGTGCAAAGCCCAAAGTGCCTTTGTGTTCAGGGCTGGGGAACCTTTGTCCATCCTCTCCCCCCGATGTTGCTGGACTACAACTCCTATCATCCCTGACCATTGGCCATGATGGCTGGGGCTGGAGGGAATTATAGCCTAACAGCTACAGTTTTCCCATCCCTGTCGTAGTTGTTCATTTTTGCTGCTGAGCAAATCCAAAGCCACAGGATTGATTTAAGAAACACAGTGAAAGCATTGACAAGCAGTTTTTTTGTTTTTTTGTGTGTGTGTGGAAGGCGCAGTAGGAGACCATGTGTCTGTCAAATAAAATTGCTCTAACTGTTCTCCACAGCGCACACATTGCTTCTGAACCCGTTCCAAACTTAACCTGCCCTAGGTTGGGACACCATTATTTTAAAAGCTATCTGCCCACCCTCATTTATCAAGTTGACCTAAAACAATATGGGAACAGCCTTAGTCCCTCTGCCACCTTTGTTTGCCAGCCTTTCGGATTTTTTGTCTCCAAAGCTGTCTAGTTAATTCCTTAGAACAGACTCTGGGGGATAGCTAGGTTTAAAAAAAAAGCTTTTTTGTTGCCGAAAGATACTTGCGGTGAATGAGGCTCCCTTCACATGCTTGGCTGGGACCAGGAAGAAGTTAATGGCCTTTCGTTTTTTTCTCTGTCTCCATCCTTCAGCTGAAATTCATGTGGGGGAACTTAACTCTGGTGTCCTCGGACAAGAAGGATGTCCTTGTGCCCTCCCTGCTGCCTGGGCAAGAGGGGGTTGTCTCTGTGGAGTTTGTAGCTCCTCCAATGGAAGGAACCTACACGTCTCATTGGCGGTTATCGCACAGAGGGGAGCAGTTTGGGCCTCGGATCTGGTGTAGCATTGTGGTAGACCCCTCCTGCAACACAGACTGCCCAGAGAATAGCAAACTGGTGCCCAGTTTTTGCCAGAAGGGCAGTTCCCATTGTAAGAAAGAGGTGAGGCCCTTATTTTATATCCCTGAGCCTGTGTAAGTTGTTGTTTCCCCCCCAGCTCTGCTTTCTGCTTACCACCTTCCCTTAGATCTTTCTCCTCAGGCCTCTGCTTCTCTGCTTTCTGCATATACCGTATTTTTTGCACCATAACACTCACTTTTTTCCTCGTAAAAAGTAAGGGGAAATGTCTGTGCGTGTTATGGAGGGAATGCCTACGGGTGGCATGCCTACGGATTTTCCTCCTCTAAAAACTACGTGCGTGTTACGGTCGGGTGCGTGTTATAGAGCGAAAAATACGGTATATTTTCCCACTCCTTCCTTCAGCAACAAGGTGTATTCAAGTTCCTCGGCTAAATTAGCTCATTTTCCTCTTAAGACTTTTTGAATTGTTGCCAACAAATCACTGCTGAAAGGGTCATTTGTATTTGCACTAATAATAGTATGTGGTGCACTATAATGTAGGTACCACTGTGTATATCATAAACTTTCATGTAACCACCTTCCTTCAGCCACCATGCCTCCAGGCACCCCTATTTCCCTCCCTCTCTAATTTCAAATTAAACTTTTACAAACTTTAAAATATCCAGTGACTTCCCTTCTTCTCCTTCCATGCTTCATATATTTAAAGAAGAGTGGAAAAATATTTATTGAATACAGTGATACCTCGGGTTACAGACGCTTTGGATTACAGACACTTCGGGTTACAGACTCTGCTAACCAGGAAGTGGTTGCTCCAGGTTAAGAACTTTGCCCCATGATAAGAACAGAAATCAGCAGGAGGCCACATTAGCGAAAGCACGCCTCAGGTTAAGAACCATTTCAGGTTAAGAACGGACCTCTGGAACGAATTAAGTTCTTAACCCAAGGTACCATTGTATATGGAAAATAAGATTAGAAAGTCTGAGTCAAGTCAGTGATGTCATAGCGGTTTAGCCAATGGCAAGTTGGGCCTCCCAAGCAGCAGAGATAAGGCTTGTGACATCCATTTAGTAACTGTGTTCATACGTATACATGTCTGTGTTGCTTTTTCTTGGTCTCCCTTCTTCATCGAATTAAAAACACTCTCTTTGAGCAAAGAGTAGAGAACAGTGGTGTGCACTGGCCCCACAAGGTTTTGTTCCTGTTGCCTCCAGGTGGGGCTGGGAATGACTTCTATTGCAAACCCTGAAGCCTGCCTGTGTGGGCAGCACTGCGGTAGTTAGACAGCTTTCCGTGTTCCTAAGTGGAACATGAATGTAATTGAACAGATGTGAAAGATGCATCTCTTTCTGTGGGAAAAGAACAAACACTCTGTATCTTGCTTTCCATGTGGCATTTATTCCACCAGCAGGATTTTACAAGATCCTGCAAACATTCTGTGCGGTCACCTATAGAGAATTGAGAGGAAGATTGTTAGTCCCTGTGATTCGTTTGGTCTCTTGGCACAGCCCATAATTAAGCATTTTGTATTTTTTTTCACTGCACCCCTTTTGCCAGGAAGCTTAAGCAACAAAATGGAACTCTAGTGCCCAAGTAACTGTCCTGTATGTTGATGGCACAATAAAAAGATGGAGTTTTTGTTTGCCCTAAGTTAGGATGAGGCTGCTCGCCTTAAGAGTCACCTCCATGGTCCTTTCACTGTTTCTCTTTCTCCTTGTAGGAAAGACCCTCAAAGTTCAAGGGGCAAACTCTGCAAACTGCTGATGGTGCCACAACGGGAGGTGTGGCTGGCCGAGCTGCTCCACCAAAGCTGAAGAGCATCCTCAGCGCTAGAGAGTTCTACATCCCGTCAGTTGACCTGCTTACAGCTCAGGTAAAATGTCAGGTGTGAGCCAAGCTTGGAGGCAGGGAGAATTCACAGAAAATCTATAATTCCGCATTTGTTCTGCCCTTCAACACCAAAGATTCTGCAGAGAGGCAACCCTGTTTTCTCTTAAACTTAATAAAACTTGGTGTCTAGCTGACCAGGCGTGGCAGAGAGGGACGGAGATGGACTGTCGCTCTCTTTTTATCCCCTAAGTTGAATGCTTTTGTTTCCTCCCTCCCTCCTAGGATCTGCTCTCCTTTGAACTGCTGGACATTAACATAGTGCAGGAACTGGAGCAGGTTCCACACAACACTCCTGGAGGTAAGCATCACCCCAACCCCAGGAGGCCTGTCGGTGGTAGTTGTGATGGGCACATCCTTGCCCCATCTCCCCTAGAGATGCAGGTCTAGCACTCCATCCAGGGCCAGTAGGAGGAGCTGCCATCGTTGGGCACCTGTCGGGACCCGTTCTTCAGTAGGAACCCCTCTGTCAGTCCCCAGAGACTCCTGCTCCTTGCGGTTCTTGCTTGTTACCTGCCCCTTTCCATGGTAGAGAAGAGACAAAGGAGGCTTGTCTACTCAGAGCTTTTCACCAATAGGTCCCAAGCTTCCACCAACCTGGAACTGGCACTAGCTCCTCTGAAGACCAGGGCAGATTCTTTTGGCAATTCCCTCTTGTATTGCCACAGCTGCGTCTGAGGTCGTCTGTGCTGCTTTGAAGCTGTGCTGAGGACTGTACCCCGATTTTGGCTTGCCTGTGGGCCATCATTTGCTTGCCTTGGACTCCCTGATTGCTTTGCCTGAGCAGATACCATTTAGGCTTTTTATAGTTCTGTCCGAGACTGCCGGCCAGTCGAATCATGGGCGCCCAAAGGCGATGAATTTGTAACCCCTTCTGGCTTAAATCTGAGCTGTGTTGCCGTACTGAGCATGTGGGGTACATTTCTTTTGCCACTAAGTAATTAAAGGAAATCCCTAGCACTTTCTGCCTATTTGGAACAGCTCCAGGCAGGTTTGAGTTCCTGCACCTGTACAACACTTGAGGCAGTCCACAAAAATAGTTTTGGGAATCTCAAGAGCAGGTTCCTGTTCCTTCAGGTGGCATCTTGCTCTTCCAGACATGACTTGGTGCTTGTCACTGCTGCCCCATGACAGTTCCTTGCTGGAGAAGGCTGGCTGGGACCAGATACAGGAGGAGAGCAGGGGGAGCACATGTAAATTTGAAGCCTGAAATGGCGTGTTACATTTCTTCTGGTTACAGGAAGGGACAATAAGCTACGCTTCATCCACTGCCAGACTAGAAGGTCTTACTTAGCCTGTCTTGTGTCTCTGAGATTTCACCAGGCTCAAGCAATTTGAAGCCTATTTCAGCACTTCCATAAGTCCTAAGAGCATATGTATTTTTCAAAAATGAAAGCTGAGATTCTTAGAATGCTGAAATCCGCACCCAGTAATAAATTGTGCCCTTGCTTAGTTGCCTTCATTTGTTATTTTGAAATAATGGACCTTCCCAATTATCTGGTGATCTGAACTGCATTGGGCTCCCATTGTTTCAAGTCTCTGTGTAATAATTTGGGTTGGTTACTGAGGATGAAGATCAAGCCCCCAGCTTCTAGGGCTGCTTGAGTTCTAAAACTTGCGGCGAGTGCTAATGAGAACATTGCATCCTACAGATGCCCAGGCAGGGAAAGGGAAGGCTGAGAATCTGGCTAACTCCGAGGAAGGAGAGGAAGACATGAGTGGGACCCAGTTTGTTTGTGAAACAGTAATTCGTTCTCTCACCTTGGATGCTGCGCCTGACCACAGGCCCCCACAGAGGAAGGAATCGTTGCAGAGTGAGTGTTTAATTTGTCATCCTGCTGAGCGCATTACATGTACAGAAAAAGCTTAAGCCGATCTCGCATTTTGATCGGCTCCTGTGTTTTTGTTGATTTAGGTTCTCTACAAGCACTACAGGACAATGCCCACTGCAGCCCAAACAAGGACCCTGTTAGGATAGAAAATGTTCCTTCTCCAACACTACAGGAACCAGAGTCCAAGAATCAAGGCATAGAGGTGGCCCAAGAACCTGAATTTGGTAAGGAGAAGTGGCTAGAGATTGCTTCTTTGAAAGAGAGACCAGGACTGAGAGTATCAGTCTCTCTGCCCCATGGGTGGAAAAAGCTTTTAATAGATCCCCATGCTCAAGAAGGATAAATTCAAATTTGAATAAGTTCAAAGAAGAGCATGATAGTGGGGGTGGTGAAACCTTTCTTAGGAGCCAAGATTAAGAGCTCTTCCATTAAACCTGGATCAGGTTTAAGGTGCTGGTTTTGACCTTTAAAGCCCTATACAGCCTAGGACCCTTGTACCTACGGGACCGCCTCTCCTGGTATGTCCCACAGAGGTCTTACGGTCTTCAAACAAAAACATCTTGGAGGTCTCGGGCCACAGGGAAGTTAGGCTAGCCTCAACCAGAGCCAGGGCTTTTTCAGCTGTGGCTCTGATCTGGTGGAATGCTCTGTCACAAGAGACTAGGGCCCTGCGGGACTTGACATCTTTCCGCAGGGCCTGCAAGACAGAGCTGTTCCACCAGGCCTTTGGTCAGAGCACAGCCTGACCCCCTCCTCTGGCAAGCTGCACAGAATTTTGCTTAATGGTTGCCACCAATTTGATTTTAAATAATTTTTATAATGAAATGTTTTTAGAACGTTGGATTATTTTGATTGTTGTTAGCAGCCCTGAGCCCAGCTTCGGCTGGGGAGGGCGGGATATAAATAAAATTTATTATTATTATTATTATTATTATTATTATTATTATTTTATGTCTCCCAGCTTCTGTTTGCAGCTCTGCATTGCTTAGGCTGATCTATGGAAGTGAGCTATAGCCGACAGGACTGTACTTTTTATTGTTTTTCAGCCGCACGAAAAGGCTTTTGTGGAGAAAATCTTATTTTTATGGTGCCCAATAGGACAAAACAAATTACATTGAGGAAAAGATTCCTGCATTGCAGGGGGTTGGATCAATAGAAAGGGGCTGCAGTAGTCTTTGTAATCAAATTGTTCCGCTGCTTCTCCTAGAGGAACTCCTGCTGCAAGACGGGGCGGAATTGAGTGATGGAGAGACTGAGGATGATGCCAAGGATGAAGTCTGTAGCGAAGCATCCTCTACCTCCTCTGAGGATTACATCATCATCCTCCCAGAGTGTTTTGACACCAGCCGCCCTCTAGGCGAGTCTATGTACAGTTCTGCACTCTCTCAGCCCAGCTTGGAAAAAGTGGCCGAGGCCTCGGCAAGTCCTGCGGGAGAGAACCAACCCTCAGCTCACAGTATCAACGACATGCTAACCACCTCGCAGACACTGGACGAGGTGCCTCTGACCCCTCAGATCCTGGAACCACAGCCTGCAAGGTACCAAGTGGACCCGGAGCCAAAGTGTGCTAAGACTTCTTTGTCTCTGTAGTCATAAGCAACCTTCAGAAGGGGATAAAAAAGGGGTCGGCTGCTGAGTTTGGGCCTAGTGTGCCAGCCAACCAAAGCGCAAAAATCCAAATGCAGGCGAAACTAAATAGGGTGTGTTACTAGGGAAATGGCTTGAATGTGTAGCGTAGACATATGCTCAGGCTTGGTGGGTGTGCTTTTTCTACAGTTTCTGGCTACTACACCTTCCCACATGCCTGCTTTTCTTCCATTTTTTAACAATAGATCTCTGGCCCCTCCCCAAAACAGCAGCTCCCAAGAAACAAGTGTTCCCAGTGGAGAGGACACCTCTTGGTGGGTTCCAGACCAAACCAGAGAAGGTACTGTGCTATGATTTACAGGCTGATAATTGGTTAGCAACTGCTCCTGACTCAAATCATTAGTTTTACAGCCCACCCTCTTCCAGAGCCTCAAGGTGGGTGGTGGCAAATCAATGAAAGGTGCTGCTTTCATTAAATAGATTCAATGAAGGGTAATGCTGTTCCCCATTAAATTTCTCTGATAGTCGCTATTTGGTTCTTTCCTGCCAGTTCCTGGTCTCAAGCTCCCAAATATTTCTCTTCTAGTGGTCCAAGGAGCAGATGTTCCTGAACCTCCGCCTGCAGGGAATGTAAATAGCACACCAACATGTCCAGAATTCTCCAGGTAACAGAAGCTGGGTCAGGCTGGGATTTTGTTGCGATCTGGTTGGCAAGTGGTATCTGTCCTATTTTTCGCTGAAAAATAAGTGTCTGTTTCTGTATGCTTTGAGATGCCCTCCCACTCCTACCCAAAATACCTACTGACAGCTGTGTAAACTTAATTTATGCTAGGCAAGATGTGCTCATTGAGTTGCAAACTGCACTGTGCAAGTACGTAGGCTGGCAGTGACATTTTTATGAGAGATGTCTGTTGTTCATAAGTGGACTTGTACCAGTAGCAAATAGATTGGTATTATCTGACTATCTTTTTTGGTTTTACCTGCCTTGTTCCTTTCCTTGCATCTTATTGCTGTTTTGTTGTATTTGTATTATTGTGGTTAGTCCCCCCTGAGCACCATTTTGGTGGAAAGGCAGAATTGAAATTTAACAAATAAAAATTTGGCCCATAGTGGGAATTCAGCAACTTGAACACAATAGTTTGTTTTTTTAATAAGGGGCAAGCTTCTAGCTAATATGGCTGCTAGGATGGGCATGAAAATGAATGGGAAATGCCTTGTGAAATCTCAGAGAGGACGATTACTTCTTTTCATTTAATTCGCAACCCCTTTTCTCTAGAATTTTTAATCTGGCATGCAAAGGGTTCCTGGGCACTTGTTCCATCCAGACATAAAACCTTTAGCAAGGTTTCTGTATTGTATTCATTCTGTGGAATCTCCACGTAAAAGAGGCTCGAGTATCAGGGTTGGATTTCTGCTTCCATTCAAAGTAGAGTGGAACCTCATGGTACGGACGGGATCTGTTCTGGAGGCCCGTCCATAGCATGGAACGGATGCAAGCCGAAGAGCTGTGTCTGTGCATGTGCACGGCGTGATTTAGCGCTTCTGTGCGAGCAGCAAAACCCAGAAGTAACCTGTTCTGGTACTTCCGGGTTGCCGCGGGACACAACATGACACGTAACCCGAAGCAGACGCAACATGAGGTATGACTGTAGATTATATCGATCTAGCTGGACCACCTGCCAACCTAGCAGTTCGAAAGCATGTCAGAGTACAAGTAGATAAATAGGTACTGCTCCAGCGGGAAAGTAAACAGCGTTTCCATGTGCTGCTCTGGTTCGCCAAAAGCGGCTTAGTCATGCTGGCCACATGACCCAGAAGCTGTACGCCGGCTCCCTCGGCCAATAAAGCAAGATGAGCGCTGCAATCCCAGAGTCGTTTGCGACTGGACCTAATGGTCAGGGGTACCTTTACCTTTACCTTTAGATGAACCACTAGGCTTATTTGGTATAACACACTGTCAAATGCTGGTAAAGTCACAGGATCATGGTTTTCTTAGTACAGAATATTTATTTATTTAGGCTCAGGCACAGAAGACAGAAATCCTCCCTTTTAGCATTCTCTTCCTAAATGGTTTGGCCCAAGCAGTGCATCCCATTTTCCTTACTGTTAAGCCAAACCCTAGCATGTGCCCTGTTAAGACACCCTGCTCGGTTCTTTTACTTTCGTTATTTATGTCCTTTAATTGCAACTTAACTCTGCAGGCACACCCATGGGAACAGCCTCGCTGGTGACCTCGTGAAAGGGGCCTTGTCAGTGGCTGCCTCTGCTTACAAGGCGCTGTTCGCTGGACCGCCAACCGTGGAGCAGGTAGGCAGCTCCTTGGGATGATAACGCTCCCCCGGGAATGGGCAAGAAAGGGATTGGAGCAGAGTTTGCGTATTTTGTCTCTCCACTGTCGCACTGCAAGTACAAATTTGGTGTTACATGGACGTGAAAACAGGCTTCTAGCTTTTGTGGCTGCAAAATGAACTTGAGAACTTGTGGCACCAGGGATTGCTATGTCCAGGGGCTGGATGCTGGCCACCAGATAAATATTTCACGTTTAAATATTGCTTGGGATGACAAGAAGGCGTACGTCCCCGTAGTCAGATTAGACTTCCTCTGATGGAAACCTGGACAGAAAATAGGGAAGTTTGTTTTTGGGCAGGTAGGCGAAGAGGTCAATTGCTGGTGTCTCAAATCAGCACTGGATGGCTCAAAAGACTCTGGGTTTGATGCTCTGATCTCCAGAATGTTGAAAGCTCAACCTTGTTGTTGTGGATTCCTTGGAAGCCGTGGGCTAACGGGAAAAGCAAGGAGGAGGGTAGCTTCCTAAAACAAGGATTGGGATCTTGAATGCTCACATGGGCCTTGCCCATCTGGGCAAGCCATTTTGAAATGGCTTCGGAAGACCTGCAGCATCACACAGATGGCCCTTGGCTCCAGCAAGTTGGTGCTGTATCATTTCATTGGGACAGTCACCTGCCTTGTTCTGTCAGACTGCAGCCATGAGCTGCTTTGTTCTTTGGACTGGTTGCCACTAGCCTCCTGTGTCTCACCATTCTCCAGAACCAGAGTGGAAAACCTTACTCGCTCCCATTGCATTCTGGTTGACTGGTGCTCTCTCTTCCCTTTGACGACAGCTGGGCAGTGGGAGAAGCAAGCACACGCAGTCCTCCGTCCTGTTAAAAATTAATCGATAGAGACTGGGAAAGGAACTTGGCTGTGTGAGCAAAGGTGGAGCTACCTTCCCACCCGCTCTATGCAGTCAGAGAGGAGGGGAGATGGGGAGGGCAGCAAGGATTCCAGAAATCCCTTAAATCGCAAAGGTAAAGGACCCCTGACAGTTAAGTCCAGTGGCAGACGGCTCTGGGGTTGCGGCGCTCGTCTCGCTTTACAGGCCGAGGGAGTCGGCATTTGTCTGCCGACAGTTTTTCCAGGTCATGTGGCCAGCATGACTAAGCCACACCTGGCGCAACGGAACACTGAAACCAGAGCAGCCCACAGAAACGCCATTTACCTTCCCGCCAGAGTGGTACCTATTTATCTAATTGCACTTTTTGGCGTGCTTTTGAACTGCTAGGCTGGCAGGAGCTGGGACCGAGCAACAGGAACTCACCCCATCACAGGGATTCGAACTGCCAACCTTCTGATCAGCAAGCCCAAGCGGCTCAGTGGTTTAGACCACAGCGCCACCCGCGTCCCTCATAGTGCTGCAGAAATAGGCAGGATCAAAATGGGGGTGGTAGCTTCACCCACCGGAGTGATGTGAAAGCCTTCTGTTATTGAAATGCTGCTGATTGTGGAGTAAGTGGGAAGAGTAACCTGTATATTTTGTCCGTTGTGAAGATAAAATAATGGGAGAAAATGGGTTTCCTGAAGGAAAGGTGGGATATGAATATAATTAATAATTGCCAAGATAACATCCTCTCCTGTGGAAGGTGGGGATTTATTTCATGCATACAGATTGGGAAAAGCATTGGCAGAGAACCCTAGATGTAAGCATGCACATTTCCTGGTTTTGATCGTTCTCCTCCTTCCATCCTTCAAGGCTCTTCCTGTGGCCACCGAGGAGCAAATGAACCCCTTCCTAGCCAACCTGAGCGAGATGGGCTTCTGCGACAGGCACCTTAACCTCAGGCTGCTACGGAAACACAACTGTGATATGTCCCAAGTTGTCACTGAGTTGCTGCAACTGAGTCACAGCGATTGGTACGAAAACCAGTATTGAACCTTTTCCCTCACCGTGCTCATTAAAACCTGAGCAGTAAATGGCACCAGCAGCTTCCAGCTCCCTTCTGTTCCAGCACAGCAGAGATGGCTTGGCTCCTGTTTCCCATTGCATCATGGTTCATCACCACCACTACCACCAGTATCCAATGACTCGGGCGCTAGGATTTCTTTAAAACACTAAGGGTTGTTCCTTCCCCAAACTGGCATAATACCAGATTTTGTTGTAGTAAAAGGAGGTGAATGTACACACGAAATACAAGTGAGATGTGTTCCTAAGAATTTTAGGGCTTTTGTTCATGAGCGGCAAGCAAGCAAGAACCAGAGACTTGAGGGGATTTCCTGTATTGTTCCTACCCATCTGGTGGTGGCAGCGGTGGAGCTAATCTAAAGACCAGCTATTCCCGATTCTGTCCTCTCATGAAGGCGGTGGTGGAGCTGGTTGTCCTCTAGTTTTGGAATCATGCATTTTGTTGGAGCAATAATTCCACCAGCATTTTCATGTTGCGTTTTGCAGACACTACTTTAAAATGCATTCGTCATAGTCTAGCTGTTGGTGTTCTTGGCCAATCCCATCAAAACCTAAATGCTGCTGTTTGCTGTTAGTTACTGGGAGTGAAATAGACTATGAAAGGAGCAAAGTCGGTAGCAAGACTGGGTGGGTGGTTCGCCATAAAAATACCAAAACAAAGAGCAGTTGCTCCTCTTGTGTAAAGAGGTATTATTAATAGCTATTATAACTTAAGTATTTGATTGACACATGGTCAAGACATGCTTGGTGGGGGAAACGACACAAAACTATTTTTGTAGACCCATTCCTCTTGTTTAGATGACTAGACTCTCACATCCAAGATTTCTGACCCACCCTGCCCAGCCAATGGACCAATTTTTTTTGGGTGGGGGGAATGCACATTTTTAAACAAATGTTGATTCAATTTAAACATGTTAATAAAGCCCTTAAATATGTATTTGCATAATATTGAGCATAAAAGAACATGAGGAAATGCTGGATCAGAGATGGCATTAAGGGAGAAAGTTTCCCCCATCCCATCAGGGAAAAGAGACAGAAGGAAGTTCTGCCCAAACCCCATTGAATAAACAGGACGTGTTCCCATTCCAACTGGATTATTTCACTCTCAGGTGCTCCTTTGACTTTTCAAACAATATAAAAAGAATGGCTGCTATCGTTTAAAAAAAGACACACCTACCCTTGGAGATGTGGCTGAACCCATACCTGTTTTTTGTGTGTTGGGGTAAACACAGGTCTGTTTTTTTCCTGTGACTTTGGGCCAATATGATTGGGAGGGAAAATTCAGAAATGATGGAAGCGATTAAGACCCCTTTTTGCTTTAGAAGAGGGAAAACGAAACGAAACACCTACTTCTGCAGTGCATTGCCTTTCCCCACCCTCATTTAACTTGTGCATGGAAAGCTACATATCTCTGATCAGAGATCTCCAGATTAGGACTTATTTTGCTTTGGGTTGATGGGTGAGAATCTTGGTATTCCTAGGTAGATCATATTGTTTGACTTGAATTAGTTCTATTGCTACCAATCCTATTGGCAAACCTCTTGTTAACCCTGGTAGAGAGATATTTCTTTTTAGGTTTCATAAAAGCTGAACTTTTCTTTTGTTGGCTTCATATATTTTATGAGAGGGGTGCATGGATGATAATTTTAAAAAGTGCAAATATTAAGATCTTTGTATATTGCTTAGAAGAAACACTTTGAACAGTCTTTGGGGTGTGACAAATGTTAAAATAAAGTATACATTAAATAAGCATCCTTGCGTTTATGAAAATAAAACCAGCTCACCAAACATTCCTTGCTGGGTGGGGTTTATGAGGGAAACCATTCTCAACCTTATTTCGAGAAAAGTAACTTCCACTGAAATGAAACATTTCAAGTAAAATTGGGGTGGCAGGGCTTCTCGAGTGAGGCACACTTGTTTATATTCAATGGCAGTAGGTCTAGTGCTTTTTTTCAGCTGGGACACATTTCTGGCACCTCTCCGGTGGGTGCCATTGAGGACTGGCACCCCCCCCCAATTCTCCTTCTAAGAAGTCCAAAAAACAAACATTTCAAATCAAAATGGAAGCTGGCCAGCATGGGCGAGTCTACAAATTTTTTATCTACGACTTTACCTAGCTCCTAGCTGCATTTGGTCAAGCTACATGGCAGGGCCAATTCGTATTTCCTTTTCTTCAGACAAGGGTCCTTCCAAGCTGCCCTAGCTATCCGTCTGAACCTAAGAGGAGAGAGGCGGGGGAACATTTGACCAGCACCAGAACCAGAGGCAACCCCTAAACCAGTTAAAGGGACAGCTTCCATTGGTTTTTAGCACCTCCCCGGGCGCTGAATGCAGCTGTTCTCAAACTGGCATTTGTTCAGGGCTGTCCTGAGTCGCCCGGCAACTTACTGTAGTAGTAATAATAATAATAATAATTTTATTATTTATACCCCGCCCATCTGTCTGGCTTTCCCATAACAACTTCACAGTGAGTTCTGGCATCTATTTTCCTTTGGGTGGGCACATGGAGGAGGTCTGAGGATTTGCTTACAAGAAAACAACATTACACTGAACAAGCTTTGTATAAAAGGTTGCCTCTCCCCTTGCCACCAGAGGTGCTAAGATAATTTAAGTGCTGCCTTAATGCATGGCACTCTGTTGTTTTGCTCAAGCCCAGCACCCCTGAACCCAGAGCCAGAGGGAGCTGAGACATGTGTCTCAGGAAACAGTAGTGGGAATACTTTTCAAGTAACGTATCCCTGGTTTTTTAAAAAAAGCTTCTGAAACAGCTCTCTTTAATAATAAAAATCAAAAACTCCGCAGATTGTTTTCTAGATGCACAATCCACTGTTGAAAAGAAGTGGGGAAAGCACAACAGTCAACAAACTAAGCAAACTGCTTCAAATATCCTCAAGGGTTGACTTATGGCATAGCCAAACTTGGCCCTCCAGATGTTTTGGGACTACAGTTCCCATCATCCCTGATCACTGGTCCTGAAGGATGATGGGAGTTGTGGTCCCAAAACATCTGGAGGGCGAAGTTTGGCCATGCCTGACTGTCTTAAGCAAACCAAGGGACAATTTTTATAGCACAAGTGTTTAATAATTAGCTGGCTTTTTGATGGGGAGAACAGAGACTTAACCACATAAAGAGCTGCTTATATTTCTGTCGGTGGCAGCGAGGTAACCAGATGCACACAACTGGAAGAGCTTGGGCAGTTCACCAATAGCAACGACAAATTTGGTCCATTGCTCCGATGGAGAAACTTGCCAAACGAACGCAGGCTTCAGAGGGACAACAAAAACAATTATTTTATTGAGATTTGGTACACGTTTATTGGTAAGCCTAGTTTACGACTGCCAGGCACACATAGTAATCTTTCGCAAAATGTTATTAACTCTTGCATTATTATTTTCAGGAGCAGGGTGGGGTGGGGGAGACCTTACCTTTGTTTTTGTCCTTATTATTTACTTGTAATAAAATTACAAAAGATAATTGGGTGCTGTTTTGACCTTTGAAAGCCCCAGCGGCGTAGCGTGGGTTGTCAGCACCCGGGGCAAGGCAAGTAATTTGCGCCCCCTAACCCGGGCAAGGCAAGTAATTTGCGCCCCCTAACCCCTAACCTGCCGCCGCTGCCAACTTCTTGCTGCTGCCTGGTCTGGTCTGGTGTGGTTCTCTCCCGCGCTCAGCTCTGCGCTGGGTGGCCGCTGCACTGTCCCTCCCCCAGATAGTCCCTCGCTCTCTCTCCGCACCGCACGCCTGGCACCCACCCCCTCCACAGTGGGCGGCGACCCAGCGGCTCGGATCGGATTCGCACAGCCAGCACTGCAGTGAGAGAGTGTGAGTGAGCCAGGTAGGGGCAGAGAGCTGCGAGCGCGAGCGCCCCCCCCCCCGATGTTGCGCCCGGTGCGGCCGGCCCCCCCTGCACCCCCCCCACGCTACGCCACTGGAAAGCCCCCAATAGCCTGGACTTGGGCAATTGTCAGAACAAGCAGCTCCTCTCATAAGCATTCGTGTCAGCTGAGATGAATTTGCTTCCCAAGATCAGGAGTGGACAGGTTTGGGGACTTCTCTGCCATAGCATGCCCTGCAATTTCTCCCACCTAGCTTGTGTCTGCATGAATATTGTTTATAGTGGTTTTAGAAGTATTGGCACAAAGAACAAGATGTAATCAAGATATTAAAGGTAGAAGAGTGGGACAGAGACAATATAAATTAAAAGCATTTGCAGATGATGTGGTGATTATCGGTAGAAGAACCAACAGAGTCAATCACGAAAGTATTACAAGGGATAAAAAATTTTGCTGAGGCAACAGGTCTTAAGATTAATAAAGATAAAACTCTTGGTTAAGAATATGAATGATGAGAGTAAAAATAAATCCAGATGCGTCTGGATTAAAGATTGAAAGGAAGGCTAAGTATTTAGGCGTATGGGTAACAGCAAATAATATAAATCTGTATAAAGATAAGTATTTAAAAAGCTGGAAAGTTATTTGGAACAGAATGAATCTTTCACTATTAGGCAGTATCGAGTCTGTCGACCATAAAAATGAATGTATTATTTAGAATGTTATTTTTCTTTCAAACAATTCCGGTGATTGGCAAGGTGTTTCAATACATGGCAAAAAGATATTTCTAAATATATTTGGCAAGGGGGAAAAACCAAGAATAAAATATAAAACATTGAGAGATGCAAAAGAGAGAGGTTTCTCCCTGCCAGATATGAGATTATATTATGAAGCATCTTGTCTTTGTTGTCTGAAAGAAAGGAGGATATTGGAGAATTCACATATTCTAGACTTAGGTCATGATAATATTTTTGGTTGGCACACTTATTTATGGTATGAAAAGGTAAAAGTACCACATGAATGTTATGGAACCACGTTCTCCTTGGCAAACCTTTCCAATTTTTGGACTCCTTGATTGCATTTCTATAATTTTTTTTAGCTCTTTTTGCAAGGTATGCATAGAATAATAATAAACACAAATAGAGCTACTGTCCTTGGCACACTTTCCTGGGCGTAACCCCAATTCGACAAAGTAGGATTTCTCAATAAGTCGGTGACCAATTTCACTATGTTCTGTGGCGGAAGGGATCTCTGGTGGAAAGTTGGGCTGCTGGTGTTTCATCACCTTAAATCTAGATATCGTAAAACTATGCTTCAGTGGTATGGTCATGGGAAACAGGTTGTGCTTTTTTCACCATAGGGAGGACAATGGGGATCTTGGTTTGTGGCTGAGGAGGCGCAGACATAATGAGGAAATTCCATGGAAAAGTCTGGATTGCTCAATTTCCTCTCAGAGCAGTGAGAGCAACTGGAAGGACGGCTTTGCCCAGTTGTCATGGCTGCCCTCCAGCTGAAAAAGAGGACTTTGGAAGGAGCATAAATGGAGCGAGGAAAGGGGTTTGTGTTCTGAATTGAGCGCAAAAAAGAAAAAAAAATAGTAGCAAAGGGGGAGAAAGCAAGTGAAAAACTAAACCTGGAACACTTCAGGCCATTGCCTCAGTTACAAGTTGAGAAGCGAACCTCAAATGCAAAAGACGGTTTAAAAACCGAGTATAGGCATTTTCGGAACGCGCCAATCTTCACGCGGCCTAGCAGATGCTGGCCAACCGTGACGTGGGAAAGGGCAACTACACGCATCTTCGAACCCCGAAGGCGACTTATTCGAAGCCGTGGGGCGATTCACCCACGAAGCTGCGGCCGTCGCCATTAATGGACCAGGGGAGAATATAACGCTATGACGCCTTTTGCGGGACCTTTTGAGGGAGGCTTGACTTTCGAGGAAAGGGCGCCGATGGCCCCACTCCCCACGCTTACTCGCGAGTAAATGCCAGCGGCGTGGCCGGACTAGCCGTGCTTTTTTCAGGACAAAAGCTTGGCAGGGTCCGAGCTCGGCTCCTCCCCCCCCCCCAATCTATTTGAAATTAAGCACCGGCTAAAATCAGTCGCTGAGGGGAAAGCCGAGAGCGGACCGCCGCCATCGCCCCCTTCTCGGGCGGGAAATGCCCGCCGGGGGTGGAGCCGCTCGGCTGTCGCCCTCTGGGTGGCCGGAGGAGGGCGAGGCGCCGCCGGTTTTCGCTTTCGCTTCGTTCCGGAGTCCGCCGGACGCTGCAGCAGCCTGGCCGCTCTCCTCAGGCGGGGCGCGGTGAGCAGGTGTCCCCCTTGGGTCTCCTCCGAGGAGCCGCGTGCGGCGACCACCGGCCCCTCGCCCCCTCGCTTCCTTCCCCTGCTGCCACTTTCTCCCCTTCTTCTTTGCTGCGACTGCCCTGCCATTTCCTCTTTCTGGCTCTCGTTTTCTCTGCGCCTCGACAACCGGATCGTCAAATTTAAACCCTCGAAACCGCCCGCCTGGCGGGTCTGGGGAAAGGATCCCGATCCTTCCCCAAACAGGCACCCAGTCGGGCTCGCCGGGGAAGCGCATGTCAGCCTCGCCTTCCTTGGCCCTAAGGTGGCTTTTTGCGAGGAGGAGGAGGATCAATGGCCATTTTGCAAAGTTATTAACTGGCGACAACATGGCCTGGTTGAGCAAAATGGGAAACCAAGCAGGGAGTGGAGCAGTGAAGGTGATTGTCTGGATGCGGTTGGAGGATGGATGGCGGGTCACAGATTGAGGTTGAATCCTGACAAGACAGAAGGATTGTTTCTGGGCTTAGGGGACTACCTGGTCATGAATGGGGCAACTGTGCCCCAGAAGGACCAGGTGCGCAGCCTGGGCATATCTGTCAACTTTCAGATTTGAAAATAAGGGATCAGCAGCCTCGAAAATAAGGGATCAGCAGCCTCACCTGTCCCAGGGACAGTCTACAGGATATCTAACAATCCGGGATAGCAGCGGGAAACGGCGCTGGAATAAGGGAATTTCCCGTAAAAAAAGGGAAGGTTGACAGCTATGAGCCTGGGAGTCATTTTGGGCTCACAGCTGTCCATGGAGGCGCAGGTCAATTCTGTGTCCAGGGCAGCTGTCAACCAGCTCCATCTGGTACGCAGGCTGAGACCCTCCCTGCCCGCGGACTGTCTTGCCAGAGTGGCGCATGCTCCGGTTATCTCCCGCTTGGACTACTGCAATGTGCTCTACGTGGGGCTACCTTTAAAGGTGACTACAAGTAATGCAGAATGCGGCAGCTAGACTGGTGACTAGGAGCGGCCGCCAAGACCACATAACACCAGTCTTGAAAGATGTTTCCGAGAGGGACAAGAGTGGTGCTGTGGTCTGAACCACTGAGCCTCTTAGGCTTGCCAGTCAGAAGGTCGGCGGTTCAAATCCCCGCGAGGGGTGAGCTCTCGTTGCTCAGTCCCAGCTCTGGCCAACCTAGCAGTTCAAAAGCCACCAAAAGTGCAAGTAGATTAATAGGTACCGCTCCAGCAGGAAGGTAAACGGCGTTTCCGTGCGCTGCTCTGGTTCGCCAGAAGTGGCTTAGTCATGCTGGCCACATGTCCCAGAAAAACTGTCTGCAGACAAACGCCAGCTACTCTTGGCCTGTAAAGCGAGATGAGCACCGCAACCCCAGAGTCGTTCTGACTGGACTTAACTGTCGGGGGTCCTTTACCTTTACCTTTTTACGTTTCCGAGCACAATTCAGAGTGTTGGCACTGACCTTTAAAGCCCTAAACGACCTTGGCCCAGTATACCCGAAGGAGCGTCTCCACCCCCATCGTTCAGCCCCGACACTGAGGTCCAGCTCTGAGGGCCTTCTGGCAGTTCCCTCATTGCAAGAAGTGAGGTTACAGGGAACCAGGCAGAGGGCCTTCTTGGTAGCGGTGCCCGCCCTGTGGAATGCCCACCCATCAGGTGTCAAGGAGATGAGTAACTAACTTTAAGAAGACATCTGAAGGCAGCCTTGTATATGGAAGCCTTTTAATGTGTTATTTTTTTAAAAAAAAAATTATATGTTGGAAGACCCACAGAGTGGCTGGGGCAACTCAGTCAAATGGGTTGGATTTATTATTATTATTATTATTATTATCATCATCATCATCATCATCATTGGTGTTATGGAGCCCTAGGCCTTCTCTTTTACAGGGTACTGTGCAATACTTCAAAATGTAGTAAGCCAGCCTTCTTTATTTGGGTGTTGGTCTCCTGAGTGGGGCTTCAGCCAGTTGAGATTCCTGCATTACAGGGGGTTGGACTAGATGACCCTTAGAGTCCCTTCCAACTACAGTGGTACTTCGGGTTACAGATGCTTCAGGTTACAGACTCCGCTAACCCAGAAATAGTACCTCGGGTTAAGAATTTTGCTTCAGGATGAGAACAGAAATCTTGTGCAGCGGCAGCGGGAGGCCCCATTAGCTAAAGTATCTCAGGTTAAGAACAGTTTCAGGTTAAGAACGGACCTCCAGAACGAATTAAGTTCTTAACCTGAGGTACCACTGTACATTTCTATGGTTTTATACTACTACAGGCAGGAAGGTAATCTCAGCCCCATCTAAAGCTACTTTTGCCAGCCAAAACTCCTTAATCTTTCCAAACAAGCTTCAAACTTGGTCACTCTTTGCTTTTCTGTCCACGTTTAGCTCCCCGCCCCCCTTTTTGGTCTATATCAGGCACGTCCAACTCCCAAGATACTGCCATCTACTCCCAGTATATAGAAAAGGCAGTGATCTACCCCTTGGCATTTTGGGGGGGGAGGGTTGACCAGAGTTGTCCACCGCTGACAATAGCACACAGCGCTACAGCAGCCAGTAGACAAATGAGCCCATCTCTTTGCCCTCCTTGCCGGGGAGGAAATAAACGTCAACGTGCCACACCTCCTATTATGGGTCCCGCAATCAACCGGTTGGACATGCCTGGTATATATCTTTCCAAGTAGGGTTGCCTTTTCATCAGCCTGGGATGTTCCTGGGCTTTATTTACAGCAGCTAATCTAAATTGTAGTGAAATCAGTAGTTAAAACGCTTCACAGTTTGAGGATGAAGTGTTACCACCTGCTAATGTTTTGTTAATCTGCTTGTTAAAGGCACAGTGACAGAGGTTGACTGAAGAGTTGGCAGCACTACTCCCAAGCCTTCATGCTGCTTTCAGTGCTCATCCTGTGAGGTATGTGCAACCTGTATTTCTGGGTTACCTTTCTAGGTGATCTTGAGTTTTTGAATAGAAGGAACAGCTCAGCCCATTAAAACACAAAGAAGGGGATAAGTCTCCTTTGTGTGTGAATGAAGCCTACCCCTTTTAAAAGAGCTGAATCTCTGCTATAGTCAGTTTATAAAAAGCGTGTGTTTATCTAGAATTGCTCCTTTTCTAATCCCAGATATGCAGTACTTGTTCTGGCTGCTAAATCCTGCTCTCAGCTAGGCAGAGGTATTGAGAATCCATCGTGTTTTAAAATAGAATAGATCGGCACAAGTTTGGAACTGGGGGAAAGCTTTGCATAGGTTGAGAAATACTTTTCTGAATTGTGACGTTTTGTGGGCTGTGGCTCATATTGAGTCTGCAGTTTTTCCTTTTCATTCTTTATAGAAGGCTGAGGAAACCACAGGTCGGCTAGGTTATGGAGCAGAACTCTATCTTGTCTAAGCCTTGTTATCACTGAACCTGATTCAAAGCAAATGCTTCAATCAGCCCAGGTCAAAATCAGATTAACAGTTTAATATCTGAAGTTGTAACAGCTATGAAAGATAAACACTGCTAATTAATGTTAAGGTCAAAAGTTATAGTTCACTAAGTCAAAAGTCAACACTTTGTAGTTTCCAGCACTGTGTATCTAGTAGCCTCCACAATTGGGAATGTTTGTAAAATATTTGAATCGGTAGAATATATGTTTATTTTGTTGGTAAATTTGAGTTAGCAGGAGGACTTGCTGGAAATTGTTCTCTCTCCATTTCTACCCTGTTGAACTCCTCTATTTCTTTGAGTACACATGTGACCCTACCCAGCAGAAATCCACAATTCCTCTTCTTTTCTTTTTTATTCTTTTTTTAATTAAAGATTTTCTTGATTTACAAAAGTGTGTGCAATGTCTCTCTCTTGTATTTTTTCCCCCATGTAACATTTTTACAAATCAGTTTCATTTGTTGAGACATTAGGAAGAAAAGGGGGAAAGAAGTGGAGGGGGGAAGATGGGTGGGGTTGGGTCGGGTGGCAATGTTTCTATTTTACTTACTATATGTAGGGTTTGGTGTCAGCGTTGCTTGTGCAGGTTCTCTGCTATTCGCTTGTGTTCCTTTAGTGGTGAGAGAGGTTGGGGTTGGCCTAGGGTGTGGCTGTTCATTTGTGGTTGGCTGTGGTAGTCTTTGTTTTCATGTGTGAGTGGGGTGGGTGGGTGTTTTGGATCAGGTTAGCCATATTGATTTGTATGCTGTTGGTCATTGTCTTGTTGGGCTGTGTATGTGACAAAGGGGAGCCATACCGGGGTGAAGGTGTCTTCTTCTATTTGTCCCTGTGTCAGTTTCAGTTTATTGGTTAATTTTTCTAGTAGGGCTGTTTCCCATACTATTTGGTACCACGATTCCTCTTCTGAGGGTAGGTGGGAATTCAACAGCAATGTTTGAAACCTGGTGATAAATGATTTCTCAAATTTACCGTATATCTCCCCTTTCTCTCCCCCTGCAACTTGATTTTCTTTTCTTCTCCTCCCCCAGTTATTCCTACTTTGCCTCCCCTAGATATGATTCGTGGCATTGAAAGAACTTCCTTAGAGGAAATGTTAAACATCTGACACTGGTTGGGGCCTGTTCTGGGAGTCTACTAGTATTTACCTCTGATACTTGGCCTAAGTAGGGACTTCTGGGAGTGATCTTTGCTTGCTCCTGGCTCCCCATCTGCCAGGTAAGAACTGTGCCCGCCTCAAGCTCCTTCCAATAAGATAGGTTGAGTATCCCTTTGCACAGTTGCTGAAAGAAACCAGCCATGGGTTTAGCCAAGGGGCAGCGGGGAGGGGGCAGCTGCCCCTCCATACCAAGTAAAACAATACAAATATCAATCACATCAGTTCTGCCCCCCAACAAAGTCCTGTCCCCGCCCCCCATAAAAATCCTGGTCATGCCCATGAAGCCAGCTGTTTTTAAGCCATATCTCCAGAATTTGCTGCTGAAAACAACTATTGGTTATTGGCTTGTTTTGTTAGTGCTTTTATTACATATGTTGTTTTTTAACCTTGTGTTTTTTATGCTCTGAGATCTATGGATGAAGGGTGGTATACAAATTTTATAAATAACAATAAATAATAAGTGCCTCTCTCTGCAAACTCAGGCGGCAAGCACTGACAGAAATTGAGAAACAAGAGGGATGAATTACGGTAACATGTTTTAGGGGGAACCTCAGTGTTTGCAGAACTACAAAAAAAAAGTTTTTAAAAAGCCTGATGTGGAAACTGAGCATAGTCGCAATGAAACGTTAAATGTCAGTTGAAGAAGAAAAGCAGAAGATTGTGGGAGCCCTGCTTGAGCTTCTTAGTTTATGGTTTCCTGAAGGAAGGGTTGGCTACCTGGCTGGCTGGCTGGCTGGCTGGCTAGCACCCTGAACAGGAACGCTCCACATTGGGCAAAAGATTCCTGCTAACGACTAATGACCATTGGATGTCCCTTCCAACTCCGCAATTCTGTGATGCTGTATCTGACCAGAGGCAAATGTGGTATGAGTCTATACCCTAGGGGTGGGGAGCCTCAGGCCCATTGGCCAAATGTGGCCCTCTAAGCCTTCCTCTCTGGCCCTTGAGATTCTCCCCAGGCCAACCCCCCATTGGTCCTGCTTCTCGCGTTCCTTAAGTGTTTCTCCATCACTGGAACATGTCCTTGAACTATAATATTGCCTCTTGCAATAAACAGAGGGTGAATTGAATGGGTGAAGGGTTGGAGGAGAGGCAGAAATAAGAGCTAATTTGTCATTGTCTGGGGGCGCAATCTGGACGATTCTTTCAGGGGCGCAAGATCACCTAACTACGGCTCTGGTTTCAAACTGCCTTCAGTTCTCTGAAGCATTGCTTTTGAACTTACAAGGCTGGAGGGAATGGGAGAAAAGGGGAGAAGGAGGAGACAAGTTTGAATGGCAGAAGGAGATGAGTTTGAATATGACAGAGTAGGGCATGTTGAATTTTTCAAATTCCAAAAATGAGGGGTGCTCAAAAGTTGTAACATGACATGGGAATTCAAGGTGTATTTTGGTTAAATTAATATAATTCAGTTTTGCTTGGTGAGTGAAATGTGTGTGAAATTGCATAGAAAATTGTTAAAATGATTGCCTGATTGCCAAGTACTTCCAGTTACATATATTTGTTATTTTTATTATTTAGCGTTACCTGACTTTTTCAGAAGGTGAAATTATAATTATTTGGTTTTCCCAAAGAACTTTATGTGCTTCTTCATCAAATGTAGACTTGCAAATTTAAATGTTGTCCATTCACAAAAATAATAGCAGGTTCAAGTGCCTCACTCTCAAAAACTTATGTTTAAGACACCCTCACTGGAAAAAAAAGTTGCAAAAATTTTCACCCTCCTAAAATGGCACAGAAGGAAAATGCAAATGTTAATACATTCCTCTTTACCCAAGCCTTTGGCCATTAAATAATCTGCTAAATAGGAGCGGGAGGACTGTTGTTGTGGTTATTTTATTATCATTATGTGTATTATGTTTTTATTATTATGCTGTGTAAATTATGTTCTTAAGGTTGTAATAATAATAAAAATTTTATTATTTATACCCCGCCCATCTGACTGAGGCTAGATCTAGACATGTCTAAGAGGCGATTCAGTTAAACACGTTGTAAACTCATACAGGGAAATCCGGTAGGGGAAAAATGGAACTCTACACTGCCATCTGGTGTCACAGTGTTATATCGCATATACAACACATAAAAAAACACTTTTTCTTTACCAATCTAGCTGAGTCCTGGGTTGCCTCAGCCACACCTCCCTAGGATCTTTGGTATATAAATCGAATAAATAAATATAACAACAACAGCAGTTCAAATATGGTAACCAAAAGAGCCAAACACGTTTGAATGTATATCCCATCATCCCTGACTACGCTAGCTGGGACTGGTGGGAGTTGGAGTCCAACAACATCTGAAGGACCACAGGTTCCCCATCTCTGATGTAAACCATTCTAGCAGTAGGGCCTTCTGGCAGTTCCCTCACTGAGAGAAGTGAAGCTACAGGGAGCCAGGTAGAGGGCCTTCTCGGCAGTGCCGTCCTCCCTTTGGAACGCCCTCCCAGCAGATGTCAAGGAGATAAATAACTATACAACTTTTAGAAGACATCTGAAGGCAACCCTGTATCAGGAAGTTTTAACGTTTGACATTTTATTATGTGTTGAAAGCTGCCCAGAGTGGGTGGGGCATAAATAATAAAATTAGTAGTAGTAGTCACAAAGAGGAAAAGGTATTGCTGGGGAATGTAATTTTGTTGTGCCAGGTGTGCCTTCCAGGTGTCCTTGATCCTTAGGCTCATTTAAGAAATCAAGTACTGCCTTTGGGGATCCACAAGACCATGGGTAGACAAACTAAGACCCAGGGCCGAATCCGGCCCAGTCGCCTTCTAAATCCGGCCTGCGTACAGTCTGGGAATCAGTGTGTTTTTACATGAGTAGAATGTGTGCTTTTATTTAAAATGCATCTCTGGGTTATTTGTGGGGCATAGGAATTTGTTCATTCCCTCCCCCCCAAAAAAGTCCGGCCCCCCCACAAGGTCTGAGGGACAGTGGACCAGCCCCCTGCTGAAAAAGTTTGCTGACCCCTGCACAAGACCCTCAGATCTTCATTTATCAAAGTCTCTTTGTCAGACAGCATCCCTGAACAATGGACAGAGTCCTCTCGTGGCTGAGGAAACTCTGCGGCAAGGAAGAGGCCGAAGAAGAAAAAGGAGAACGCGACTCGCTACGGGAGAAAAGTTCGGGTGATGAGGATGAAGCACCCTACTATGGCACCATCAACGGAGGCAATGCTGCGGAGGCGTCCTGCGCTCCTTGTGTTGGCGCTGCCAGCCGCGGCTCCGTCACCTGCCCTACGTGCCAGGGCACCGGGAGGATCCCCCGAGGTAAGTTTCAGCTCCAGACCTTCTGTTGCCCAGGTTCTTCCAAAGCTAATGTGGGAAGAGCCCCGCTGAATCCTGTTTCCCAGAGTGACCGGCCAGATCTTTCCCAGAAGCCGACAAGCAGCTCTTGAAGGCACCAGTCCCAGAAGCCGACAAGCAGCTCTTGAAGGCACCAGCTGATCCAGACATACTTAAAACAGCTGTTGTTTTTTTTAAACAGACACATGAATGTCTTCACAAGTTCTGCTACATCTTGCTTAAGAAGGAAATGGCCCAAATTACATGCAATGTTCTGCATTGAGATGTACAGTGGTGCCTCGCAAGACGAAATTAATCCGTTCCGCGAGTCTCTTCGTCTTGCAGTTTTTTCGTCTTGCGAAGCACGGCTATTAGCGGCTTAGCGGCTATTAACGGCTTAGCGGCTTTAAGAAAAAGGAAACAAACTCGCAAGAACTCGCAAGACGTTTCATCTTGCGAAGCAAGCCCATAGGGAAATTTGTCTTGCGGAACGACTCAAAAAACGGAAAACTCTTTCGTCTAGCGAGTTTTTTGTCTTCCGAGGCATTCGTCTTGCGGGGCACCACTGTACATACTGTTCTCTTCATTGGACCAGATCTGTGGTCCCCTGCACTGAGGGGTGTTTTCCAGACCTTTGCTTATTCTCTCTTTCTCTCTCTTTTTCTCTCTCTCCCTTCCTCCTCTGCTCCCATTCCAGAGCAAGAACAGCAGCTGGTGGCCCTCATTCCATACGGAGACCAGCGGCTCAAGCCCAGGCGAACGTAAGTTCACTGTGTCTTTGTTGATAATGCTCCCTGCCCTTCTTCCCGCCGTCTCTTTCCTAACTTTGCTGCCAGCAATCTGATTCTTTTGTGGCGGTTCAGCTACTGCTAATCTGCCTTCCTCCTGTTTTTGCAGGAAGCTGTACGTATGTCTCACAGTGACCATCTGCCTGCTGATGACAGGGCTCATGATGTATTTCCTGTTTCCACGCTCCATTGCGGTGGTCCCTGCCGGACTGAATTTCTCATCTATATCCTTTGACAATTCTACTTACAGCATCACCCTTAATATGACTGTGAGTCCCTGGGGGTTGGTGGGACAGGGGTTGGATCGCATTCATGTCACAAAATCTATTTTCTTCTTAAATTGAGATTGTGATTAATGTAATGCGTGGGTTGTTATGGGGTTGTTGTTGTTGTTTTTAATACAATTACTGGGCTCAGAGCTGCCTGGAAGATGCATCTTCTTGAGTTAGAGGGGCTTCTAGATCAGAGATCTCTGCAACTTGGTTGTAACTGCACTGTGTGCAGAGGAAAAATCCATTATGTCTATGAAAAGAGGCATCCTTTATCACCGCACATGTTCCAAGGCTGAGAAGTGACATTCAAAGCAGGTTGTGGGACTCAACTTTGCCCCAAATTTAAGACTTTATCTATGGAACAAAGGAGCAGGTGACTAAAGGAGCCTGTTGTAAATGAGATTAGGAAAAATTAAAACCGCCTTTTTGTCTAGTCCAGGGGTCAGCAAACTTTTTCAGTCCACTGTCCCTCAGACCTTGGGGTGGGGGGCTAGACTATATTTTGAAGAAGAAAAATGAACAAATTCCTATGCCCCACAAATAACCCAGAGATACATTTTAAATAAAAGGACACATTCTACTCATGTAAAAACACCAGGCAGGCCCCACAAATAATCCAGAGGTGCATTTTAAATAAAAGGACACTTTCTACTCATGTAAAAACACGCTGATTCCCGGACCGTCCGTGGGCCAGATTTAGAAGGCGATTAGGCCGGATCCGGTCCCTGGGCTTTAGTTTGCCTACCCATGGTCTAGTCCTTATACTGTACTCAGCACATTACACTCAAATGAACATGGCACACCATACAGAAGCAGAAGCAGAAGCAAGCAACGTCCTATGGGCAAACGCATTTCCATTTTTGCTTGTATCAATCTGTGCTGGATGAGTACAAGACACCAAGAGGGCACCAGATTGGTTTATACAAAAAGAGTGAAGTTTATTACACCTGAAACTGTTTCTGATCTAGTATTGTCATTGACTTTCCCTCCTGCCAGTCATTCCTTAGGATCAGGGATAGGGTCTCAAGTAGTACCTAACAGGAATCTTCTACTGGGCTTAACCTAGCCCAAATATCAAGGCCAGTTCCATGCTCTGTACAGAGCTTTGTACTGCGCAGAGATGGTTCATGTTGGTCTCACGCATGGGTAGGCAAACTAAGGCCCAGGGGCCGGATCTGGCCCAATCGCCTTCCAAATTCAGCCTGTGGATGGTCCGGGAATCAGTATGTTTTTACATGAGTAGAATGTGCCCTTTTATTTAAAATGTATCTCTGGGTTATTTGTGGGGCATAGGAATTTGTTTATTCTCCCCCCAAATATAGTCCGCCCCCCCCCCACAAGGTCTGAGGGACAGTGGACCGGCCCCCTGCTGAAAAAGTTTGCTGACCCCTGGTCTCACGGAACAGGTGAGACCATATCAGATGGTTCACCTGATCTTTAGCATCTTCCTTTTCATTGTGTCCAAAATACTTTCTGGATCCATTGTGAAAGCCCTCCTCCATGCCTTAATCATATTTCATCCAGACTTCCTTTGCTCCAGGCCTCAATTCCTGCTGTATTCTCCTTCTCTGCCCCTGTGTGTTTATCTAATGGACAGACTGGGCATTCCGCTTTTTCTATGGCATCATACATTTGGATAGGGCGGCAGCAGCAGCAGGGTGCTAATTATGGGATAAATATTCAGTCGCGGAACAGATGGACACACATGTACCAAGATGTCAAATTTATCAACTCATCCCACATAATTCATACTGCCTGTCTTTCTCTCTCTAGAATATGCTGAATGTGACAAACAACAACTTTTACACTGTGCATGTGTCTCAGCTTGCTCTCGAAGTCTTGCACAAGGCACTGGTGATTGGGAAAAACACTGTGACGACACAGCTGGACATCAGACCTTTACATGGGGCTCAGGTGAGGACCATGCTAAAGTGTGTGTAACGGAGAAGCAGTAGACAAGCAGCCCAAATTAACTCGCTCTTTCTTATTTATTTGTAGATGCATTACAGTGTCTCGAGTAAAATCATGGATAATAACACGTAGTAAGTATGTCTGTGAAATCTATCCCTGCACTTGGGGGGAAAAAACCTCAATTCAAGTTATGCTGTCAATTGATGGAATTTTTTTTTATAATGACTTTAACCAATTGTGGCTGGCAAACTTATATGTTTCAGACTTAAGGAAGATGCCTTTGTTGTTGTTTTTTTAAAAAAACCATTGAACAAATTGACTGCTTTTTAAGTATGAACAAGTTACAATTTCTTTAACAAATGTTTCAATTTTAGAAGGAAATATCAGCATTAATTTTTTTTTATTGAATTACCGTATTTTTCGCTCTATAAGACGCACCAGACCACAAGACACACCTAGTTTTTGGAGGAGGAAAACAAGAAAAAAATATTCTGAATCTCAGAAGCCAGAACAGCAAGAGGGATCGCTGCGCAGTGAAAGCAGCAATCCCTCTTGCTGTTCTGGCTTCTGGGATAGCTGCGCAGCCTGCATTCACTCCATAAGACGCACACACATTTCCCCTTACTTTTTAGGAGGGAAAATGTGAGTCTTATAGAGCAAAAGATATGGTATATAATGCATAGTGTCCCCATTACAGTAATGCAGCACAGCTAAAATGGACTTTGAAAATAAGCCAGTTCAAGCCCATCAGCACTGCCCCAAGATCCAGACAGATGGCTTAGTATCTGGTTAGTGGGTTACAGTGAAGGAAGAGGCACAGTGAGACTAAGTAGATGCTTAGGTATCTATATCTATATAAGAGAGCTAGGATAGTTGTTAGAGAAGCTACAGCAGACACACTTAATATCCCGCCTGCATTATGCATTTAAAGCCGTATCATACCACTTCAAAGAGTCACGGCTTCTCCCAGAGAATCCTGGGAACTGTAGTTTGTTAAGGGTGCTGCTGAGAGTTGCGAGGAGACCCCCAGTTACCCTCACAGACCCAGAGCTCCTTGGAGAGAGGAATTGATTGTTGAATCACTGCTTTAACTGTGTAGTGCAGATGGGGTGTGTGGAGCTAAGGCAGAAAATTAGAACGGCAAAGAACTATCGCTTGTCTGTGTTGTGGTCTTTATGCAGTAACTGAGGGACTGACTTTTAATGTCAACCTGGAGACAGACCATTGCGAGGGACTCTGGGAACTTCAATCACACCTGTGTTACCTTTATAGCGAAAGCATCTAGTCCAGCCCTGACTGGCAGCAGCTCCTGCCAAGAGGTCTTCCCAGTATTACTTCCAAAGATATTTTTCAACTGAGGATGCCGAGGACTGTTGGTTGGCATCTGTCTGACTCAAGACACAATGGAGTGTGCCTCCAGGGGTGAAGTCTAACCACTGGAGAGTCACAGCGTCTGCTGTGGCTGCAGAGACCAGCAACGTTTAACTGCTGCCTCCTGCATTGTTCTTGCCACATTTCTAATCAATACCACATGGGTTTAGCTTTGGGGTGTCAGTATTTCTTTCCAACCACCTGTTTGCTGAGGACTGGACCTGTGAAATTCAGCGTGAAGAACAGGGGCTCCGCCCCTGAGCTGTGGGCCTGTTTGTGACAAGAGACAGAAAAACCCATCCCCATTAAGTTCTGCATTCAAAGCGTTGGCATAAGCAGCCGGAAACTAATTATCTTCCCTTCTCTTTCAGCAACATTTGCACGTGGTCCAAAATAAAAGTTCACAATGTTCTCCTGCACATACAGTAAGCGTCATTTCCTTGACAGTAATCTGACGAGTTTCTGCTCTCCCTCTCCCGCCCTGCCTCCTGCTCCATCCTCAGTTCTTTCCTCCAGCCAATAGCATAGATTTCCCCATGACAGTCCCCTTCACATGGCTGGGCATTTTCTTCCCACCACCAGTCAATTCATGACATCTTTTAAGCTCCACTTTCTCCCTCTCGGTCCCAAGATCATGTCACCCTTCCCCAGAAGTTCTTGCACTGGCTCTACCAGCTTTCAGTCTTTTAACTTTCTCCTCCTTGGCACAATGATTCGTTCTTCTCCCCCACTTTTCAGTCCCACCATGCACAAACCCCCTTTGCTGCACTCCAGCCCCTTGGCCATCGGGCCCCCGTTTTGTTCATTTTAAAGTATTTATACTGTGCCTTTCAGCCCAAAGTGAAACAAAATTGCAGCTCCGCCCAATTAATCTGCCCCTTGATCCCGCACTGTTTGAGGACCCTGTTGAGCTTGAAGGCCAGCCCCATCCCTGACTCTTCTCTTCCCAGAACAAACCTATCCACCCCCTTGCTTGCTCTTGTGTTGACTGCTGGCTGGCTTTCCCCCTTCTGTGTCCTTACTGGTCGTTGTCGGTCTCTTTCATCTGACTCCCATCTCTTCCCTGCTTATCTAATGTAGATTATAAGCCCAAAGGGCAAAGGCTGGAATCATTTCTGTATCCTGTACAGTCCTGGGCCTGAACTCTAGACTTGAATTAAGCTGTGGTTGGAAACATGGAGGTGGTGAAGAGGGCAGGGCAGGGCTTTGTACGTCTTTGGTGGGTTGTGTCAGGTTGGGAACTAGACTTGGGGAAGTCATAACGGCTGTCAATTTGCAAACATTTTGAGCTGGTCTTTCTCTCCCTCTGCAGGGGTACTGTGACTTGCTCATACCTTGCTCACTCGGAGCAGTTGGCCTTTGAAAACTACCAGTATGTGGACTGCAGAGGTAATGTCAGGCTTCCTGGGATGTCCGGCTCCTCCTGTTCCCCATAGCTGCTGTGAACTCCCGGAGGAGAAACTGTCTGCCACATCTTCCGCCCTCTGCAATGAAATTGCAGCAGCAGCAACATTTTCATCCCTCCTGTAAACTGTGGGGTCAGGAAGGGAAAGGTGTTCCATTCAGTGTTGCTAGTTCTGCTGCTAAGACGAGGGGCAGCCTCATCAGGATATAGAGATTTGGGTGATGCTGTTTGACAACATATATCTTGAGGGACCAGCATAAATGCATCTGATTGTGGAAGATAGAATCCAAGAAAAGCATGCTGGAGCTTTGGGATTTTGCGCTGGAATTTGCATAGCTTTGGGCTGTGCGCGTCCAACACCGACTGGCCAGATTGGATTGATCTTCTACAAATGTTTTCTGGCCTGAAGAAGTGCCAAGTGTGTGCTTTATGGGAAGGCTGGAGTTTACCTTTGATGTTGTCGTTGTTCAAAACAATCTTCCCTCGCTAAGCAGCAGAGAACTATGGACTTTGCACTCTTTACTTGCACAGGCAAGCACTGCTTCTAAATGAGGCTGTATGTTTACTCATCTCTCATCCCACTGGCCTCCTCCTGACCATTGGATCAGCCCTTTGCAATGTGTGGCGGAGGCGAAGGAAGAGTACACAAAGGTTTTGGAAGTCACAAATGTATTATTCCATGTTCAAATCCTGTCTTTCTAAATGCACCCCTCTCTCTTCTGGGCAGAGTCGGGGAGATAATAAAATCATGCTGACCTCCATTTTCTGTCAGATTGCACAATTCTCAAAAAAAGTACTCCAGAATAAATAGTCTCATGCATTGTTATTGGAGGCGATGTGCTGTTGCTTCTTTGCTTACACATTGTGATGGAAGATTTTTTGGGCTGTGTGTGTGCAGTGCTGCCTGGTGGCGAGTTGAAATTATTGCACAAGAGAACTTTGTAGATGAGGAAGAAAGATGTCTGATACTCTTAAGGCTGTGTGCACACCAGGGCAGGCATAGGCAAACTCGGCCCTCCAGATGTTTTGGGACCACAACTCCCATCATCCCTGACCATTGGTCCTGTTAGCTAGGGATGATGGGAGTTGTAGTCCGAAAACATCTGGTGGGCCGAGTTTGCCTATGCCTGCACCAGGGCATTAATGTGCATGTGAGTTGCATAGATCTGATTTTTCAGTGTGCATTTTTTTGTGTGTGCACTTTTGCCCACAAATTTAAATCTCTCTGTGTTTCCCTTCCACATTGGGCAGAGCTTGACTGGATGCATTTGTGCTGTGTGGTGTTGCCTCCTCCCTTCAGTTGGAACTTTCCTGATTCCTGCAAGTTCTGGAAATCTGAGACCCATTGTAGGTGTGCGTGCAGGTATTTGTTTACCTGTTTTGCCTCTAATTGCATGACAACAAACTTCCACCCTAGCCAATGTTTCGTAGCAAATGAGCCAGATTTTAATTTTAATGTTTTTTGAAATACAAGTTGTTTTTTTGTTCCACCAGATTTGTGCAAGATAGCAGCTCTCCCATCCCTCGAAAAGTGTTTTTTGAGGTAGAGAACCAGCAGCCCACCACCTTATGAGGCCGAATAACAACCAGGCAGGTGGAATTACTGGCGCCCCCGATCTGCAGACCCTTCCAATACAGAGCGCTGTGAGTCAGCTCAGAGAAGAGCCTAAAACTGTGCATTTAACGCACAAGCACAACACACTAAGGCAAGACAGAGAAAGTGATTTGTGCAAGCCTGTTTTCCCCCCGCACCCTGCCCGTTTTTCCTTTCCTGCCTCCTGTACCTGCAGAGGCCATTTTTATTTTTAATACATCGTGGTTTTTCGAATGAGCGTTTTGAAAACAATAAATACTGCAAACGTGCCTTCAGCAGCGACAGAAGGAGGTAGACACCCTGGAGCCTTTACTGTGAACTGGTGGGGAAATGGCTAGGGCTGTGCTCAGCTGATGAGCAAAACACAAGTGGGCATTTTGTCCTAAGAGTGCACTTGGTGTGGCAAGTCCCCACACTTGTTGCTTCGGTGCATCTCCGTTCAAGTAGCAAGTCATTTTACGTTGGATTGTTTTCTTTCACCGAATTATCCAGATTGGAGAAATCCAAATTAGTTGGAGCGGAAAGTGCAGGTTAGCCACTTGAACGAGGATGATACATGAATGGTGTGGAAGTTTGCATACATGGGATGCCCTGAGTCCACTTTAAACTGCCACATGTACATGCCCTAAGTAAGCTTCCTTCCATACCAGCCCTTTTCTGTGAAACGGCTTTTGCTATGTTACATTTTACAGAGAGTCCAGAGGTGCAAATCTCTGCAACCCTGTGTTTGTATGTTTTTTCAGCCATGATTCGTAACGGATTCTATTTACTTTTGCAATAAAATGTGCAACTGCAGCACTGTCCTACGTGGAGTGGAAAAGATCTGAGGAAGCTTCTGGGGGGTTCTTACGCTTTTAATTAAAAGTTTCCTTTTTGCAGGTCCTACGTGTTTTATTAAAGGGACGTAGGTGGTGCTGTGGGTTAAACCACAGAGCCTAGGACTTGCCGATCAGAAGGTTGGCGGTTCGAATCTCCGCGATGGGGTGAGCGCCCGTTGCTCGGTCCCTGCTCCTGCCAACCTAGCAGTTTGAAAGCACATCAAAGTGCAAGTAGATAAATAGGTACCGCTCTGGCGGGAAGGTAAACGGCGTTTCCGTGCACTGCTCTGGTTTGCCAGAAGCGGCTTAGTCATGCTGGCCACATGACCCAGAAGCTGTACGCCAGCTCCCTTGACCAATAAAGCGATATGAGTGCTGCAACCCCAGAGTCGGCCACGACTGGACCTAATGGTCAGGGGTCCCTTTACGTTTTACTTTTACATGTTTTATTGCTTCTGGTTGATCAAGGTTGCAGAATTAGTGAAGAATAGCCTCTTAATGCCCTCAATGTCCGTTTCTGTTCCTGTGGCTGAAGGTGGGGTGATTCTTCTAACACCAAAATGAGGCTCTTTTACTACTTCTTCTTTTTAGGGTTAAAATGAGGAACTCAATCATCAAACCTACCCCCAGCCACTAAAAGTGACATTGGGGGAATTGAGGGACTATCCATTGTTAATCCCCCAGCTTCAATCAACCAGAAGCAACTAAAAAGGGAGGGCTTGCCAACAGGAAACTCTTCATTAATGTTGCAGACAACCTTTCATAAATGGGAACTAGTTTTAAGTAAATACAGAAGAACCCTTGTCATGGGGAATGAGTATCACTGGGTTACTAGCATTACCTTAAGGAATGTGCAGAACCTGCATTTCAAATTCACTTCCAGCTAATCACAGACAAGCAAAGCCTCAGCAGGACTCTAGTGTGGATGCAAGCAACCTAAATTCCTGCCCTAAGCAGCAACACCCACATTCTATCAAACTGTCTCCACCAGATCCCTCTCTAATCCTTTCTTCAAACCTCCCAAGGAAGGAGAACAGTGGGCTCCTGTTCTGCCGGTGATATTTCCCCCTATTTAAATCTAGTTTCCTTTTAGTGCTGGGCAACTGTTTGGCCACAACTTGCTGCGGTGATCTGTGCAGGTTTAGGAATAATGTGATCCACCCCAATTTAAGGCTGTGCAGCGGCTCAAAGTTTCAAGAGGAACAAACATTTTTGAGAAAGCCATAGAACAGGTATTGGCAAACTCTGACCCTCCAGATGTTTGGCTCCCAGTACGTTTCCGAGCACAATTCAAAGTGTTGGTGCTGACCGTTAAAGCCCTAAACGACCTCGGCCCAGTATACCTGAAGGAGCGTCTCCACCCCCATCGATTTGCCCGGACACTGAGGTCCAGCGCCGAGGGCCTTCTGGCGGTTCCCTCACTGCAATAAGTGAGGATACAGGGAACCAGGCAGAGGGCCTTCTTGGTAGTAGCACCTGCCCTGTGGAACACCCTCCCACTAGATGTCAAAGAGAACAACAACTACCAGACTTTTAGAAGACATCTGAAGGCAGCCCTGTTTAGGGAAGCTTTTAATGTTAACAGACCACTGTATTTTAATACTTTGTTGGAAGCTGCCCAGGGTGGCTGGAAAGACCCAGCCAGATGGGCGGGGTATAAATAATAAAATTATATTATTATTATTATTATTATTATTATTATTATTATTATTATTAGGACTACAATTCCCATCATCCCTGACCACTGGCCCTGTTAGCTAGGGATGATGGGAATTGTAGTCCCAAACATCTGGAGGGCCGGAGTTTGCCTATGCCTGCCATAGAATAGCAGAGATATAGAAGAGATCCCTGGGTGATCTAGTCCAACCCCCTGCAATAACTTTAGTTATGCTCAGTTCTACATAAAGGAGTGTGGTTTCAGTCTGTGACTCTGGAAAGCTTTCCTTTTTATGTTTAGGGAGGGTGGGAGAACCCATAGGCACAACCACTAAACTCCGTGTTTTGCCCCGGAAAAGTGCTTTTACAGCACATACAATGGACACCATTTTTCCTTCCAGGTCCAAGTTGCAGAGGAATCTTTTCTCCCTGCTGTTGCCAGCTGCTCAGTTGTTACCACTGCTGTATGTACTCTGTAGTCTAAAAGAGAAAAGAGAGGCCATCAGTATCGGATCGGATCCAACAACAACGAAGCCACACATTTCACAATGTTTCCTCCTCCATTCCAACAGGCTGGTTCTGGCAAAACATTTGAGAACTTCGTTGTCCAGTTCTGCCCAGACATAACTCAGTTGGTGCTGATAATGCCAAGGTTGCAGATTGGATCGCCTGGGATCTTCAGGCGCCCTTCCAGCTCAATGATTCTACGTAGAATGCTGATGCATGTTTTATTTAAATCTATGCAGTTGAGGACCTCATAGCTAATATGCCGATGTTAAAAAATTAGGAAGGAGAGATCTGAAGGGGAGCGAGGACGGGAATGAGCAGAACGAGAATGGCCATTTGAGGCATAGAGAAGACCACAAAGCTCAGTGAGGAGAACAGCGGCTGCACTCAAAACAGGCTGCCCTGCCCAAAGGTTGCAGCCAAGAGGTCACTGATTCATAAAAGGTAAAGGGACCCCTGACCATTAGGTCCAGTCGTGGCCGACTCTGGGGTTACGGCGCTCATCTCACTTTATTGGCCGAGGAAGCAGGCGTACAGCTTCCGGGTCATGTGGCCAGCAGGACTAAGCCGCTTCTGGCGAACCAGAGCAGCACACGGAAACGCCGTTTACCTTCCCGCCGGAGTGGTACCTATTTATCTACTTGCATTTTGACGTGCTTTCGAACTGCTAGGTTGGCAGGAGCTGGGACCGAGCAACGGGAGCTCACCCCGTCATGGGGATTCGAACCGCCGACCTTCTGATCAGCAAGTCCTAGGCTCTGTGGTTTAACCCACAGCGCCAACCGCATCCCCATTGTTTCATAACTCCCCGCTTTTCCCTTTCTGACTCACCGAGTATCTTTTCAACAGCTTGCCACTGTGATTCGGCACATGCTCCGTTCTGCACAGGCAAGAGTCAGCATGGACCCCTGCGAGAAATTAAAAGGGGAAAACCAAGATGTATACATTTGGAGGAACTTAAAAGGAGCCAGGGCCCAAGCTCTGAGACATGTTATGACAGAACAGACTCCCAATCTCTCAGGACCAAGCAACCACAAGCTGGTTAGGGTGGAAGGAAGGCATTCTGGATCACAGCCAAGTTTGAGCCCCTCTTAGGAAGACAGAGCTAGCAACTGCATACTCAGATCAGCTTCCTTTTATTCCATAAGGTGATGACATCTACCTCCCAGGCCTGTTGTAAAGAAAATGCAATGGGTCTGTGCATCTGGCTACTAAACAAAAGGTTGGTGGTTCAAGCCCACCCAAGGATGGCTGTGGGCAGGATTTCCTACATTGCAGGGAGTTTAACTAGATACCTGAAGGAGCGTCTCCACCCTCATCATTCAGCCCGGACACTGAGGTCCAGCGCCGAGGGCCTTCTGGCGGTTCCCTCCCTGCAAGAAGCGAAGTTACAGGGAACCAGGCAGAGGGCCTTCTCGGTGGTGGCACCCGCCCTGTGGAATGCCCTCCCATCAGATATCAAAGGAAAAAACAACTAGCAGACTTTTAGGATACATTTGAAGGCAGCCCTGTTTAGGGAAGCTTTTAATATCTGAAGGACTATTGTATTTTAGTATTTTGTTGGAAGATGCCCAGAGTGGCTGGGGAAACCCAGCCAGATGGGTGGGGTATAAATAATAAATTGTTGCTGCTGCTGTTGTTGGTTGTTGTTGTTGTTATAGATGACTCTTGGGATCCCTTCCAGCTCTACAATTCTATGATCTTATGAATGTCTGCAGGAAGCACTTTGGGCACCTGAAACCTATAAATGGCAAGGTGTCTTGCAATACCTTCTGAGATTTAAAGCAGTGATGGGAAGCCTGCAGATCTCATGATGTTGGACTCCACTTCCCATCAGCTCCACCCAGAAGGACCAATGGTCAGGGTTAACGGGAACTGTAGTTCACCACCAGGAGGCCCACAAGCTCTCTACTCTTGATTTAAGGACGTCTCGCACAAGGGTACCTGCACCTGATGAGTTTGGTACGACTCGCACACTTTTAATCTCAGTCTACTGTCAAACCAAGGTATCATGCCCATGGTCCACAAGCTTCGTTCAGACAGTCCACGGCATGTCTGGATTTGTGGCTAAAGATGGAAGGTGGTAAATAGCAATACTGAATTTTATTTGTATTTTTACTGCGTCTGGTTATGCATTTTTTACAAATTGAATTTCATAAAATTCAAGTTGTAATACAGCTAAAACAGTACATAATGAATAAAATAAGCAATAACAATACCCAGTGCTTTTTTTCAGAAAAATAGGTGCCAGTACTCACCATGAAGTTGTTAAAGTAAGTGTCACACTTTTTAACACCCCCCCCCCCAAAAAAAAGGAGTTTTTCCTCCTGGGAAAAACAGCACTGGCAATACAATTAAAAACCATACAGCATTTAGCGTTGTGCATTACTATTGCTACAACAGGCAGAAAAATCTTTAATTGGTCTTCCAAGATGTACTGCAAGTTCCACGGGGAAATGAGTTTGGGAGCCACTGTCCCAACCTATTTTGGCATCTCGCTTTAGCTCCGACAGGTCGGATGTTTGCAGGAAGAGCTCGTTTCGTTTACGAGATATTTTGTTGGTTTCGCTTGGCAACATATGAATTTGCAGAAGAAGCTGCCATCCCTAAACCACAAGCAGCGCTTCTAGTGGAACTTGATTGAGCGCCCTCATCCCCCGAATCATGTTGAAATTGTAGCCTGACCTGTGGAGACCGCCCATGCTGCAATCCTGGGCACACTGAACGCCTGTTTTCTAGCACGACAAACCCTTGTAATTTGACCTCTGTCTTTCAATGGAGGGTACACGGCTAGGTTAGCCTACACCTGATTTTCCAATACCTTCAGTGCATGAATATTTCAAAGCTCAAGCTCAGTCGCAATGGGGGCTGAGGATCTGTTAACAGCTCATCTTCTGTGTGTGAAAGCCAGGTTAGTTTCAAAGTAATGAAAGGCATAAGGGGTTAATTCTGGGCAGAATGAACTGTATCTTTGAAGAATGGTTATCAGATGGAAGGCACTGACTAATTCTTTCCCGTGGCAAAAGAGTACCCAAATTAAGGCACTAATTTGCACACCCCAAACACATTCGAAGTGTGCTGCAGAAGGCCACATGGCAAAGTGAGTTTCTGACCTTTTAATATGAGACATTTTTTTCCTACTTGTGTAGGTAAAGGGACCCCTGACCTTTAGGTCCATTCGTGGCTGACTCTGGGGTTGCGGCGCTCATCTTGCTTTACTGGCTGAGGAAGCCGGCGTACAACTTCCAGGTCATGTGGCCAGCATGACTAAGCCACTTCAAGATGATAGACTATGCCAAAATGGCAAAATTAACTGGGAAGCTCAGAAATCAAGAAGACAAGAACTTAAAAAAAAAGAATGGGAAAAGTTTATAATTTATATACAAGACTACTGCAAGCAGGTTAAAACACTGGCAGGATTTCAATCACATTTGTAAAGTAACAGAAACTATGGACAATTCAGAAGGAAAAAATATTTGGATAAATATTGACATGCAGTTGTAATTATTTTCATTAGGACCCATGAAAGGGATAGGGGGGAGTCAGGAGATTCAGAGTAATCTCAGATTTTGGATTTTGAATTGATGTTTGTTGTGTGTTTATAAAAATGAATTTTTTTTTAAAGAGAGATTTATTTCTCCCAGGTTGGTCAGCCTCACCTGTCCCTCACTTCCCTTTGCAGCAGGTACAGAAAACCACCTTCTTGGGCCTACAATTGGTCTTGTCCGCTCAATTCGCCAGAGCCTGCCTTTGCCTGCAGGGGAAGTCCCTCACTCACCGGAGGGTTTGAGATACCTTAGATATTCCTTTCCAGAGGCTGGGTCCAGGGGCCAGTCTAGGTAGGTGATGTTCATGGACAAGGCATCTCTGAACACCCCCTTCTCTTGTAACAGCTTCCCACCCTTCCCCTTACCTTGGGAGACTGGATTCTGAGACACGGTGTGGGAGGGCGGCGGGATTGAGCATTTTGCTTGGATATCCCTCAAAACATGGTCCTGCTGCTGTCCTCCATAGGCGCCTCTCGCCTGCATGCAACCACACACACGCAAAGTGAAAACTGCCATGTTACTTTTCCCTGGCTAATACCTGCCCATCCTGGACCAGGTGTGCATTTTCCAGTTCCTTCCCCTTCTGCAACAGCCCTTTGGATTTCTCCCTTTTCAGCCTGGGTAACTCTAATAATAATAATAATAATAATAATTTATTTGTACCCTGCCCATTTGATCGGGTTGCCCCAGCCACTCTGGGAGGCTTCCAACACACATAAAAACATAATAAAACATTAAACATTAAGAAGCTTCCCTATACAAGGCTCCCTTTCTGTTCTGCTTTCTCATCTGCTTCCACTTTTTACGTTGCCTTAGTTTTGACGAGAATGTGGCTTCACCATTTATGCAGCGATTACTGATATATGGACAAAATTTCCCTTGCCAATCCTTCCAAACTCCTTCCCTTCCCCTCTGACTTCTGCACCCCACAAATTTAGTTCCTTATTCCTCAATTCCCATCTTCTACTATGCATGCTCCAAGGCTACACTGACTGGCAGCAGCCTTCCTGGGTTTCAGACGAGAGTCATTCGCAGTCCGAACTGAAGACTATTCAAGGATTGGACCTGAAAACCTCTGCAGACAAAGCTATGGGCCTCCCCACTTTTCCCTCACATGCATGCACAAGGTGTTAGTATTCCTTTTTTTTTTATTTTAATAAATGATATTTATTCCAAATTTAAAGTTACAAAAAAGAAATAGAAAAACCATACAAAATACAAAGAAGACTTTAGCCATAACAAAGCAAAAAATGAACAAGTAAAAAAGAACAATAAGATAGAATAAAAAAGAAGACTTAACAAAAAAATATAAAAATACATTAAATTAAAATAAAACAAAAACAGATTAAACCTTTACATAGCCTTTTCCCTTTACTTATTTCCATGACCTCCTCTCACCTCTCGATTTTGTATTCTAGTTCAGATCGTGTTTCCAGCAAATCCTTCTAAGCTTCTTTTCATTTACGTATTTTAAAATTAAAATAATGTAATTAAACCTCCTCTATTTCATCAATTTCATCAACTCATTTTTGCTTAGTCCATTATATCATATCTACCAGAACGACCTAATATTCTTTTTCCAACCTCTTTCTAACATTCTTTTATATTGCAGTATTTTTGAAGATATATTTTGAATTTTTTCCAATCTTCTTCCATCGACCCTTCTCCCTGGTCTCGCAAGGTGTTAGTATTCCTGCCCCATGATTGCAGTCGTGGGATTTTTGTCTATCACACAACGGTGTATGTTTTGACTCCACAGAGTGGGAAGTGATGAAGACAGGATTTTTGTGTTCCTGGGTTCCGTGAAGTGAAACTATTGTCCTTTGTTCTTTCTCTTTGCTGTCTAATGCTAGAGAGAGAGGGAGCCATGTTGCAGTGCTCCGTGTGTGTTTATATGTAAATAAAGTAGATTAGCCAAAATGCTGAGTTGCTGAGGTCTGTCATGCGCAAGTTGCGCATACTCTGCAGATCCCTAAGTGTGCCGTTGTCGGTTGGCATAGGTCGCTGTGATGTTCGGGCTGAAGAAAGCTTATGAAGCTCCTGAACGATCGACCAGGAGGGAGGGGACATGCCAGTTGGGCATGTGTCTCTGCCAGAGTCCTACTCGAGTGTAGGCTGAATTCCTGACACAAGATCCTCTAGCCAATCCCTTGGCCTCTCTAGTTGTTTTTGTTATTTATTCAATTTATCCACTGCCCTTCATCCAAGATCACAGGGCAGTTTACAGTAGAAAAACACAAAAATACATAACATAATAACAAACAAAACAATACCCACCCCAGTTTAAAAGGCCACAGATGGTTAAATTGGCCGAAGGCCTGGGAGAAGAGGAATGCTTTAGCCTGGAGCCTAAAGATATGTAATGTAATGCAAACCTTCCTGGGGAGAACAGCCCACAAGTGGGGAGCCACCACAGAAAAGGCCCCGCTTTCCTGCTGCCACCCTCTGGACCTCTCGTGCAGGAGGCACATAAGAAGTGCCTCAGATGGTGATTGCAGGGTCTGGGCTGGTTCATATGACAGGCTATCCTTGAGGTACTGAAAGGACCACGTGGCTGTGGAGGCTGAAAGCCTTGCAGATCTTGGGCAGCTGGTGGTGGTCAGAGAAGACAACTAGACACAGAATCCAACTTCTGGGGGCCAAGGTCCCTTCGTCACATTCCTAAAATATTTGAGGAGGGCCGCTTTCCCAAGTTGCCATTCAAATGGTGTACATGTACCATGTCTTGTGATCAATTATGTGGGGCTGGGCTTACCTGAAGGAGCATCTCCACTCCCATCATTCTGCCCGGACATTGAGGTCCAGCGCTGAGGGCCTTCTGGCGGTTCCCTCCCTGCGAGAAGCCAAGCTACTGGGAACCAGGCAGAGGGCCTTCTCGGTAGTGGCACCTGCCCTGTGGAATGCCCTCCCACCAGATGTCAAAGAGAACAACAACTACCAGACTTTTAGAAGACATCTGAAGGCAGCCCTGTTTAGGAAAGCTTTTAATGTTTGGTGCATTACTGTATTTTAATATTTTGTTGGAAGCCACCCAGAGTGGCTGGGGAAGCCCAGCCAGATGAGCGGGGTATAAATAAATTATTATTATTATTATTATTATTATTATTATTATTATACCTGATCGTCGCCACCCCCCAAAATTACAGTGGTACCTCAGGTTACAGATGCTTCAGGTTACAGACTCCGCTAACCCAGAAATAGTACCTCGGGTTAAGAACTTTGCTTCAGGGTGAGAACAGAAATTGTGCGGTGGCAGCGGGAGGCCCCATTAGCTAAAGTGGTACCTCAGGTTAAGGACAGTTTCGGGTTAAGAACAGGTACCTCGGGTTCAGGTACAGTGGTACCTCTGGTTACGTACTTAATTCATTCCAGAGGTCTGTTTTTAACCTGAAACTGTTCATAACCTGAAGCACCACTTTAGCTAATGGGGCCTCCTGCTGCTGCCGTGCCGCCAAAGAACGATTTCTGTTCTCACCCTGAAGCAAAGTTCTTAACCTGAGGTACTATTTCTGGGTTAGCGGAGTCTGTAATCTGAAGGGTCTGTAACCTGAAGCGGATGTAACCTGAGGTACCACTGTATTCAAGTTGGCATGCCTGCAACTAGATGAACCACAACCAACCAACCAGATAATGCAGCGCTTTGTGACTCCCATCATATTCTCCCCTGTGCCCCACATTTTCCCACCCTCTGTTGGGGAACTTTTTGCGCCCCCCTTTTAAACGACCCTCCTGGACCTGAGTTTTCTCCTCGTCTCCCTTGCCCAGGTACAGTACCTGCATCTGCCAGCATCTGCGCTCCAGCTGCATCTGCCTGCGCCGCGCTTCCCAGTGGTAGGCGCCCGCCATTGTGCTGCCCGTAGGACCGCCTGCAGCCGCGGGCAGCCGCGGTGGCACCGTCGCCGAGGCCCGTCGGGTCACACAATGCCGCGATGCCCGGGCAACTGGGAGGAAGACGCCGCCGCCGCCGCCCACCTGCCGCCCGCTGCCGCACCTGGCCGCCAGGGGGCGGCAGAAACCAGGTGCTGCTTCTCCCAGTCCTTGCCTGGCGGAGGCGCGTCCTGGGAGCGCGCGACTGATTTAGCACCCCGGGGTGCGTGCCAGGCGCTGCACCCGTGCAGGGGAAAGCTTCTTTGCAAGATCTCGCCCAAAAAGAGCGGGCGAGCAGGCAAACGATGACCCAGAAAAGCAGCAAACGAAAGCCGGGGATGGAGGGAAGCGGGAATCTGAAAAGTTTGCAAGCAAAATGCAAAAGTCGGTGCAAAATTGCTGGTTGCGCTTATCCTGTGCGCGAACGATCGCCGTAAAAAAGCAAAAAAATAGGGGAAGAGAGAACAGCACGTGCTCGTGTTTGTTACTTCTTGGATCTCAAAGCTGCAGGACTGAAAACCAGGCTCCGGGGGGAAATTAGAATTTTGCCTTTGCATGTCCCCGCGCGGAGAAAGCTAGCTTGTAAAGGAGACGGTCCCTTCTCCCTTGCTTTCTACATGCAAGAAATGTGTATTTATTTATATCCAGCCTTTCCCTCCCCCGACAAGGACTCAAAAGGCGGCCTTTGGCTGGTTGACATCCCATGTCCTTTTAAATGTGTCTGTGGTTTCTTTTGCATAGAATCGTAGAGCTGGAAGGGAGGCTCATGTGGCCTAGTCCAACCCTCTGCAACGCGGGGATCTTTTTGCCCGCGACGCCGAGATTAAGCGTCTCGCGTCCACGGACCGAGCTCATTCTTGTTTTATCCACGACGCATTTTGCGCTCTGTGTTGTGAGTCGCCAAGGACGGGAAGCATGCAAATCTATAACAAATAATAATAATAATAATAATAATAATATGCCTCCAGATTGCTGCAAGCCCGGCTGCCTTTTTGCAAAAAAAGAATAGTCCTGGATCGGAGCTCGCACGCTCAAAACTCCGTGCCAAGGGAAAAAGCGCACCGCGCGCCTTTGGAGAAGAAATCGCTTGCAGTTCCCAGGCGGAGGCGGAGGCGGCGCTGTCGAGGGCGCGCTCCCGATTGGTCCGATCCAGGAAGCCTCCCCCGCGCCTTCCCCGCAGCCGCATCTCGGGCGCTGGTTGGCTTCGGGAGCGCTGACACCGCCCAGCTGGCCTCGCCTTTCCTCTCCCAGGGAGGCGAGAGGCATCCGCGGGCGAGCTGGGCGCGTGGAGAGCCCGGGCTGCGGACGGCTGCTCGGCTAAGGTGCTGCTGTTGCTGCGGCGGCGGAATCCCCATGGAAGGTAATCTCTCTCTCGATCTCTGGAGTCTGCGATCCCTTCTAGGCTTCCCCGGTTCTCAATTCGGCCCGCTTTCGCCGCAGACGCGGAACTCGGTAGGAGAGGGTGTCTCTGAGCATGTACAGAGTGCATTTTTTAATCTCCCGGGACTGGAGGATTTGGGCGGGCGCGTCCGCTTGCTTGGGAAAAAAGGCTTTCCGAATCGGAGGGCGGCTTTTCCCCGCTTCTCTTTCTACAGACTCGACACCGTCTGCCCTTGCTCCCCTCCCCCCCTTTTTTTAATACAGCTTAGTTGAAATAAGGTGACTTAATAGCTTGCCTGTTCTGGCCCATCCGCCTCATGTTGTCGCTCTGTTACTGTTTTATTAATTGGATGGTTTTGATACTTTTTAATTTTTGTTTTGCTTATTGCATTTCTTATGTGCTGTTGGAAGCAACTCTTGATATGGTGTTAGCAGAAAGGGTGGTCTGCTAATAAATATATCCTTCAAGGGCATCCATCTCAAGCGCCAAAATCTGTTTACAAGGTATAGGCCAGTCTAGAAGGGACAGCACGCAAGAGTCCTCTGAATATATGCAATTATCTTTCCCCCCTGTAACCTCTCCAGCCATAACTTGACTTGAATCTCATGTTTAGAAACTGCGCTCAGCCCAGCCCTTTTTTGTGCATACCTTTCAGTAAACATTCAGCTGATATTGCAGCAGTAGAGAGGGTTGTCTTTGGAAGGCTGCTTCTTCCTGAGATAGATTCCCATCTTCAGAGAGTTTTTGAGCACAGATCCTGGCCAAAGGACCTCTTTAGGCTCTGTCTGCCACCAGTCATGGTGCCTATTTAAAGTAATACTGCTTCTGTCCTTGGCCAGTAATCCAAAGGTTTTGAGGGGGAAGTCTGTAAGTCTTTGAGGGGGGAGGATAGCTCCCCCCCGGCACTTAAAATCTTTTAATAATAATAATAAATCACTGCTTCAGATTCCTTCTTACTTTGAGGCTACATGAGCACCGGAGACTTCTCTGTAGTGGCACCAGTGTTTTCAAAACACACACAAAAAACACCTCTCTACAGCTTCCTCACTTCTTACTTAAAACTACAACAAAAAACTTTTTAGTCTTTTAAACTTAGTGTCTTTCTCTTGTCCTTTATAGAGATGTTGTCATTGTGCTGTTCCTTGCTGTTACAGGCTGTGGTGGTGTTGTTGTTGATGTATTATTTTACAGTGTTATTTTTTTAGTGTGTTAACTATTTTTGAAACGAATACAGAAAAAGTAGCAAGTAAATGTTTTAAAATAAACTAAGGGAAAGGAAAGTTACCAGCTAATGTGGATCTGCAAATAGGCACGATTCAGCTTCTCTGAAAACCAGTTTCTCCGGATCGATTGTCCTCTGTGTGAATTCAGGTTTTCTGCGAAGGAGGTTTCTTTAGGGTTTGTGAAAGTGTTGCTTGAATCAAGGAATTTGAGATGTTTAGCTGAGGGATTACTTTGGCATCTGAAGAGTCGACTCAAAAGCGTTACGGGTAGTTCACAAAAAAACAGTAAATGTTCCAATTTCCCCTGTTTATTTGATCAGCATGTCTTTAACAATACCTCCCCCCCCCAAAAAAAAAATGCTGCATCTTCAAGCATTGCCCATAGTGACGCAAAGTATGTGCGCATGGGTTTGCATTTTGCATTAACTGTATCTCTGTGTCTTGTTGCCACAGTTCCACAACTGCTGTGAGCGGAAAAATCATCCGGCCACCGGCCAACGCTTCAAAGTTTGGCTGTGCTCCAGAGGACTATGGGGAACCAGCTGGCCCCAGTGCCCCCATTCATGCCCCATTTGCAGGCCCTGCACGTGGTGGTGGTTGGGCTGGATGCAGCCGGCAAAACGTCGCTGCTGTACCGCTTGAAGTTCCAGGAGTTTGTCAAGAGCGCGCCCACGAAAGGCTTCAACATGGAGAAGATCCGGGTGCCGCTGGGCGGTTCGCGCGCCATAACTTTCCAGGTGTGGGATGTGGGCGGCCAGGAGAAGCTGCGCCCCCTCTGGAAATCCTACATGCGCCGCACGGATGGCGTCGTGTTTGTGGTGGACTCTTCAGAGGCCGAGCGGCTGGAGGAGGCCCGCGTGGAGTTGCACAAGATCGTCCGCTCCTCGGAAAACCAGGGCGTCCCCATGTTGGTGCTGGCCAACAAGCAGGATGTGGTCCAGGCCCTCTCCGTAGCCGAGGTGGAGAAGTTCCTGGGTCTGCCCGAACTCTGCGCCTCCACCTCGAACCACATCCAGGGCTGCAGCGCTGTCAGTGGACAGGGCCTTCAGCAAGGCCTGGAAAAACTCTACGAAATGATTCTCAAGCGCAAAAAAGCCCTTCGCACCAGCAAGAAGAAGCGCTGACAAACTGGCGTGTGAGATTATCTCTGGGGGATTCAGACATTTTGCACCCGGACCGCAGTTTTTTGCCAGCCCGGGACATTGTTTCGGAACAATGCGAGGTTGCAAATCAGACAGTTTCCTCTTTGGTGACTCTGCTTTTTGGACTGATGAATTGTGGAGCATTTGTGCCCTTGTTTTTGTATTTTTATGTTGTGAACCACCCTGTGATCTTCGGGTGGTGGGTAGTATACAGACTGAATAAATAATAGGGATAATACCTGCCATGGGCAGTAAGAAAGCATCTTGGCAGCCTGCCCTGCCCTGGATTTCTCCCCCCGGGAGAAAGGGGGAATTTTCCAAAGAGTTGGAGGTCCGTCATGCGCCAACCGCATTATTTGTTTATATCTTTTCAGAAAGAAAGCATAATGTTTTCTGGGCTCCCCACCCCTGTTTTTCTGTTGTTGTTTTTTGTAGAAAACAAACCTTAAATTATTAAAAAAAAAACCCATTCTTTTCAGAGTTGGGGACGAGGCATTTATGTCATCTTTTGTGCACAGGGATGAGGGAGGGTTTTGGCATGCTAAGGAGATGGACCAGATGATAAACAAGGGAAAAACGCAGAGCTGCTTGCTTGCAGTGTTAGAAACTGAGATGGGAGGAGCTAAAGGGCACCTTGAACCTATGTTATGGGCGCAACAACGGGATGTCTTACAACAAGAATACAAAGCTGAAAATGAATGAACTGCAGCTAAAATATTATGTTCTTTTTTCCCATGGTCTAGTCCTTCCCCTGCCCACCCCCCTAATATTCTTAAGAGGGTCTCTTCTCCAGTCTTCAAAGAGTAGCTGGATGTGGGGAGGCAGAAAAAGTCCTCCCTTCCTTCCACACTGCAGTTTCAATCTGAAATCTTAGGCTCAGCAACTGCTCACGCTAATGAAATTCCCTGTCGCAAAATGCGCCCAGAACAATGGGAGTTTCGAACGTGGCTTGCATGATGTTTATAAAGATTATTTGTAAACATCATGCCTTCCTGGAACCGAAGGTAATGCTTAAACCTCTGCAGGAAGAGAGGCTGGAGCTCAGGGCTTTTCAGGGCCTTTAGTTTTCTACCCACAAACCTCTGGATACATCCCTATGAGTTGTTCCTGCTCTGTAGTGAAGACAGCCTTATGCTGGAAGACAAGGACTCGTGAGTTCCTTTACATGTCCCAGTGATTATCATCATTAGGTACCCACAGCTAGCTCCTCAGTATCTGGGAATGGGGACACCCAGGTTGTCACTTCTAGGGAGGCTCTGGGCGTAGCACTATTCCTTTTGGAGATGAAGGACTGGTTGCCGCGCTCCCAGTTTTCTCTTCTGGTGTTAGAGACTGCCTGCGTTGACTTGGAGAGGAGGAGGGGAGGGGTGCGTTTGACGCGAGGGGCTTTGCGTCGCTGTAAAATTCCATCTGCTTTTGCGCTGACTGTTTCCCCTGCCCCAGTTTTCCATGAGCCTTATAAAGGCCCAGATCAACATTGTTCGCTCAGGCTTTGTTTAGATCAGAAGCAATTTCCAGCTCCAGAGTTTGGCGCTTTCTCAACTAAGGACGTCTCTGAGCATGCAAATCTTCATTTGAATATAACCAGAGGTAATGGTTGCAAACATTGCAGCTGAACATTTATCAGTACACTTGTCGGTGCAATAAGGTGTCCGGTGATGATAAAAAAGAAAACCATTCGCTGGTTTTCCTTTTTGCATTTTCCTTCACTTCTAAAGCAGCATTTTGCTCCAGACATGCGCATGCATTGTGCTTTTCTTGCCATATGCTCCTCTTAACCCAGACCCCACATATCTAGGCTTAGGGGCGCAGATCAGAGCATTTAGGCAGGCCAGAGCATCCAGCAGTTCTTGCCGCTTGTGGGTCTAACCTCCGCCAACAAAATCAAACCGATAACACGTTTGGGTAGCAGCTGTTGTGTCTCTGGGGTGACGTGGAGGCGGGTGGGAACTTGGCGCTGGCTCAGACACGCTGCTGGAAAAGTGGACAACTGTTTTTAGCCTGGCAAACATGCTCAGCGAAAACACCAGATTTCCGGACGGTCTGGCACCCCAAGCTCGTGTTTGTACGGTGAAGATTTCTTCAGTTCTTATTTTACATGTCGACCCCTGCATGTTCCCATTGGGGAAGAGATCGCTCCTTTGTTGGTGGATGAGGAGGAATTAAGTGTGGGCTTCCTTCGACATGCAGTGGGGCAGCACCGTGTTTCTAGAGTCTGCTAATCCTAACGTTCTGGCTGGAATTTGGCAAGGAAGTCCACATTTGTGGACATGAGAACACAGGGACAGACGGTTATTTTTTTCCTGGTATCCATTGGTGAAAAGGGCTCATGCTTGCCAATCCTCTCCTACAAATCCCCCCCCCCCGGGCTATTTTCTCTTTAGCTGGAAGTACTTCCAATTTTTGGCTGGGTTTTTTGGGGGGTGGGAATAAGCTGTGGACATTGTCAAGAGGAGACGCTTAATTCATGTGCATTTAAAGCCTACATTTTTGAACACATGCCGTAAGTTGCACAGAGCTGCTGAGGAAATGTGTCGGACCCATGAATGTTCAGAGTGCCAGAATGGAGCTTTTCATGGAATCAGAATCACAGAATTGTTGGAAGGGACTACAAGGGTCATCTAGTCCAACCCCCTGCGATGCAAGAATCTTTTTGCCCACTGTAGGACTCGAACCCCTGTCCCTGAGATTAAGCGTCTCATGCTCTACCGACTGATGCACAGAACTTTTAATCAACACCGCTTGACCTTCTAAAGTAAAATGACGGGGTTTGTGCGTTTTGGGGATACCTGTAATGTTTTCTGGTGCAAAATCAAGGCTGTTGTTTTCCCTGTGATGGGGGAGGCCTGTGCCACAACTTCCCTACTGGGACAAGCAGTTGTTGGGAAGGAATTTGGACTGGGAAAACGCTAGCAGCAGGAAGGCACCCACAGCGCCACTCCAGTCAAATATATCTCTCCCCCCAACCCAACCAAAAGAAAGCATTTGAAACTTAAAAGTAAAAAAATTAAAAAGCCAGGATAGCAACTTGCAGGACTGCCATGTAATGTGTGGTTTGCCCTTGGATCCGCGCCGGGTAGAGGAAGGAGCAGCAGCTCAGATTACTCAGAGTTGAAGAGAAAGTCACTCTGCTGGTCTTCTGCCTTGTTGGGTGTTTTCACATTCAAGAACTACCATATTTTTCACTCTATAGGATGCACCCGACCATAGGACAGGGGGAGAACAAGAAAAAATAATTCTCCACCTCTCTGCTCAGCGCCCCTTCAGCGGGAACTCGCGCTGCACTCCAAAGGCTTCAGGCGGCTATCCCTGAAGCCTGGAGAGCGAGAGGGGTCGGTGCGCACCAACCCCTCTCGTTCTCCAGGCTTCAGCGAAAGCAACGCGAAGCCTCCGGAGCGTGGAGGGAGGCTTCGCATTGCTATGGCTGAAGCCAAGGAGCCTGCATTCGCCCCATAGGATGCACACACATTTCCCCTTAATTTTTGGAGGGGGAAAAGTGTGTCCTATAGAGCGAAAAATACGGTAACTTCTGGCACTCAGAACACATCCTGTGGCTGAAGTCCTTTCTCGGATCAAGCCCTTGGGTACGGCTGACTCCTTGGCCTACTAAATGAGAATTCATCTGTTACCTTCCTGGACAAAAGCCACAGCAGCCAAACCGGCTGGGAACTGGTTTTAGGTTGGCGATTTAAACATAGCTCAAAGCAATTATTGCGAGAGCAGCGGGTACGAGAGGTACCAGAGTTCATCCTTTGCCTAGAAATCACATCCTCTTACTTTCAAGTCGTTCTCCCACCTGATGCAAATGTGCTTTGTCCCTCAGAGAACGTGTGTTATGAAGCAACTAATAAAGAACGAAAGGGAGAGGTTGAGATTATGAAAGAACAGTCCCTGTTGCGCGCCAAATAGACCTCTGTCTGCTTTCGTGCCCTTGCTTCTGACATTCTTGGGCTGGGCCCAGTGAAGTCTCTCTAATGCCTGGCCTGGTGCCTGATTTTTGGCACTGGTAATATTCCTCCACAGCACATGTTCCTTGTGGTTTAGTTAACAGGCGCTTGCAAGGAAATGTAAAGCTTCACACAGTGTTAGAAACTCAGATATATAAGCCGGGCATCAAATGGTTCTTTAAACCAGAGTTACAGGCACCAAAACGGTATGTCCGGTTGCCATTTTTGGGCCAGGCAGCTTGAAAGCCGTATTTTTCAATACAACTTTTTGGTTCCTGAAATGAGCGGTTCTCAACCTGTGGGTCCCCAGATGTTGTCGGACTACAACTCCCATCATCCCTGAGCTCTGGCCTTGCTAGCTAGGGGTGATGGGAGTTGTAGTTCAACAGCATCTGGGGACCCACAGGTTGAGAGAGGCTGGTAGGCAGATAAAATATAACGGCTAGACAGGATGTGGGATTAAATGTGCAAAAACAGTCGAGGTCCAAGGATCCCCAGGCCTGCACCGCCAGATGGTGGAGGCGTCAGGCGACGAAATCCTGGCACCTGGACATTGTTACTTGGTCACAAGGGGCCGATAAAAGGTAAAGGTAAAGGGACCCCTGACCATTAGGTCCAGTCGTGGCCGACTCTGGGGTTGCGCGCTCATCTCGCTTTACTGGCTGAGGGAGCCGGCCTACAGCTTCCGGGTCATGTGGCCAGCATGACTAAGCCGCTTCTGGCGAACCAGAGCAGCGCACGGAAACGCCGTTTACCTTCCCGCCGGAGCGGTACCTATTTATCTACTTGCACTCTGACGTGCTTTCGAACTGCTAGGTTGGCAGGAGCAGGGGCCGAGCAACGGGAGCTCACCCCGTCGCGGGGATTCGAACCGCCAACCTTCTGATTGGCAAGTCCTAGGCTCTGTAGTTTAACCCACAGTGCCACCCGGCTGATAGCCAGGTGCAAAATGCGCCTAGCGAATTTCCAGCGCTGGTTTCACACCCTAAGAGCATAGTGTGGCCACATACATATCATGAAAAGAGAAGAAAATGCATCCTGAGAAAAGGAACAAGATTGCGTACAATTTCCCTACGCTGATATATAGGTGTACTGTACTTAGAATTAATTCTGATAACTTAAATGGAAACAGTGCATCGTACCAAAGTGGGATGTGACCAGATGGGCGATCTGTCTACCTGTTCGCCAGGTGCTGTTAATGAGCAACTTCAAGGACTCTATATGGTGCTTTATGTTTAAACTGGATTTAGACCAGAAAGCCCTTCAAACTGATTCCATCAGCTCCCAAGCTGACCAGGGGTCTGTGTGACCACGTAGCAGCGGCCTTGCATTACTTCAAGCCAGCTGAACTCTGAATCTGAAGGATAAGCGCCTAGGCTGTCCTTGCTCGGAGTGTGCTTGGACACTAATGCCTTCTTTTATGTAAGAGATTTGAGGGCAACGGGTTTAAATCGCCTTTGGAGCTGTTATATAAGGGCTTTCCAAATCTGTCGACCTCTCCTGCTCCTGCGCCACTCCCAGGATTAGTCTTGCTGACTCATTATCTTTCTCAGAGGCTCAGTCCCTCGCAGGCAATCTGTTCAGCTCAGAGGCGCTGCCCTCACTTGTTTTACACGGCCAGACAACGAAAAAAGCAGGTTTGGGGACTGGCCACGTGTGAAGGTGGCGGTGTTCGTTTCAGAATCCATGCTCCCTGGCTCATCTGGTCAGCTCCAGATTTTGAAACTACTAGTACAGTGGTACCTCAAGTTACAGACGCTTCAGGTTACAGACACTTCAGATTACAGACTCCGCTAACCCAGAAATAGTACCTTGGGTTAAGAACTTTGCTTCAGGATGAGAACAGAAATCGTGCAGAGGCAGCGCGGCAGGAGCGGGAGGCCCCATTAGCTAAAGTGGTACCTCAGGTTAAGAACAATTTCAGGTTAAGAACAGACCTCCAGAACGAATTCAGTTCTTAACCTGAGGTACCACTGTACCTCAACAGCTTCCAATCTCTGAGCGGCTCCTGCGGTGCGGTGCTGCTTGCCAGTAAGAGCAGCATTCTGCACATGCTCAGGTGTGTTCTCTCGGTCACTTATCTCACATATTCCAGGCCAACGGCAAGAAAAACAGGTGGCTGAGTCTTGGCTCAGCCCCTGGGTGTCTGTCTGCATCTCGGCAAGGCAGCAATCTTGACTCCAGCTGTAAGTAGAGAGGACTTGCTCCATAAAGTAGTTTCTTCTTAATTAAGTTCCTGGGCTGGGATGTTCTTGAAACAGGTGTCTCACCCACCCACATTTTGCTTTCCTGGGGCCCCTTTCAGTTTTTATAATGAAGGCAGCTTTAGCCAGACTATTGCTGTGTTGGCAAAGGAGGAGCTTCTCCTGGAAGAAGCTTTGGTTAAAGGCTTAGTTTCCCCCCTGCCACAACTATGTAGGAAATTGGAAACCTGCACAGTGGTACAACGAATAAAATTTAAATTAGTAACAGAGATCAAGGATAGAGGAGACTTCACAGTTCCAGATCTCAAACTATACTATGAAGCGTCCAGCTTGATCTGGATTATAGATTGGTTGATGTTAAAAAAATACGGAAATGTTAGATATAGAGGGATGGGATAACGTTTTTGGATGGCACGGTTACTTAGGACATGACAAAGTAAGAAACCACAGAGGATTCTTAAAACATATACAGTGGTACCTCGGGTTAAGAACTTAATTAGTTCTGGAGGTCTGTTCTTAACCTGAAACTGTTCTTAACCTGAAGCATCACTTTAGCTAATGGGGCCTCCCATGGTCGCTGCCGCGCAATTTCTGTTCTCATCCTGAAGCAAAGTTCTTAACCCGAGGTACTATTTCTGGGTTAGCGGAGTCTGTAACCTGAAGCGTCTTTAACCCGAGGTACCACTGTACTTCAGTTGTAGCCCTCCAGAATGCTGGCAGAGGCTCAAACGACCCCATGCTCTTGTACAAAATAAAAATTAAAACCCACCAACATGCCAACCGTAACATGCAGAAAATGCGAGAACGCATTGTCGACACTCTTCTCCCTGATCTGATAGTCTTCTATGTGGGAGGAGAGGAAATCACGTGAGCCCCAATCCGAAATGGTACCAGGCAGACACAAGTTCGCCACCTTATCTCCCGCGAGTGAGAAGAGCCACGTGTAAGTTTTGATAACATTTTAGGCCTCAAGATGCAGGGAAGTCAAACACACCGAGCTTCAGAAATGCAAATGCTCTCGTGAGCCGTGCTCTTCTTCAAGAGCCATTTGAATAAGTATTTAAAACAAAATGTAAGAATCAGGCCAGTCACCCACATAGTTCAGCATCCTGCTTTCACAGTGGCCAGCTAGATGTTTGTGGGAAGCCTCTCCGGCAGGACCTGAGTGCGAGATGAAATAAAAAATTAAGGTCTTATCTATATAATAAATGTTCATGGATTTGCCAGGCAAACACGTACATAAATGTATGGGCCACATGTCTGAGGCAGCACAGGAAGGCAGTCCTGGAGCCATTTTGATTCCCAAACTGACCAAATGTTTTCTCTGCAAGGTCAAAGGAAAATGGAAAAGCCTCCCCATTGTCTTTTCATTCACAAAACCTGTCTTAAGGGTATATCTGTGTATGAATAGGGTTAGCCTGTGACCTGGCTCAGGAACTAAGTATTTGTCACTACAAAAGACTGGCCAGGCTCCCCAGGGTATCCAATCAAGTAAGCATTAACAGGTAACCTGCCAGACAGGAGGTAAACAATGCACTCAGATTTCTGTTGTAGACCGCCCTTTCTGTGATGTAGGTATGATATGTCTGGGGGTGGTCTTGAGCTACACCCCTTCTGTGATGTAGGTATGATGTATCTGGGGGGTGGTCTTAGGTTACACCCCTTCTGTGATGTAGGTATGATGTTTCTGGGGGTGGTCTTGGATTCCAGGGCGGCCAATTTAAAATGTCTATATAAGGGTGGGCACACCTGGGTTCTGGGTCCTTCTCCTGTGTGTGAAGGGGGCACCCTGTTGCAACAGTTCCATAAAGATCAGGCTTACAAGCTGCTTTGCTTCTCAATATTCTCTGGTTGGCCTCTGTTATTTTCTCTGACTGATGGAGAACCTGCAAAGGACTCTATAAGGGCTCTTGTGTCCCCCATTAAGGGAATAAGGGCAGATTTTTGTTTATTACAGAGAGCACTCTCCCCTCCTGCAATTTCCAGCAACTGATATTCGGAAGCAGAGTGCCACCAACCAACCATGGAGGGACCTCTTTTAAAGCTATTCAGCTTGGTCATCACGGCCTCTTCTGAGAGCTAATTCCAAAGTTTGACTATGTGTTGTGCAGAGAAGCACTTTTTTGTGCCTGCCCTATCTATCTATCTATTATTATTATTATTATTATTATTATTATTATTATTAAATTTATTTAATCATTTTTTCGATACAAACAACAACCGCAAAAGACACTACAACAAAAACCATAATATTTTTTTAAAATGATATTTATTAAAGTTTCCGATAAAAAAAGACACATCAGTAAAAAAGAATTTAAAAGTAAAAAGAAAAATACACAATACAAAAATACACAATACAAAATACAAAAAACAAAAAAACAAAAAACAAAAGAAAAAACAGTTAAAAACAATACCATCTTTTCATCACCACTTTTGAATTTACTTATTTTCTGGACCTCCTACCTCCCTCTTTTGTATTCCAGTTCAATTTGTTTGTCCAGCAATTTCTTTCCCTCTTTTTTAATCCCAATCCTTAATCTTAATATGGTATAACATTAAATTCTTATCTATTAATAGCCAGTTTTCCGTTCTTTTAACCTTTTTATGCCTAATCCTTAATCTTAGTCTATATATAACTTTAACGCCTGTGCAGCTAGAAACCACTTAATTTCAATCCATCATCACTCTAACATTCTTTGATTTTGCAACAAAAACCATAATA